GATCGCAAGAGGAGCAGCCGGGACTAGAACCGGTGTCTATATGGGATGCCGGCGCTTCAGGCCAGGGTGTTAACCCGCTGCACCACAGTGCCGGCTCCGCCTTGTTCCACTTCTTTTTCACCTGAGCCCTGTCTCAGTCTTCAGTTGCTTCTCTTGGATTTCCCAGAGTAAGCCTAAGTATTCCACCCTTTCTTTTCTCCTTAAATGTGTTGCCTTCCCCCTCGCCTGCTCTATCAGGTACAGCCTCCAAAACTGGAGCAGTGGCGGGGGCGTTTGCTTCCAGGGTTTCGCGGATGCTTCTGCTGCTTTCGTTGGCACAGATGCTGCTGGGTTCTGTCTTGATGGGGGTGTGCCTGGCTGCGTGATTGTACCCTGCAGGGAAGGCTCCCTCCTCATAACCGGATAACAGTGTTGGTGCTAAGTAGTTAATTCTCCACATCCGTGAGGATGGTAGTTTGTTGCTGTGGATTCGTTCTGAGAGGAGGAGCGTGGTGGGGGCAAGAGGTGCAGAGTCACCACACAGACCCCGCGTGTTGGGTCAAAGTAGGCCAGAGGCTAGCAGCCGGCAGACTCATTTATTTCAGTTGCTACAGCAGCTTATATAGCTGAGGCAGCCAATCCGGTCAAGGGGCGGTCTATGCCCTAACCAATCACACCCTGTTGCCAGGCAGTTTCTGAAGCCATCCAATCACAGCCTGTTGCCAGGCGGCCATCTTGGCATGGCCTTCTTATTCCACCACAGTAGTTGTCTTCTCTCCTGTCGGAATGTTCATGAAGTTAGATGTCCTCGTCCCACTGTGCACGTGTCCCTTGGTTCTGGGGCCTTCTTTCCCACAATTGCTCCTATGGGATTTATCTTTTGGGTTGCTTTGGCATTGATTTCTGCGTAGATGAGCGTGCTCAGTGCCTTGCCTTTGCTGCGCGATAATTGTTGGTCTTTGACATCAACATCCTGCAGTGTCCCCGTGAAGACTCTGACGCCTTCCTCTCTGTCTGGGCAGTTGAAGGAGCCTTCACAAGGCCTGGTGGACTTCACCTGCCGATGTCCCAGCCCGGGGTCCCGGGCGCTCCCTCCCCCATGCCTCCTGACCACGTGGCTGGGGAAAGGTAGGATCCAACAGCTCGCCCACTGCCTCCAGGTGGGGCTGCTGTCCTGTCCCTGGGCACTTGCTGGTACTCCCCCCCCTCCACTCTAGGTTTCCAGGTTTGCTGGCACAGCCAGCGTGGTCACCTTAAGACTTTGCTCCTGAAGACGCGAGCCAGCCTGAGGCCGCCACTCTGCTGTTCCCGGATGTGGGCGTCCATGATCTCAGAGAAGTAGGCCCGGTGAGACACTGCTCTCCCCCACGCCGCCCAGAAGCCTGGAGGCCTGCCTGGCTGGGAGGCGTCCCAGCGGCCTCCCTGCTGCCCACTCCCTCTGGCTTCAGAGAATATTCCAAAGTCGAGGTCATCACTGGAGCTGACTCAGTTTTCCTCGGATGTGCGTTGGTTGCGTCGGTTGCCTTCCTCGCTCAGATGGTGGGGGAATGAGAGCAGCGCCCCCCCCCCACCCCCAGCGTTTCTGCTGCAACGTCTGGCTGCCGTCCACCACCACGTGGTCACTGGGTCGGGACCTCAGCTCAGGGCGAGGAGGACAGCCGGGCAGCTTGCCTCCACCTCCGCTCTGCCCCGGTCGTCCTGCCCGGCGGTGTGCGCAGCTCACCCCCACCACCCCATCTCAGAAAACATCTTCCGAGCCTCTTTCCTTTTTCCTTCTCCATTTTTTCTGCTTGTAACAAACAACACAGGACACGCAGTCTGCCGTCCTCACCATCTCTAGGTGCACAGTTCTGCCTGTGTCTCCCCAAACCCAAGCCCAGTCCCTGACGTCAGCCGCTGCAGCCCCTGAGCCGCCCAGGCTTTCTCGTGCGTGGAGTGACTGCTCCAGGCGCCTCTGAGCCAAGGGCTCCTACGGTGCCTGTGCGGTAGTGTCTGGTTTATTTCCTCAGGCACGACGTCCTGCAGGTTCACCCGTGCCGTCCCATGCACCCCCAAAGGCTGTGTGGACACACCTCGTGTTGTTGGCATCCATGCCCTCTGTCCACACGCTGACCCACTTCCTCCCTTCCTAACTCTGTTTTTTAAAATTCTCAAGACAAACAGCCTGAGGATAATTATAAAGGGAATTTTAAAAGAATAATCAGGCGCGTGTTTGGCTTAGCGGTTAGGACACCCTTGTCCCACGTGGAGGTGCCCAAGTTCACTGCCCACCTCCAACTCCTGACTGCCCAGGGCAGACCCTGGCGGGCAGCAGTGATGGCACAGGTGACTCGGCCCCTGGGTTGAGTTCTACCTCCCAGTGCTGGCCTGGGCCAGGCCTCTCTGTTGCAGGCATTTGGGGTGCAAACCAACAAAGGGAGCCATTTTCGTATCAAGTAAATAATAGCAGAAGGGAATGGCTACAGAGTCGCTACACTTGGGGGATAAGCGGTTCCATCCCTCTGTTTCCCTCTCAGCGTTAGCCTGCAGCCAGCCTTTTTTTTTTTTTTAAAGATTTCATTTATTTATTTGAGAGGTAGAATTACAGACAGTGAGAAGGAGAGACAGAAAGATCCTTAAGTTGGTTCACTCCCCAAATGGCCGCAACGGCCTGAGCTGTGCTGATCTGGAGCCAGGAGCTTCTTCCAGGTCTCCCACGTGGGTGCAGGAGCCCAAGGACTTGGGCATCTTCTGCTGCTTTCCCAGGCCACAGCAGAGAGCTGGATAGGAAGTGGAGCAGCCGGGACTAGAACCGGCACCCACATGGATGCCGGCGCTGCAGGCGGACCTACTGCGATGGCCCCAGGCAGCCAATCCTCCTGCAGTCTTTATGCAGGCCTGTTCTCTGCTCCGCTTCAGTCTTCTTCCAGGTTAAGATGTTGCCTATGTTGGACTTTTTGACAACTGAGTCCAACATTGTGCATCCAGTTACTATACCGCAACTTAATCATTTCCAGGTTGCTCTTTGTACTGTTTCATCATTTTGAATAATGCAATTATTTTGAGATTTTTTTTGTACTGATTTCTATTTCCCTTCCCAGCCTCCTGGGTTTCTGGATAAGGTCCCGGGAATGGGCTTATTCGGTCAAAGGAGTGAAGGGTTTAAGGCCAAAAGCAAATCCGTGCTGGTGCTGACTGGAGTGCACATCCCAGGAGTGGAGGGCACCGGGCTTGCCGCCGGGCCACCTCTGGGTGTTAGGTAAACACCCACAATGCAGCACTGCAGAGGAAGGTGGGATCGTCCTCTCCCTTCACACTGATCACCAGCGAAGCCGAACGTCCCCAGGGGCCGCCCCCACCATGCCGCTTCACTCTGCATCACCTGCTCGGTTCCCGTACCAGGTCAGCTCCTGGGGCCTCGATGATTTTTTTCGTTTGTAATTGCTCTTTCTATGCTGTGGGTGTCAGTATTTTCATCTTCTGGATGGAGGCATTCCCTCTTTACATTTTGTGCATGCACACGCACGCACACACACACACACATGCACGCAGCGTTGCTGTCAGATTTGCCTCGAGTTCAGAGAACTGGCCTCCCCTCCTGCCGGTGCTCAGCCCTTCATCAGCAGAGGGAGGGAGACAGGGCAGGGAAAGCTGCAGTTTCCTTTCTCGACTGGAAATCCTGGGTGCACATTTGCATCCCACTTGGAACTGCCCAGGAGGCCCCCTGCACCCCAGGGACTTGCCTTCCCTGGTGAACCGTCTCCTGCATTCAGACTCCCAGGCCGAGTTCCCTGTGGGTGCCCCGAGGAGTACTTCTCAGAGTTGTGGATGCGTATCTGATGGTGCATGACATGACTTAGGGGTGTTTTGGACAAGCACTACGTGCTGCAGCTTGCGACACGGCTAGTGTGATTGGCGGGCTATGGCCCAAGGCTATTATTGCAAAAGCAGAAAATGGGTGCTGGAGCTCGGGTGGCCCTGGCTGTTTGGTTGCATGACCTTGGGTAAATTCCTCAAAGTTTCTGTTGCTTTTGATAAATGGAGTAGTCTATTGCTCATGGGGTCATGGTGAGGACTGTGGCATAGCAGGTAAAGGCACCGCCTGCAGTGTCGGCATCCCACGTGGGTGCCGGTTCGAGTCCCAGCTGCTCCACTTCTGATCCAGCGCTCTGCTATGGCCTGGGAAAGCAGTGGAGGATAGCCTGAGTGCTTGGGCCCCTGCATCTGCATGGGAGACCTGGAAGAAACTCCTGGCTCTGGCCATTGTGGCCATCTGGGGAGTGAACCAGTGGATGGAAGATTCTCTCTCTCTGCCTCTCTGTAACTGTTTTTCAGATAAATAATTCTATTAAAAAAAAAAAAAAAAAACCTTTCAAGGCACCCAGAGCAGCAGGGGGTCCTTTGGCTGTGACTTAAGACAGCAAAGAGCCAGCGAATCCAAGCAGCCACCCCTTCCCTTCCCTCCAGCTGCTGGGCATCGGCAGGGCCGGCTTCCTCTCCCCACTCGCTCTGGAGTTCCTTCTTCCACACCACGCACCCGCTGTGCGGCAGGGACTGGTGTGTGGCAGTGGGAACCAGAGGCAATTGAGTCTGAACACTTCATCCTTTGTTCTGGAATCTGGATTTTTTTTTTTTAGATGTCTTTATTCATCTGAAAATCAGAAATCTTCCATCCGCTGTCTCACTCCCCCGAGGGCCTCAATGGCCAGGGCTGGGCCAAGCTGAAGAACCAGGAGCCTCTCCCAGGTCTTCCACATGGGTAACAGGGGCTCAAGCACTTGGGCCATCTTCTGCTGCTTTTCCCAGGCCATTAGCAGGGAGCTGGATCAGAAGTAGTGCAGCTGGGACTTGAACCAGCATCCAAGTGGGATGCCAGCCTTGCAGGCAGCAGTTTTTACCTGCAACACCATAATGCCGGCCCCTTCTGGAATCAGGAGTCTTAACAGCACCAGTGAAAGGCTCAGTGGAGAGAGGGTACTGATGGGTAGGTTTCCCAGGCACCCAGCCCCCAAATGGTCAGTCCCACCAAGCCAGTGGACACATTCTCGGATCCTGACAGCTTTATTTTTTGGTTGAAAACTCAAGGGAAAAGCTTGCCTCTTGGAAGAAACTGTAAAACTGAGTGCTGTATCCCAGGCCTGAGCTGCTAGGTACCCACACCATGTGTCCCCAGAAACCTTCAGCCCCCATGCGTCCACCCCAGGGGGCCGCTCCCCATTCAGGCTCCTGATGAAGGGGCTTGGGGCCATCAGTTCCCCTTAAGGAAGCTCAGGCCTCAGGAGACCCCTGGAGCCAGCAGGGCAAGCCAGCCCCGAGCCGCTGGGGGAGCCCCACTTCGCGTGTCTCTCCCTCCACGTAGCTGCTGGGCCGGCGGGAGCAGATGCTGGCGGGCAGAGGCAGGGCGCGCCCAGACCAGGTGGAGACTTCGTTCCCCACCCCCTTCCCTCCCCCCCTAGAGCGTCTTCAAGTTGGCCAACATCTGCTCTCGCATCTGAGCAAGTGCGATTTTTCTGGCGCCTCGTGCTGGTGGTGCCCTCCGAGGCAAGAACACTGAGCTGGCTTGAAATCCGTGGTGGGCTGGCTGTGTCAGACTCTCACCCTGCAGAGGAGAGAGGGGAGGGTGCTGTTGGCTGGAATCACCCTGGGACAGCCCCCCTCCACCACCTGGCCCCCATCTGGTAGGAGCAGCAGGCGTGGCCCGAGGTTCCCAGCACCTGCGGGTCTCATGCAGCCTGCCGAGGCCCTCGCCCCAGGTCAGGCCCTGCCGCGGGCGCCCGGAAGACAGGACTGAGAGAGGGTTCCCAATGGAGGGCAGGGACCAGGCTGAGCCTCAGCACACGGGGCTCCAGCAAACACAGGGCAGGGGCGACGCCTGTTCCTCCCGAAGTGAGAGCAGCAGCCCAGGTCAGGAAGGTCGCGTGGGCCTGCGGGTGGCCCGGGAAGGGTTTCTCAGAAAAAGCCCTGCCCGCTGGCTGTGACGCTCTCCCTGAAGCCTGGCCCCAGGGAGGGTCTGGAGACCGCTTCTGTCAGCAAGTGAGTTTTGAGTCTTCCTTCCCGGTGCCTTGGACTTGATCCTTACTGAGTGTGTGCGGTCAAGTCGCCGTGCGTCCGGGGCAGCCGCGCCTTCTCCCTCACGTTACAGTGGCTGCTTCCTGGCCCATGTGACGGCCGGGGGTGTGCACCACACACGTCAACTCACCAGTGCCGGAAGCCCCTGCCCAGCCCTCACTTGCCAAGAACACTATTCAAAATATGGCCACTGGAGAATTTTACCCAATGTCCTTTTTTTTTTCCATCTGTTTCAATTATATTTGTTGCATTTCTTGCAGATACACTGCACTGTGAATATAGTTCCAGTTCCCTCCCAAAACCCACAGCCTGTGTGTGGTGAGCCCAGCACCTGTGCCCACGTGAGTCTCCCATCTACAGCTGTCTGAGCTGGTCCGTGCACTCTGACCTTTGTCTCTTTAAGAGTCGTGGTTGGGTTTTGTATATACAACTACAGCATGTCTTGTATCGCCATGCCTAGCACGGATTAGGTACTCACTAAATAATTTTTTAATTAAAAATGTTTAATTGTGGTAAAATACACGTCACATAAAATTTACCAGGTTAGCCCTTTCCAAGTACTGAGTTCACTCGTGTCATTGCATAACCAATCTCTAGAACTTGCCAGCTCTTGCAAAACTGAAACTCCGTACTCGGAAAACAACCCCTCGCTGCCTTCCACCAGCCCCCTGGCAACCACCGTACGTCTACACGTCTACCTCCAGTACGTGGAATCCTGTGGCATCTGTCTTCCCAGAACTGGATCACATCACAAGGCAGCGTGCCCTGGACTTTGAGCGTCCGTGGCATGGCCACAGCACGTGTCGTGCAGCCCATCCGTCCGCCAGTGGACACTCAGGGTGTGAGTGGACAGTGCAGCTACTGTGCCGCTGTGAACAAGGGCCCATCGACCTGGGCAGGAGGCTGCTTTGCGTTTTTCTGGGAGAACACGCCCAGCAGTGGTGCGGCTGGGTCACAGGGTGATTGCGTTGCCGTTTGACAAATGGCTGCAGTTTTCCGCGGCAGCACACAGGTGTCGCACAGCGGGTGTGAGCCGCGTGCTCACTGTGGGTTGGACTTGGATCCCAGGATTAGTGATGCTGACCATCTCGTTAGCTTATGGGCCGCTCACGTATCATCTTTGGAGGAATGTCTAGTCCAGCAGTCCTTGGTGTGTTTTTGAACTGGGTTTCCGGTTCGTTGCACCGCCGGAGTTCTTCCTGTACCTTGGATATTAGTCTCTCATCAGATACGATGTGCAGAGAGCGGCTCGCCTTCCACACGTCCCCCCTTCCGGCTCAGCGCCTCCCCGCGCAGTCCCGTTTGTCTGCTGGCTGCCTTGATCTGTCACGAAGCCCCCCTCTACCTTGGCTTCTAAGACTTTGACGGCTTTAGGTCCTGATCTACTTTGAGTTACTTGTACATGATACAAAGGCACTTCCTTCCTTCCCAAACAGCACTTGTAAAAGACGTGGCCGCCTGACCACCTGCGCGAGAGGTTATTCCAGCCCTGCCTCCTAGCCCATCCATGAGTCGGTACCGCCCTGCTTTGATCACATAGCTTTGAAACTAGGACAAGTTACACTCACGACTTTGCTCTTCAGGAATGTTTCAGGTATTTAGGGTCCTCCGGGCTCCCGTAGGAATTTTAGGATGGATTTTTCTATTGCAAGAAAAAATACCATTGGGATTTTGCTAGAGGTTGCACAACTCACTTATTAAATTCTCGTGGTTCCATTGCTGACCCAGTTGCTTGAATCTCTTATCAGCCCATCTAGGTTGGTCAGTGCTGATCTTTTAAAAGCAGCAAATCTGGGCTTTGCCGATTTTCTGTTTCTCTACGTCCTATTTCCTTCGAGTCTGCACTACTGACTCCTGCCAGGTGTGGGCTTCATTGTCTTTCTCTCACTTAAGGGGTAAAGGTAGGTGGCCAGTGTGAGACGCTTCGTTGTTCTTTATTTTCATTTTAGTTGAAAGGCAGAGAGCCAGAGCTTCCATCCATTGATTCACTCTCCAAATGCCTACAACAGCCAGGGCTGGGTCAGGCCAAAGCCGGTTGCTGGAACTTGATCTTGGCCTCCTGTATGGGGGGGAAGGACCCGACTCTTTGGAGCCACCACCTGCTGTCTCGCAGGGTACACTTAGCACAAAGTTGGAGCGGAAGCAGAGGAGCCGGGACTTAAACCCAGCACTCTGAGGCGGGATGTGAACCAGAGGGTGAAGCGTGTACTGCTGTCCCCCCGCCTGCCCCTCTTGTTCTTTGTCTCATGTGGGCATCTGCTGCTGTGAATTTCCCTCGTGGCTCGGCTTTGGCTGCACCCCATGCACTGGAGTGTGTTCTTATGTCTCAAGATGCTTTTTAAAAAAAATTATTTCAAAGAGTTACACAGAGAAAGAGAAGTAGAGGGAGAGGTCTTCCACCTACTGGTTCACTCCCCAGTTGGCCGGAGCTGCGCCAATCCGAAGCCAGAAGCTTCCTCCGGGTCTCCCACGTGGGTGCAGGGGCCCAAGCACTTGGGCCATCTTCTAGTGCTTTCCCAGGCCATAGCAGAGAGCTGGATCGGAAGTGGAGCAGCCGGGACTTGAACCGGCGCCCCTAGAGGATGCCGGCACTGCAGGCGGCAGCTTTACCCACTACAACACTTTCTCATTTCCATTGTGGTCTTGTCTTTTATCCATTGGCTGTCTGGAAGTGTGTTGTCTGATTTCCATATATGATGAGGTCTTAAGCACATTGCCTGTGATGTTTGTATCTTTTCATTCCATTTTCCAGGAGGTTTTTGAAGCACCCTCACATGGGTGGATTTCCCAGTCTTCCTTCTGCTACTAAGAGTTCTGTCATGGGGGCTGCCACCTGCAGTGCCAGCATCCCATAGGGGTGCCGGTTTGAGGCTCGGCTGCTCCACTTTTTTTTTTTTTTTTTTTTTTGACAGGCAGAGTTAGACAGTGAGAGAGAAAGGTCTTCCTTCCATTGGTTCACCCCCCAAATGGCTGCTACGGCTGACGCTGTGCCGATCCAAAGCCAGGAGCCAGGTGCTTCCTCCTGGTCTCCCATTAGGGTGCAGGGCCCAAGCACTCAGGCCATCCTCCACTGCCCTCTTGGGCCACAGCAGAGAACTGGCCTGGAAGAGGGGCAAATGGGACTATCGGCGCCCATATGGGATGCCAGCGCGACAGGCATACAAGGTTTCAGCTGAGTGTTTGTGTGGGGCAGGGTGGGGGGGACTCCCTCGTCGGCCACCTGCTGCTGTCACTCTGTCTTGCCCTGGATTTTGCCCAAGGGGGTCTCGGCCCCTCATCTAGCACCGAGCCGTCCCGCCAGCAGGGGGTTCTCCAAGTCCTGGAGCCATTTGGCCACTCTGGTGTGGGGGGTTGCATGCCACCCTGAGTTCCAGGGACTCGTCCCCACCGGCTACTGTGTCCTGTTTGCTGGCACACATCTTTATGTGTACTCTCCCGGCACATTAGCACATCTGTGTTCACATCAACATAGTGCACGTCCAAGTTCAAGGGCGCAGCTGGCTTCTCATTTTCTTCTTGCGCAGGGACCTTGTAGGGTGCCGGTGTGCACACGAGATGGGGTGGTGGCTTCCTGTGCCACTGCAGCTCTGGTGAGTGCCAGCAGCTTGCCTGGAAAACTCTCCGGGCCGGGCTTTTTTCTTTGTAATTTTCAAAGACTCTCTTTGGGAGTAAATAAGGTTTGCAGGAAGTTGCACCGATCACACAGAGGAGCCCTGTGTGTAAGCTTCCCTGGTGTTCTATTCTCACAATGATATTATGAGAAGCCAGACAGCATGCGTGGGGGGGGGGGGGGCGGTTCCTATGACACGTTGTCATGTTTCAACGGGTGCCACCATAGGACGATGTCACACTGCCCATCCTGGTCACAGCCACCCCACTCCCAACGAGTGCACCCTCCAGTGTGTCTTTTCAAGAATGTCCTTGGAATCACAGAACGTGACATTGAGCTATGGGCTTGCGTCGGCAGAGTGCTCTGTGGAGCCGCGCCTCAGGCACTGGCTCCTTTCTCTAACTCTGGGAGCCCACGGTCTAGGTTTACCACACTTGGTTTAAACCTGCACCAGCAGCATCCCATGTGGACAGCAGTTTGAGTCCTGGCTGCTCCACTTCCACTCCAGCTCCCTGCTAATGCTCCTTGGGTCCCTGCACCCATGATGACCCAGATGAAGCCCCTGGCTTTGGCCTGGCCCCGGCTCAGCTGTTGCAGCCACTTGGGGAGTGAATCAGCAGATGGGAGATCTCTCTCTCAGGCTTTCAAATTGTGAATTTGCCCTAAGAGGGGTCTTCAGAAAGTTCATGGAAACTGCCTATTATGCAAAAAAAACTAAGCATGGATTTCAAATCCTTTTCCTCCAGGCAAACATCTTTTAATTCCATTTTTCTCTGAGTGTTTTAATGTATCCTCATCTGTCTTCTTGGGTGAAGTGTTTCCATGCACTTTTTCTTAAAGATCCATCTATCTGAGTTACACAGAGAGGAGGAAGAGAGAGAGGTCTTCCATCCACTAGTTCACTCCCCATTTGACCGCAACGGCCAGAGCTGTGCCAATCCGAAGCCAGGAGCTTCCTCCAGGTCTCCCATGGGGGTGCAGGGGCCCAGGCACTTGGGCCATCCTCTACTGCTTTCCCAGGCCACAGCAGAGAGCTAGACTGGAAGTGGAGAAGCCAGGACTCGAACCAGCACCCCTATGGGATGCCGACACTGCAGGCAGTGGCTTTACCAGCTACACCACAGCATCGGCCCCTCCATGTACTTTTAAGGTTTATTTATTCAAACGGCACAGGGGTAGAGAGAGCTCTTCTGTCCACTAGTTCACTCCCTAGGTGGCCACAGTAGCCAAGTTCAGGCCAGATGGAAGCCAGGAAATCCAATTGAGTCTCCCCTGGGCGTGGCAGGGGCCATCTTCTGCTGCTTTCCCAGGCACGTTATGAGGGGGCTGGACCGGAGAATCCTGTGTTCCGATAGGGCAGGCAGCAGCGTCACCGGCTGTGCCCCAAGGCCAGCGCATCTCCAGGCGTGGTGCCCCTTCTTTTACTCAGGTATATTGTGTGGTGGGTTCTCAGAGCTCTCTAGATATTCTAGGAGGAAGCCCGGGTCAGATAGGTGGCTGGCGAACATTTTCTGTGTCCATCATCTTACCGTGGTCCTTCACAGAGCCACCCTCTCTCCTGCAGACGAAGCCCAGTTTCCGGATCTGTCTTCTCCTCTCGGAGCCCTGCTTTCGGCCTCACATCAGTGACCCTTCCCCGGGCCGGGCCTCGCGCTGTCCACAGGTGCTCAGGCAATGATGGAAGCAACCCCTAGGTCACCGGGAGGCTCATCGGCCTGGTCCCACCCAGGACCTGCACTTCCTCCCCAGCTACTTGGTGGCTTTTCCAAATCCCCCGTGGAGCAGGGGTCGTGGCTCTTGTGTGCACCTCGCATCGTCGATTTGGGCCGTGTCCCCTTTTTCTCCTGTTACCCTCCTGCTCCGTGTATTTCCAGCTTTGCAGGCCACATGGAGCTGAGTTTTCCTCTTGAATCTTGAGCCGTTGCACCGGGCCTAGAACCCAGGTGGGCACAGCCCTGGTGGCTGCTGGGGGAGGCTGGGGGACTCCTCACTCTTCCTGGAACAGGGTTCTCCTTCTCATCCTCCTCGAAACATCTGGGCGCATTGCTTGGCCTGTGGTTTCCCTAATGCCTGGTGGCGGGGGTCTTGGGAGCAGGCGCTCTCTCCCCCTCGGCTTCACTGCACCTCCATTGTCCTGTGGCTAAGGCTGTAACTCTTCCCATTGCTGGACATGATTTTGGTGCGATGCTGCCTGTGTTTCAGTTTTATGTTTTCAGAAGTGTTGGCCACCAAGGCCAGTCTCTGAAGGGGATAGGGTTGGAGGCTCCCGCCAGGGGAGGCTCGGGCCTCATGGCTGGCGCCCATTCTGGTCCCCACAACACAGCCTGTGGTTATCAATGCTCCAGGCCATGCGGAAATGTATGACACCACTCACAGATCACCCAGAATTATCAACGTAAAAATGAGCCTGCTTGCGGGGGCCAGCACGGTGGCCTGGCCAGTTAAGCCACCATCTGCATCACTGGCATCCCTTATGGGTGCCAGTTCAAGTCCCGGCTGCTCTACTTCTGATCCAGCTCTCTGCTGTGGCCTGGGAAAGCAGTAGAAGCTGGCCCCAGTCCTTGGACCCCTGCACCCACATGGAAGACCCAGCTGAGGCTCCTGGCTTTGGCCTGGCCCAGCCCTGGCTATGGTGGCTGTTTAGAGAGTGAACCAGCGGAAGGACGATGTCTTTTATCTGAAAGTCAGAGATACAGATAATGAGAGAGGGAGAGTTAGAGAGGAGAGACAGAAATCTTACATCATCTGGTTCATTTTCCAGATGGTCACAAGGGCCAGGCCAAAGCCAAAAGCCTGGAGCTTCTTCCAGGTCTTGCACGTGGGTGCAGGGGCCCAAGGACTCGTGCCTGGGAAAGCAGTGGAAGATGGCCCATCAGCAGGGAGCCGGATGGGAAGTGGAGCAGCCAAGACATACACCTGTGCCTACAGGGGATGCCAGCGCTGCCGATGGCAGCTGAACCTGCGGTGCCACAGCACTGGCCCCAATAAAATACATCTTAAAAAGAAAAGTGAGCCTGCTCTGCACTTCCTGGAGGCCGAGTGCCGCGTGCGGTTGCCTGGGCAGGGCCAGGCGTTCCCCACCCCTGCTTTCGACACTTGCCCCAGGTGAGCAGGGGGAGCTCTTTGTCTTAATGATACGCCTTTCAGGTCTGGACAGCGGAGGGCTTTTCCTCACTGGCAGGGCAAAGAGAAAGGGCCTGAGGCCCCAGCTTACCGCACTGGGGAAGCGGGTCGAGGGGCACAGAGCCCCGGGCGCACAGATGGACGTAGGCGGCCGCCAGGGTGCAGGCAGCGTGGCATTCCTGGGGGCCACAGGATTCCTGGAGGCACAGGCTCAGGAAGGGAGTGGGGTCCACCTGGAATCAGCACCCCACAGTCAGCGTTCTCGCCCCGCACACCCATGGGAGCTGCCCGGCGAGCAGCAGGCCAGGCCAGGGCCGTCGTGTGTCCCATCGCCCAGCAGCCTCCTGCCGGGGCACGAGTCCAGCCTCTCACTCACCACCTGAAAGCAGTTCCCCAGACTGGACCTGGAGTCCTGGAAGAAGGCCTGGCAGGTGGGGCTCTGGCCCGAGCACTCCGGCTGTGTCTTCTCTGGGGTCTCGCAGTCCCCACCCATCTATGGAGGCGGAGGCAAATGAGGCCTCGGTCACAGACCCCACAGTGCATCAGGTGCCGGAGGTGCAGGCCCCTTGTTCCACCCTGCTCTCTGGGACCAGCCGGCCCAGCTGCTGCCCTCCCATGAGCACAGCCACCCGTGGAGCCCAGCCGAGACCTGCCAGGCACGTGTGAGCTCCTCCAGGCTGCTGGCCGTGGTGCCGTCGGGCAGCGTCAGCTCATCACCGGCCTCATTGTTGTTGGTGCCCAGAAGGCCTGTGGAGGCACCTGCAGGGCCGAGGGAAGCAGGAGAGCGCGCTGTCAGGGCCTGCTGAGTCCCCCACCCCGGCCTGGCTCTGAGCTCTCCTCGGACAGGCAGCCCCTGTGCGCCTCCAGTCCCCAGCTCACAGGGCTTCCCCCACCGGGCCTGGGGCCGCCCACTGGCTGACTCACAGCAGCGCGGCATGGCGTGTCCCAGGGAAGGGGGCCAAACACGGGGTCAGGAGCCTGGCCCGGCCCCTGCTCTGCAGCTGGGAGCCAGCTGAGCAAGGGCGAGTGACTTAACCCCTGCTGGCTCATCTGCAAACAGGACCAGAGCTGAGGAGGGGGACGCCGGTGTCACAAGCCAGCAGTCACTGCACTCACATTGGCACGGTGGCAGAGGAGAGGTGACCAAGGCGGGCACACAGCCTGGCTGTGAATCTGGCCCCAGGCTGCTTCCCTCCCAGCTGTTTGGTCGTAAGCACCCACGGACGGAGCCACTGGGCCTCCTGCCCACAGCCCCGGGGTCTGGCAGGGGCAGTGGGAATGCCGCCCACCAGGGACGCGCTAACCCTCGGCTCTGGTCCAGCAGCCCCAAGAGGCTGCGGGGGCTGGACCCACCGTGGTGCCAGAGGCCCAGTGTCAGGCTGCAGAGGCTGGCTTGCAGGTCACAGGAGACGGAGACGCCATCCTCGCTCAGCTCGATCCGGGGGCCGATGCGCCCCCTCGTGGCAGGAGGCAGAGCCGGGTCGGGACAGCTCCCCCCAGGCAGCGAGGGGTGGTAGAGGCTGTAGGTCTGTGTGCCACACAGGGGCTGAGCCGGAAGTCCCCACCAGCCAGTGACAAGCTCGACGGGGCCTCCCCTGGGCACCACCCGCCCGCTCACCTTCAGAGTCGGGTAGACAGTGAGGGTCGTGTTCTGCAGCTCCACGGACAGGGCCGGGAGCCCGGAGCCATCCCAGCTCAGCGTCAGGAGGAACATGTGGTGAGCCGAGTCCTGGGCCAGCACGAGGCTGCCGCAGCGGGCACGGAGACCCCATACCCAGCCGTCGAAGGTCACCACGTGTCGGGCCCCGGCCACCACGGCATGGTCTGGGGAGAACGGGCCCCCGGGCCAGGTGAGTGAGCCGGCTGTGCCTGCTGCGGTGCGGGCTCCGCCCCCCAGGCACGGGCCCCAAGGACCCCCTCCTGGCATCTGGAGACCTCAGCTCTCCGGGTGCCCCAAGTCTGCCGCCGATTGAGTAAAAGGCAGAAGTCAGCGCTGACAGCCGCTGTGACCCAGGCAAAGCCTGGAACCTTGGTGCTGACGGACAGTCTGTGGCCAGAGGCCTCAGTTCTGACCGCAGGTGTGCGTGCAGTGCGGAGTAGGCAAGGCTGTGGCCACCAAGAGTCTGGGGGTTGCCAGGGGGTTGGCAGAAAGGAAGGGGGCGGGGCCAAGGCTGTAAGGGTGATTTTTGAGGTGATAAAAGCATTCCAAACTTGCTGGTGATGGACAGCTGCCTCTAGGAGTGGAAACCCAGCCAACGCGCGTGCACTGAGCACGGGGGGGGGGGGGGGGCAGCTCGGGGAAGTCGCTGGGAAAGACGGGCTCCTTTGTCTGAGCATGTGGACAGGGGTGCCATCGGCCATGACGTAGGTGCCCTGGGGACCCGGCTCTCATCTCTTCAGGGTCCACAATCGATAGCCCAAGAAGGGTATCTCTGACCACCCTGTGGGGCGCTGTGGAAGCACCGCCTTTGGCACGCGCACGTGGCCTGTGGCAGCCTCATGGTGGCTCACGGGGGAGGTGCTGGGAGCCCCCTGCTCAGCTGCGGGAGCCTAGGGGCACAGGTCAGGCTACAGGCGGGCATCTACAGCGCCCACCTCCCACTGAGACCCAGCCCCACCCACGAGGCTCAGTGTGAACCCCGCAGCTAAGCCACTGCTGACCGAGCAGGGGCGGGGGGGGGCTGCCCCAGGAACGCCAGCTCCTTTCCTGCACCAGTGGCTTGGGCTCAAGCGTGGCACCTGCTCCTTACCTGCAGGAGGCAGACTCAGCGCCACCTGGACGTCACGGGGTAGGGGGGAGGGAGCAGCCCCACCCATCTTGCAGCAGGCACCAGCCAGGGGCCCGCCCCCCCCCCACCGCCCCATGTCCGGTCCCAGCACAGCCCTTGGCTGCAGGCCCGCCCCCACCCCCCCACAGTCTGGACTCAATTAGCAGCTTTCCGGCTGCAAGAGGAACTCTGCCCGCTGCTGCTCCAGCAGGGTCCTGGGGGACAGAGCTGGCCTGGAGCCCTAGCACCCCTCCCCCACCCCTGTGTCCCAGACACAGAGCAGAGCCGGGGCCCCAGACAACCTGAGCAAGTCCACTAAGCCGCAGGCCGGACCCCGAGACGCGGGAAGCCTACGAGGGCTTCCCTGGGGTGCACTTGGCCACGCCCCTCGGCGGGCAGGGGACAGGCGGACTCACACTCGGAGGGACTCCCCAGCAGGCGGCGGCGCAGCCCGTAGAAGGCGGCCGGCACGTTGGCCCCGTACAGCGCTCGGAGCGGCCGCAGCAGCTTCTCCTCCACCAGGTAGCTGGCCACCCGGGCCGCGTCCCAGGGCTCGTCCCCCACAGGCAGCAGTGGCACGGTCACCAGCACGGAGAAGTTCCTGCAGGGAAGACCAAGGAGTGCCCGCCTGTGCCTCACTTCCTGCCAAAGCCCCCACCGAGCAAAACCCCAGTTCTCAGCAGCGAGCCCCGAGCTCCCCCTCGGTGGGCTGCCTCGATGCAGACAGGCCGGGGGCAAGGCTCAGCGCTGGGACCTGGCGCAGGGGCCCAGGTGGGCCAGGGCGCAGACGGAGCCAAGGTTCACGTCTGGGCTGGGGGGGCCACGAGGCAGCAAGAGCAGCGCCACAGCAGGGGGTGGGCACAAACCAGAGCCCCTGGAGCCGGAAGGTTCTGGAAGTTTCTACCACGTAGGGGAGGAACCTCAAGATGCAGAACGGGGGCCAAGTCAACCTCACGGGGCTTCAGGGAACAGGGAAACCCTGGCTTACGCCCACCCCTGACAGCAGGCAGGTGCAAGAGGGACAAGGGGGCAAGCAGCCTCCAGGCACCTGGGCCCGCTGGTGGCGCCCCCACCTGGTGGTGAGGAGAGCCCGCTCCCACCAGGCAGCCCTCTCCCATAGCCCCTACCGGGGAGGCCATCCTCACTGGCCTCTGCTGCCACTGCCCTATTCTGCGTGCACCTGCTAAGGGGTGGGAACCTTCCATGGCGCCGAGGGCTGAGGAGGCAGGGCAGGCGCTAATGCAGAGTCCTGGTGAGAGGGGAACTGCACTCAAACCAAGATTCACGGCCCAAGTCCTCCACCGCCCCCGGTGGCCTCACAGCCCCCGCCCCACGCCTCCTGCCGGTGAGGGGAACGACGTGGCCCCCGGCGCCGAGGCTTCTGCAGCCCACGCCGCGGAAGCCAGCAGCTTCTCACATGGGACAGCCCCCAGGACTCCTGCCCGGCCCTCCCGCAGGAAGTCAGCCAGTGCCCCGAATAGGCCCACCAGGGCAGAGTCACCATCACCATCCACCAGCACAAGCGCTGGAGACTGGGCCACATCCCAGGGAGAAGAAGAGGTAGACCACAGAGCTGGGGGCGGGGGGGGGGGGGGGGGAGCCAGCCCCGCCCACACCTTCAGCCCCTGAACCTGACCTTGGCCTTCTGACCCCAGGGCCGGGTGACAATCCATGCGTGCTGTTCTCAGCCACTACAGGTGGGGGCGTTGGTGAGGACAGCAGCAGGAGACAGAGAGACCCCTCCACCCCACCCCCACCCCCGGCCAGAAGCCGCCCCCAGCTCCTGTCTGCCACCACGTCCGTGAAGCTGGACTCTGCCCCCTGCCCCCTCCCCCACTGCCACCACGGTGCCCTGTGCTCCCCTCCTCTCCCCCTCCCCCAGGCTTCGTTCTCGTTCTCAACACAGGTGCAAGGCACAGCACACCTAACCTCGGCTCCACCTCTGCGTTCCCACCTCAGAGAAGGGGCCCAGGGGCCCGGGCCACCGCGAGCCCCGCCCCCTGCCGGACGCACCCTCTCCCTCTCTCTGCAGCCCCCAGGCCTGCCCTGGTATTCCTCCAGCAGGCCAGGCACATTGCTGCTACCACCCCCTCCCCGGCCGCTGTGTCAGCCACACCCTCTGCCTGGAACTCTTTCCACGAGGGGCACGAGGCGCAGCCCTGCCCCCCACCCGTCCCCCGCTGCCCCGTGTCTGCGCCGCAGAGCTGGTACCCGGGGCCGGCCGCCCCCATCCAGCCCGGGGCCTGTTTCTGGAAGCTCAGAATCGCCTCCCGTGGTTACAGCCTTAGTAAGCCAGACCATGCAGTGTGGCCAGGAGGCCAGCGCCCCGCACCACCAGGCCCCACCTGGGCGGTCGGCGAGCCGGGTAGGGGATCCCTTCTGTGTTGTGTTTCATGTGCCTCCCCACCCCAGCAAAGCACGAGGCTCGTGTGGGTACAGATCCATCTCGTGCCCTTTGTCTGCAGCCCCTGGCACAGCGCCTGCCCAGAGAAAGCTCTCCTAAAATACCCAGGAGCGAAGCAGCGGCCTCAGTGTCCACATCTGTAAAATGGGCACTGGGAGCGCCTCCGTGGCAGACGGGGGGAGGGGAAGTGGGGGGGGTAGAGGGACGGGTGAGGCCATCAGCAGGGCGCAGGGCGCCTTACCTGGCTGAGAAGCTGTAGAGGTGCAGCAGGGGGCTGCACAGCCGCCTCAGTGCCCGGGAGACGGTGGCCTCGGCCCACGTCAGGCTCTGCTGGCCGGCCTGGGGGAGGGGCACGGGCGCCGTCAGGGCCATCCTCAGCCGACTGGGTGCCCTCCCTCCCCCGTCCTGGTCTCACCAGCTCCAGGGCGCCCTTCACGGCCCCCAAGGCCGCCTCAATGGGCCCTGGCACCCAGGCCCGCAGGTGCTGCACAGCCTCCTCGGCCCGCTCCCGCCACACCTCGTCCAGGGGCCGCAGCGTCACCTCCAGGTAGGCGTCTCTCAGCGTGGCCAGGGGGCCTGCAGCGGGAGCCACCGCCCGCCAGGAGGCCGCCACACCAGGCAGGGAAAGAGCAAACAGAAATAAGGCAGCGGTGCAGCAGACCCAAGGTGTGGTCTCCCGGCAGGTGCCTGCGACCCCAGATTTGGAGAGGGTCCTGCCCACCCTGGAACTGAAGGCGCTCACGGCTCCTACGCCATTCACACCAACAGCATGGCTGAGGCCGGGGCAGCACTGGGGGCCGAGCCACAGCCCGTCACGCCACCATCCGCGTAGGCGTAGGAGCAGCTGCGCCACTTGCCATCCAGCTCCCCGCCCGTGTGCCTGGGAAGGCAGCGGAAGTCGGCCCAAGTGTCTGCCCACGTGGGAGACCCGGATAGAGCTGCAGGCTCCTGGCTTCGACCCAAGAATACGCCCTGGAGTCCCACAGCAGAGCCCATGGGAATGAAGCTGTACACTCCAAGGAAATCGGGCACAGAGACCCGAGTAGACAGCGGGCAGCGGGGCGTGCAGGTCCAAGGCAGGCGGGGGTCTAAGGGGCTGAGGCTGGGGGCTCCCAGGATAGGAAGCGCCCGTTCTGACACAAACAACCCCAGGGCCCCGGAGGGAGGGCCGCTCCCACACTCACGGTCCAGCTCCTGCCGCAGCTGGTCCAGCGCTGCCTGCAGCCGCTCCAGGTAGAGGGGCAGGGCCTGCGTCAGCGCCCGCCTGGCCTGGCTCCGACCCCACAAGTCCGCTGCCACCTGACCGCTCACCTGCACCGCCTCCAGCCCCGCCCGCGACAGCTGCAGCAGGAGGCCTGGCACGCCGCCCAGGGCCCTCGCCGGCCGCGCCTGGGCAGGGAAACCGAGGCAGGGTCAGCGAGAGGGGCCGGGCACAGGTGCTTACGCAGGTGCTTATGCCTGGAGCCCTGCAGACACCCCGCCCCCACCCCCCACCCCGTGTCCAGAGCCTACCCACCGGGGGCTGGAACCTTCTCAAGTAAGCAGCCAAGCCTCGGACCCTCTCCTCCAGCTGGGCCCGCACCCGGGATCCAACCGCGGCAATCCTGGACTGTGGGGACAGGGGGACAGGCCAGGGCTCCTGGGCGTCACAGGAATGAAGCAGGGGCTGTGTGTCCCACGGACAGCACTGCGTGCTCAGGACTCCTGGGCCCGTGGGGCTGGGGGCTCCCGGCACCACGGCGGCCTCAGCAGCACCCACCCCCAGCCGGGGCCCCCTCACCTCCACATGGCCCAGCAGGGCCCCCGGGCAGCCACGCGCCGCCAAGAGGAGACTTTGGTTGGCAGCCTGCAGGGTCAGGCGGCCCAGGGGCTGCAGCCGCCCGCCATCCTGGAGCCGCGCCTCCGCCTCCACCGCCCGCCGGTGGGCGCACGCCCGCAGCACCACGCTCTCGTCTCTGCTCCCTGGGGCCGGAGGGGAACTGGTGTCACGCTGGGACTTCCCCAGCCGCCTCCAGCGCCCACTCCCACCACACTCCACAACCTTCCGTGGCTCCCAGCACCCCAGGCAGAGCCCCAAGACCCGAGCATTCGAGGGCCTTGAGTGTTTCCCACCTACATCAACCTCCTGCCTACCCAAGGTCGCCACCCCCTTGCCCACCTCCTGTGGGCCCTGGGCCTTCCTGACAGCACGCTGAGCTCGGGGCAGCCTCCACCGCCCCAGTTGGGGTCCCATCAAGTCCCACCGGGTGTCTGGGAGCTCTCAGCACCCCAATCCCACCCCCCGGGGCCCCCCACTCACCCTCCTCGTGGGCCACGGAGACCTGCAGACAGCGCGGGGCGTGGGATGTGGCCGCGGACAGCCTCACGTGCTCTGTTCTGCCACCCGTGGTTCCCTCCAGCATGACCAGGCTCCCGGCAGCCGAGGCAGAGATGCGGCCGTGCAGGCCTGCCCACTGAGCCCGGGGGCCTCGCAGCTGGGGGAGAGCGGGGGGAGGGGCTTGAGTGAGGCAGGGTCCCACCCCTGGCAGCCCCAAACCCCCAAAGGGGCTGGCTCTGCGGACCTAGGCCCACCCGCACCCCCCACCAGGTGCAGAAGGTACCTAGGAAAGCACCCATCTGGGTGTCCGGCAGCTCCAGGCACCCACTGAAGCCAGGCCCCATCCCCGAGACCCTGAGTTCACGGGCCTGGGGGCCCCTGGGCAGGGGCACCTTGGACATTCCTGGTGCCCCAGCTGTAAGTCGGCGTGCAAACCAGGGGCCAAGGTCTCAGCAAGTTCACGGAGACGCCACCGTGGGTCACCCGTGGCACAAAGCCCTGGCAGCTGCTGAGCAGATGCCCGGCCACTCGCTGGCCCCTTGTGCACAGGGACCACTGGTTCCAGGCAGGCAGGGGGGGCCTGGCCACCAGGCATGCAGATGCTGGCACAGCCCAGGCCCCAGCTGGCACAGCAAGAACCAACAGCCGCATCCCTGAGAGTGAGAAGGTGGGAAAGAAAAGCCCAGAGACACCATCCTCATCTGACCTCGACCTCTGAAGGGAGGGGTGTGCCAGGAAGGCAGCACCACCTCATGGGCACCTACTACGCGCAGACACTTGGGCAAATGCCCCTTTCACCTAACAGCTCTGAAACAGAAGTAGAATTTGTTCCCATTCAACAGAGGGGAAGACTGAGGCTCAGCGAAGGCAAAAACCACAAGATAAAGGTCAGCCAACCAACCAGGAAGGCTGAGACAACAGGGAAGGGGCGCCCACTACGTGCCTGTGCTAGGCAGGCAGAAGGAAGGGTGCCCAGTCTCCCAGGAAGCACCTGTCAAACACCTGTAATCACACAGGCGAACGAAGAGGCTCAGAGAGGGTCCTTCCCCAAGCTCGGGGCCCGGGGAGAGAAAGCAGACTTTACACGCAGCCCCGCACCTGCACTTGCTCACCTCCCCAGCCACCAGGAGACAAGGGTGGAGGCCGGGGCCAGGGCTGGGGCCAGCAACAGTCATGGCTGACCACAGCTGCTTTCCCAGTCAGGTCCAGCTCAGGGCCTCAGGCACACCCTGGCCACACGCTCCCGACAGCAGGGATCCTGCCCGGAGGAGGGAAGGTCAAGGGCACCCTGGGAGCTGACTCAAGCCCTCGGCTGCGCAGACACCATGCTGGGAGTACTGCTGGTTACCCCGTCCCCAGTCCCCGGCTCAGGGAAGCGGCGGCGAGCCAGCGCTGCCTGCAGTTCCGAGCACAGCCACTAGATGGCAGGGCCGCCCCGGCGGCGCGGCCTCCGGTCCGGGCATTTTTAGGAGACCGACCCGGGCACCCACCTCCAGGTCCCCGGAGAAGTCGGGCGAGTGGGGCCCGCTGCGGTTGCGGAGGGTCAGGCTGAGCTGCAGGCCGCGGTCAGGGTCTGGGGTGAGGCCTCGCTGGCAGGGGGAACCCAGGGGCAGCCCAGCGTGGTCCAGGGTGAGCTGCAGGGAGACGGTTGGGGGTCGGGGGTCAGGAGGGGGGGGCGGGGCTCGCACTGCCCTTGTCCCTCCCGCCAGGAGTGCAGCTCCCCGCTGCCCACGTGGCAGCCGACACGCAGCTAAGACAGCACAGGCTCCGCTCCCCAGGCAGTCCGGGAGCTGCCAAGGTCGCCTCGGCTCTCCCTCCCCCGGGCCTGCGCAGGCCCCCTCCCACCCTGCCCTACTCCCGGCCGTGCACTCCGCGGCTGGCTCTCAGTGCCCTGCTCTCCTCTGCCCACAGGCAGGGGGCGCTCGTTCCCGACCCCGCACCCAGACCAGTGTCCAGGTGAGGAACAGGCGGGTGCATCTGTGGGCCGAACCCCCATCGCCGCCACCCAACCCGGCCCCTCAGCCCGCACCCAGCAGAGCCACCACGCGCGGCCCCGCGACAACCCCTTCCCCAGCGCACACGCACCGCAGGCGGGTCCGGGAGTGGCGGAGGCGGGGAGCCAATCCCCGCACCTCCCCAGAAGCTGGGCTCGGCGCAGGGGGCGGTGAGCGCGCGCTGCAGCCCGGCCTCGATGCGGATCGTGCCCGCCCCGGATGGCCGGGGCACCTGGAAGGAGGGTGCAGCGTGGAGGCGGGGACTGACCCCAGTGTAGCCCAGAGCGCCCGTGCCAGCTGCAGGAGACCCCGACCCACACAGCGGAGGGGCCAGAACTCAGACACCAGTGCCGCAAGACCTCTGCCGGCCCGAGGGTCCCAGGAGCCTACGGTGGGCAGCTCAGGGAGGGAAGGGCCCGTTCTCCCAGACTCGTGCCCATCGGGAGCCCCAGGAGGGCAATGATGCTGGGAGCGCTACCCCACCCCCGGCCAAGAAGTCCACTGAGGTCACCAGTGCCACCCCTGCCCCCAGCACTGGCCTGAGCCTCCACCCCGTGCCAGGAAAGCAGCGTGGCACCCATTTCACAGTTGGGAAAACCAAGGATCCCAGGGGGCAACGGGTCACCTCAGGCCTACAGCAGAGCTGCCGGGATCTCGGGACCACATGGCCCCTGCGCCCGGCACTGTCCGCTGCGGGAGGGAGCACTGTGGGTACCTGCCTGGGACCCAGCTCACCTCACAGGTCACGTTCTGCTGCACCCGAGTCTGGCCCCAGGCCAGCTGGAGCCACTCGCTAACCACAGCTGGGGTCTGCGTTAGGGCCCCGCAGGCCCGGAGGAAGCTCAGGCCCCAGGCTTGCCGGAGCTGCCAAGGAAGAGAACGGAGTGCGTGACCGTGCAGGCCAGCACACGGGAGGGAGAGCCCCATCGGCTCGGCTGTCCAGCCCGTGCCTACCTGTCCCGGGGAGGCGGCCAGACAGCCAGCCCAGGCCGTGCTGTGTGTGGAGGACCTGTTGGCCCAGGTGAGCTGCAGGGTCACGGGCGGCCCTCCGTTCCAGGTTAGCTGCACCTGCGTTGAGAGGGGGCAGTGGCTGTGGGTGGGGAGGGGTGGGAGGAGAAGCTAACGCTCCCTCGTCACCCCCTGACCTCATCCCCCCCGTCACCGGGCCACCCTGGCCACTGGCTCAGCTGCAGCCTTACCCACCTCTGGCTTCTGAAGTGCCCAGCCTGTTGCTGCCACAGGGCCTTAGCACCTGTCCCACTGCCTCCTGCAGCTCCTGGCTCCTCCTCCTCCCTGAGCCCTCCATGCACGAGCCCCTCCCCCAGCAGGTCCTCACCGCCCCCGTCCCCAGACAGCCAATCTCAATCTCAACACCCTCTTTGCTCTCCTCACCACATCTTTTTTTTTTTTCATTCGTTGGCTTAAATTTGGGGGTCTTTTGGCTTCTTCCAGGCACACAGCTGGGCTACTGTCCTCCACGTCAAGGAAAAGCTAAGCCTTGGAAACTTGAGGGCTGCCTGAGGCCACTGAGCCAGACGGGGCCCAGCTGCCTGCGCACCCCACAGCCGCCCGCTAAACAAGCCATCGTATGAACAGTGCGTCCGCTTACAAACCATCTCCTCATTAAAACGTGAGTGCCACAGGTGCAGGCAGCTGTCCCTGGCACACAGCAGGCGCTTAATAAGGCACTGATGACCCCGTGGTCTCCAGGCCGCACCAGGGCTCAGCCAGGCAGCTCCCCACCCCCACCAGGGCTGCCCAGGACGCCCGCTCACCTGCCGGCTCTGCCTGCCGCCCCTGCTCTCGGCCAGGCCCCCGAGCCCCACTTGCTGCCAGGTGAGGTTGAAGGGGTGAGCCAGGTCCAGGCGGGCGGCCAGCTGGTCGCGCCCCAGCCACAGAGAGGAGGAGACCAGCACCTGCGGAGGCACAGACTTGAGCACGCCAGCCCCAGCCCCACACACAACCGTCCCCATCTGTGGGGGGTGGGGGGCAGTGGCTCTGAGCGCCAACTCCCAGCCCCTGGGAGACCCAGGGAGAGCGCCGGCCCATCTCAGAGGGGCAACTGAGGCTCGGAGACATGACGCCCAATGCACCATGGGACAGAGACGGGACAGGAAGTGGTGGACACAGGGGGTCATGTCAGAGGCATCCAGGGCTTCGAATCCCAGGCCCGCCTCCCACCAGCTCCCAACAGCAACATGGCAGCTGGGGTGCTCACAGCAGCACCAGGCATGGAGGAGCCCCCCCATGTGTCAGTTACCCACAGCTGTCGCCGCCGTAGTGGGGCTGGCACCCAGAATCTCCAGCCAGTGCCTTGGCCCTTAATAGGGCTCCTCACGCAGGGCAGAGCCCCAAGGGCCCCCCCTTAGGCTGCAAGGCAAGGCCCAGCTCCGCCCACCCCCAGGGCCTCTGTCCAGCCCCGACGCCTACCTGCTCCCTGCCATCCCAGCCGACAACCAGGCGGTCCCAGCGGCCGGCGCCTGGGCGCTCGGAGGACAGGCGGAGGCTGCAGTGCCGGGGCAGGGGGAGCGGCAGCGGGTGGACAAGCTCCACTGGGCAGGGGGCACACAGGGCGGGGGAGGGGGGGACGTGTGAGCTGCGGCTCAGGGGACTCGCAGCCGACCCCGCTACCGACCTGGCAGGCCACTGCTCCCACGAGCCCCCAGACCACTGGGGCACCCCAGGGCAAGCCGGAGACAGCATCACGCTGCACACTGCGCCGTCCCTCCCTCAAGTGCTCACGGCTCAGCCAGGAGGGGGCAGCATTTGACACAGCAGCTCCCTGCTAATGCACCTGGGAAAGCAGCCGCAGATGGCCCCAGTGTGTGGGTCCCTGCACCCATGTTGGAGATCCACCCTCTGACCTGCCGGCTCCTGGCTCGATAATTGCACGGGCCGTAGGTGGCTCTGCATACACATGCGTGCACACACACCCACGCACCTGCCCTGCTGAGGACACACCCACTTCCTCCGCCCCCAGGCACAGGCGCAGCACAAGTGGCTCCGGGGAGGAAGCCGTGAGACCGGCTGCACGCCCGGGCTGGGATCTGCGCTCCTTCCCTCCACTCGGAGGGACAGCAGATCGGGCTCGACTCCCTGCCCAGGGGCTCCGCACATAGTGACAGCCGAGGGGGCTGTACAGGCCCCCGTTACAGCCCTGCAAGGGTGCCTTTGACACTCGGGATGTCCTGGCACAGGCCTGCGACCCCCACGCCCCCCTCCTCCTCTCTCCCCTGCTGCTGCCGCCTCCACAGGATGCCAGCCATCCCCAGGCCCCTGCACCTGCTCTTCCACCTGCCCACAGGACAGCCCCTCGCGGCACCCGATCCTGCTCCGGTTCCTTTGCCCCCTATTTCCCGATGGACCCCACTGCCTGGAACAGCACTCGGGCTAAGCAGGTGCTTGGTGACGGTGTGCTGTGTTAATGAGTGATGGTCTTCCCTCCTGCAGCCCCCCTGCACTCACCCTGCAAGCTGAGGTTCCTGGTGGGCTCCAGGAAGGGCCCGGAGAGGCTCCCGCTGAGCGCCACCTGCTGGCCATCCCACAGCAGCGTCTGGCGCAGGGTGTGGGTGCCCTGGGCTCGCTGGTAGGTGGTCTGCAGCACCAGCTCCCCTGGGAGGACCTGGAGCTGGAATAGGACAGAGCAGGCGTCTCTGGGCAACTCAGTCCACACCTCTATGTGGGAAAGAAGGTTCCAGAAGAGGACAAAGGGGGCGTCGGAGGGTCACCGACGGTCCGCTGGGAGGTAACGCATCAGTGCATCTGCAGATAACCCAGGTGGATAGACGCCATGTACAGCTCTGTGCAGCCCAGGGAAGTGATGGGCTCCAGGGCTGACCGTGGAAGGGGCGTCGTGGGAGCGTCTGACGTCAGGGACCCCAACCCCATACTGAGAGCGGGGCACAAAGATGACCAAGTCCTGCTGCTCCGTCTCAGGAGCTCCCAGGCCGGGGAGAGACAGGAGGGGCGAGGGGCACAGCACACAGGGAAGGAGCCCCTGTCCCTGGCAGTCACGGTCCAAAGGTGGCCCCTGGGGGTGTGGCAGGGGCCTGCTGTGTCTGTCCTTAGGTGTCTCTCCTCCCTCTCTCTCTGCCTTTCAAATAAATAAGTATTTTTAAAACGGCGTTGGTGCTGTGGCGTAACAGGTTAAGCCACTGCCTGCAGCACCGGCATCCCGTATGAGCATTGGTTCAAGTCCTGGCTGCTCCACTTCTGATCCAGCTCCCTGCTAAGGCACCTGGGAAATCAGCAGAAGATGGCCCGAGTCCTCAGGCCCCTGCACCCGCGTGGGAGACCTGGAAGAAGCTCCTGGCTCTGGAGCAGTTTTGCCCCGGCCATGTGGAGAGTGAACCAGCAGACAGAAGCCCTCACACGTGCTCGCTCTCCTCTCGCTTTAACTCTGCTTTTCAAATAATTAAAATCTTAAAAAAAACTCTCAAACCCCTCACCACCGCCCTCTGCTGGCGCAAGACAGCACAGTTTCTTGCCCTGCCCACTGGAGTGCCTTGCTCACAGGTGTCTCCGCTGCCACACAGGGCCCCAGGCCCAGACAGAACAGATCAAACCGCTCCCTGCGGTCAGCGCGCTGCTGGCCACTGTCCCGTCACCCAGTGGCCTGGTCACTCCCGACACGCGGAGTTCATTCCTGTGCCCCGCCCACACCCCCAGGACCTTTGCACACGCTGTCCCCACTGCCCAGAGTGCTCAGCACCAGACTGAAGCGGCCGACACTTGCTTGTCACCCAGGACTGGCTCAGCATGTCACCTCCTCCTCGGGGCGCCTGCCCTGGTCCCCTCAGCCACTTCCCCCAGCTGCTCTTCTCCACTTTGAGTCACACCAGGGTGTTTTCTTATTTGTGAGTGCACATGTGTGTGTGCGCGCGTGTGTTTGTATGTCTATACATGTACATGTGTGTGCATGCATACATGTGTGCCTGTGTGTGCATAAACCGTACATGTGATGAGACCGAGGATTTACCAGCATCAATTCAGGCAGTGCCTCGGCGTCTGGAACAGTCCCCGGCACCTAGTATTGGCTCAGTAAACAACCCACGACCAAGGAAGGGCGCCCAGAGCAGGCGGGAGGCCAGCGTGGTGCACGCTGCACCCTCACAGCCCCGCCTGCCCCAGGAGCTCACAGGCTGTCCCTGAGGGTCCCCCGGCTGCCCCGCACACACCTGGGGGAAGGTCTGCTCCAGGCTGACGGTGCTGGCGACGGTGGCCCTCGTGGCCTCCAGCCTGCCGCTGACGTGGAAGCGGCGCTCCTCCACGCCGATGCCGAGGGTGGCCTCGGCTGCGCCCTCGGCGCCCCGCAGCTGGGACAGGAGACAGAGCGCGGCGGGGGTCGGCCAGTGCGGTCAGAGCCCCACGCTGGGGTGGCACCCGCCGCACACAGGCAGCCGGGACCTCAGGCTGAGCGAGCACCGGACAAACCGATCGGGGGTGTTCTGGATGAGGGGCAAATGCGGGGAGTGGAGTGACGGGGAGATGTCTCAGGGGAGGCATGGCGATTCCCGCAGCTTGTTTTGAAACGAATCAAAACCAAGAGGGGAAGACAGCGAGGAGGTGACAACGCCAACAGTGAGCGGGGACGCAGGCAGCACGTACAGGTGCTGGCGCAGACACACTTCTCGCCTTTGGGGTCTCTGATGTTTCCCGAGGCCCAGGGTTGTGGACCCTCAGTGCAAAGGGCCAGAGGGTGAACTGTACCCACTCCCCTTTGTCTCTGAATGCGAGAGCAGCCTTGGGGGCCAGCGCTGTGGCACAGCAGGTAAAGCCATCGCCTGCAGCACCTGCATCCCATGTGGGCGCCGGTTCGAGTCCCAGCTGCTCCACTTCCGACCCAGCTCCCTGCTAACGCACCAGGGAGAGCAGCAGAAGATGCCTAGATCCATGGGCTCCTGCACCGGGCCAGAGGTGGCGGCACAAAGGGAGAGAGGAACAGGACCTGCGTGGAGCGGGCCCCCGTCTGCACCCGGCACCCCCAGGCTCACACACAGGGGTGGAGGGGGCTGGCTCAGTTCCAAGGGCTCTGTCATCTGGTCCAGCGGTGGGGACCGTGCCAGGCCAGGGGAGGCCCGCGCCTGGCGCCCGGCTCTGCCTCCCCCAGCTCCTGGGGGTCTCATGGGCACACCCAGGAATGTAAACCTGGCTGTTTGCGCAAGCTGGAGCCAGGGGTGTCTGAGGCTGGCGGCGGCCAGATGTGGCTGCGTTTGCACAGCCGGCCGGGCCCAGGCAGCCGCTCCCCTCGGGCAGGGCATCTGGAAGCGGTTAGCAGTGGGCGGCCGGGACACGGTTACCTTGGCTGTGGCGGAGGCCGCGCTGGGGCAGAGGCCCAGGAGGGCAGGGAGGCGGTGCCAACCGGACAGCGCCAGCTCTTTGCTGCAGGACAGAGAGGGAGAGAGAGCCTGTAGCTGGCAGGAGGGCACCCGCCCAGCACCCAGCACCCATCGGCAGCTCCACTGCCCCACCAAACTCCCTCTCCATCTTCCGAAGGCCTCTGACTCCCGATGGCTCAACTTTCCTAACTGACGGCTGGCGAAAGCAACAGGGGCTCTGGGAAGCAGCACCTTGGCTTCTGCTCCTGGGCCGGCCCTGGCCTGCGCCCAGCTGTAGGCCTACCTATGTTCCGAGCCCACTGAAGGCAGGCGGGGCTAAGCCAGGAGGTTCAAGGGCAAACATAGCAAATGCATTTCTGACTTAGGGCGCCCGGGACTCAACGTGGGTTTATCAGGACCGAAGCCTGCGGAAAGGCAAGGAGCAGCCACACTCCGACAGACCCTCAGTGGCTCCCCGGCCCCTCCCACCAACACCAGCTGTCAATCAGAAACGTGGCCACCTGCTGGTGTGTGTCCCGGGACGACCCTCGCAGCCAGGTGAGAACCACTGGTCTTTAGTGAGTGACTCGCTCATGGCTCATCGGCCTCCCTCAGCCAGGAGGTCTGGGCACTGCAGCCTGGCTGGGGCCCACCCGCCGTGCACACGAGAGCTCCCAGCTCTGTGCCCGGCCCCCAGATGGCCCCCAGATGACAAGGGCTGTGAGGCCGCCTATGGCAAGACCTGGAGGCCTGGCTTGGCGAGACCAAGAACTCACCCACGCTCCAAACCAGAGGCTGGGGTTGGTTCTCGCTCAGCTGTGTGGCCTTGGACGCACTGCTCTGCCTCTCTGAGTCTCCCCTCCACAGTGCTTGTGTCTGACGTGGCCACACGAAGGTGCCCAGACGACGGCTACCGCCCCAGCTCCTCTCCTCCCACCAGCCCCCCCGACGCCCCCCTCACCTCACCGCGCGGTTCTGGCCCCGGGCCTCGAGGCCCACACAGGCGTGAGCATCGCAGGTCAGCCGCAGGGAGGCGCTCAGCTCCTCGGCGGCCCAGAGGCCCCGGAACAGCAGCTGAGGACGAAGCAGGGGAGCGAGGGGCTGCAGACCCGCAGGGGCGCGGTGGGACCGCAGCCAAGGTGAGGCCTGGACAGTGAGGAGCACGGGCAGGGCCTGGGGCAGCAGCGAATGCAGCACTCCCTCCAGCGAAGCGCTTAGGCGAAGTCGGGGGACAGAGGGTCCCCACCCACCCAGCTGTGGGGTGCAGGGGCTGCCACCCTGACCCCCGGGCTCCCAGGGAGAGTCCCCTCCCCCACAGCAGGTGCATGACTGGGTCACCCCAAACCGGAGGTGCATTTCTGCAGCCATTTCTCTGTACTCTCTAACTCTGCCTTTCAAATAAATAAAACAAATCTTAAAAAAAAAAAAAAAAAGGCTGGGGAGGGGCAGAAAGGCAAGGCCCAGGGGCTGCTGGGGTGCTGGCTACAGCTGGCTACAGCTGGCCACAGTACCGCGTACACGGCAGAGCAAGGACAAACCCAGGCGCAGCCATCGCCAGCATGACGCCCACCCGGGTCCTTTGCATAGCTGGCACTGGGAGGGAGGTGACACAGACACACAGCGGAGCGAGCCCCGCCCCGTCACACCCACTCACCTGGCTGGCGCGGGGCAGGCCCAGCCTCTGCAGGACGGGCACCGTGTGGCTGGCATTCACTGCCAGCTCCAGCGCGCCCCCCTGTGGCCGAGCCGCCAGGGCTGCCGCGTCTACGATGACCTCGCCGTCGCTGCCACCACGGAGGGCCACAGTGGCCAACGTCTGGGTCTCTAGAGGCAACGGAAGGTACGGGCGGCTGGGGACTGACTCACGTTCACCCCAGCTCAGAGACGGCAAGCGGACCAGGCCATGCGTCTGCGGACTCCGGCGACACACTGCCACCCGAGCCTCTACCACACCACCTGCTTAACACAGCTCCGGGCTCCTGGCCAGCTCGGCTCCTTCTCTCACTGGGGCGACCACTGAAATGGCACCCCCTCCCGGAAGCCTCTCCTGACTGCTCATCTGAAGTCCCTCCCAACCCTTCATTGCCACGCCCCCACTCCCCATCCACGTCAGACCCCCCACCCCGACCCAAGCAGGCCGCTAGCCAGCGTTAGCGTCCCCCCTGCCGCTTCTCCGGCAGGCTGCCCAGGTCATTCCGGGCTCTCATGCACCACGGTCTCTGCCCGCCTCACCTGGCCTGCCCCGCCCCTCCCACCAGCACCTTATGGCTCCGCCCCCTCCGAGGCTGGGACCAGTCCCCAGGAGAGGAGACCCCACAGGACGGAGGTCTCACGGTCAGTTCCTGGGAGCAGGAGCCCCAAGGGAGACAGAGGACGCCTACTTGCGTCAGAGACTGGTTCCTGTGGACACGGCTCCGCGCACAGGCTCCGGCCACACTGGGCCTGCCCCATCGCTGCCAAGCCTGGCGGCTCTGAGCATCGATTTCCACATCTGTGCAATGGGCACAGCCCACCGCCAGGAAGACCAAGTCCCGAAGGGCCCCGCCTGTGTGGCACACGGCCGCCCTCGGGAAACGCTCCTCTCCTCCCTTGGGGCTCAGCCGTGAGCACCTGCCGTGTGCCAGGCAGAAAGAGGCAGCGCGGTCCCCAGGCCTGCATGCTCCCCGTGCTCAGGGACATCCCAGCGGGGGGAGAGGGCGCCCTAGGGGTAGGACAGCCAAACGGGGACCTGATGGAGAAGGGGAGAGTTGTTCCCAGCTGCCGGCAGCCACGCCAGACCCCCTGGGGCAGGAGGTCGTCATCCCGGGGTGGTCCCTGCACCCCACCAAACCCCAGGACCAGTTCAGACTGACCCTGCGGTCCCCACGTGATCCAGGCCCCCAGCCACCCCACAGGAGGGTGGGGCCGAAGATGGCAGAGCCTGAAGCCGGAAGACAACGACACACAGGTGTGGGGGAGCCACTCGGGGTCCTGATGAGGCCAGAGCCAGCTCCCCACAACCTACAAGGCGCCCAGAGGGTGGCTCAGGCGCTGGGCTGCCAGGGTTCAAGTCCCGGACGCGTCAGTTGCCAGCTGTGTGGCCTGAGTCAAGAGACTCGGACTCTGAGCTTCCCCGGGTGGAGAAGGAGGACGGTGCTCCCGTGGCCTCCCGGGCTCGCCCACCCCTTCATCAGCAGCTGTCTACTGCACACCTACTGCGCGCCTCTCAGGAGCACAGAGAAGTCACCCCCGCCCACAGAGAACCCACTCCAGCATGGGGTGCCCAGGAGGCTGACGATGACAAATAAAGATTCAATCAGGAATCTGCACCCTCAGCCACAGTGACAAAGCCGGGGGGAAATGGAGGGAACTGGGGTGCAGGCAGCCAGCCCAGCGGGTATGTGGGAGAGAGCGTTCCCAGCAGAACGACCAGCGCAAGCAAAGGCCCTGAGGCCACAGCAAGTCTGCCCTGGCGCACACCGGCAATGGGGGAGGGGCCAGACAGCTCCCACGTGCGAATGGGCAGGTTTTGTCGCTTTTTCTTCCGGAACACCTGTGTGCAGACAATTTGCCAGCAGGTGCGCTGTCAGCACCCAGTACCACTCCCTTCCCCCGTCCTCCACTGCGGGCTGAACCGAGTCCCCCAAACCAGGAGCTGCGATGCCGACCTCCGGTGCCTGTGACGTTCCGTAGGCAGGGGGTCTGCGCAGGTGCCAGCGACAGCCAGGTCACACAGGGCCAGGCGGGCCCCGAACCCAGTACAACACAAGTGACAAGAGGAGGAGCCGGCCGCGGACAGAGGGGAGACCGAGGCAGGGGCTGGCATGACATCTCCCTAGCCAAGGGCCATGAAGCCAGGGAACCATGGCCCCTGGAGCTGTGGGGTGTGCGGGTGCTGCCCGCAACGTGGTCTGGACTCGGCCCCCAGCGGGTGAGGCAGTGACTTCCCGTCAGGCGCAGGATCCGGTGGGCTGGGGCAGCCCCCGAGGGCAGGCCTATCCTGGTTGGTCCAGGAGCCCAGAGCTGAGCCTCATTAGGGGCCCAGGGCCTGCGGGGGTCAAGGCGGGCACAGGCTTCTTACCATGCACCTGCAGCTCAGCAGCCAGGCGGGCCTCGCCCGGGAAGCCGGCCCGCAGCAGGGTCTCGCTGTTGTGCCGGCTCCGGCCGGAGAGCTGCAGGCGCCCGTTGTGGGAACTGCCACTCACAGAGAGGTTGAGAGACGCGGGCCCCACGGCGAGGCACCCGGAATGCTCAAAGCCAGAGCCGCCGTCGCGAAGGTCCACGGAGATCTGCAGCAAACCCAAGGAGTCTGAGGCCATCGCGGGCCGAGATGCCGGCCCCCGCCGCCCTAGCGCTGCTCCCAGGCTGAGGTGGGGGCTCCGAGCCCCTCGGAAGGAGGTGTGAGGAGACAGGTGACTGTGGCTAAACACACACGCACCCAGGGGCCCGTGGATTCCACCAGGAGAAACCCTTAAGGAGGTGGGGTCGGCACAGGGCGGGGGCAGGGGCACAGTAGGGCGAGCGTGGCGGGGGAGGAGGTGCCCTGGAGGCTGGCAAACCACAGCCATGGGCCAGCTGGGCCCAGCAGCTCTTTCTCTAAATAAAGCTTTATTGAGACACAAGCCCACTCACAGGGCCTGGGCGGGACCCCCACTTTGAGCTTGCGGGGCTCCCTGCTGGGGGCTCCCTGCCAGGCTCCCTGCTGGGGGCTCCCACAGACCTTGCGCTCAGGCCAGGATGGGCATCACAGAACCAGAAACCCCTCCGTCCTCCTCCCCCAGGCAGCCCTCAGGGCTACGCTCACCAGGCACCTGCCACACCCAGGCTGGGCTAGCACCCAGCTACCCGTCAGGTGGCACCGCCCAGGCCCTGGCCCCCGCACAGTTCACCCCAGCACGGGGTGCGGGAGGCACCAGACCAGGCTGGAGTGCGGGGGGCTGGGGCCGTGCTGCGGATCTGGCTGTGTGTTCGTTTCCCCAGCAATGCCGGGGCCTTGGTCGGGGAGCACCCGGAGCCACCCAAGCCTCCTGGTCCACCCGCGCCAGCTGCCCCACGCAGAGCAGGTCCAGGACAGGCGTCTACCTGAGCTGCAGGGGGCGCCCAGCTCACCATCAGGCTGGGCGGGGCCCACTGGGAGCCAGGAGCCCAAGCCATGCACCAGGGCCAGCGGGGGAGAGGGAGGCTCTGGGGAGGGGACTGCGGGCATCTGCCTGGCCTAGAGCTTAGCCCAGGCCATGCTGCAGGCTGCCCCTGCTGGTCAGGCTGTGCAGCCCCACAGACGACCACACCCTCGCCGCCCCGCCCTCAAGAGACCCCCATACCTCGAGGGGCTGCCCGGCAACAGCCCCGTGGCACAGCCCCCACAGCCTGGTGGGCACGGCCTCTCCGCTGCAGCTGACCTGCGGAGACCAGCGGGGTGGGGAGGGGCTGCCTCTTCCCCCCTCCCCCCTCCCTCACGGAGCTGCCCGTCACTGCCCTGGCTCCGCCCCTCCCTCTAGGGAGGCTTTGCCTGAGGTATCCCACAGGAGGCTGGGAAAGAGGACATGACCGTCCCAAGGCAACACGATCCAGGCTGACACAGTGGCCTAGCTTCAGCCCCAGCCCTGGTCACCACGTCCCACACATTCTAGAAGGTTCAGCCTTCTAGGAAGGCAGGAGGGGAGAGACTGAGTGCCTGGCCTCTGGTGGTCCCCATCTGGCGGCAGCCCCTTCCATACAGGTACTCCTGGCTGACTCTGCACACCCCCACTCCCCCCGCCCATCCACGCAGGTACTCCCGGCTGACCCACCTGCACCCCTCCCCCTCCACGCAGGTACTCCCGGCTGACCCACCTGCACCCTCTCCATGTAGGTACTCCCGGCCAACTCACCTGCAGCCGGGCAGGCAGGGCGCCCAGCAGCCCGCAGAGGCCCCGGTGCAGCCTGAGGGCCAGTCCCTGACTGCCATTCTCCATCGTCCTCTCCAGGGCCGCGTGAAGTTGCTTGCCGTCCAGGTCCACAGCCAGCCCGGCTCCTAGACGGTGTCCCACGCTCTGGGCAGAAGCAGCCAAGCTGTAGGTCTGCTTTGCACCTGCCGCCCTCTGGGGGGAGCCAGGCCCAGCCCCTTCCTCACCCACCTGGAAGTGACCGTGGCCATCCACAGAGAAGGAGAGGCCCCAGCGCCGGGGACCTGGGGAGCCAGAGGCGGGCTCCTCGGGATCCAAACCGGCATCTGGCCGACCCCGCGGGCTCCGGAGTGCCAGGTGCACAGAGCCGTTGCAAGCCACGTGAGTGAGCGACAGAAGCAGCCCAGCCTCCGAGGGGTGTCCTGGGGGCAGGACGGCCGGCAAGGGTCAGGCAGAAGCCTGCACGGTCCAGACCAAGCCACCCACTGTGCCTAGAAGGAGCCAGAGACCCCAAGGCAGGCCCCCGGGCCCCACTACCCCCAGACACACAGGCCGTGTCTTCCTTGATCTTTATTGAGCCGGGTGCAGGGGTTCAGAGCACTGGCTGTTTGCGCCTCGACCTGCTCCCCAACCATGCGGGGAGCAGCCCTGTGTCCTGTGGAGCCCTGACCTGCCGTTGCCTCTCGGGGACAAGAGGATGGAGGCGCTGGGGGCAGCCGCAGAGCAGGGCAGGGACCTGGGGCTGAGGGGCCCCCTCACCCCCAAGCCCCAACCCCAGCATCTCCAGTCTGGGGGACGGAGGCGGGCACCTGTGTCTCTCAGCGTGCTCACGTTGTATCTCAGGCCACGCCCAGGGCCCCAGGTACAGGCCCCACCCACGGCCAGGCGGACCCTGTCGGCTCGGACGCTGGCCTGGCCCCAGAGGCCCTCGGTCTGGGCCCGCAGCCGCCCTCTCAGCCGGACCTCTCCTGGCCAGGCCTGGCTGCTGTTCTGGCTGAAGACGCAGGCGACGCTGCGCACACTGGCGCTGTTCCCTGCCGTGCCACGCTTGTCCCGCAGGAGGAAGCTCAACGCAGCCGAGTCGGCAGTGACCGCGATGCTACCTGCGCACGGGAGGGAAGCGACAATCAGACAACGACCCAAGGGGCTGGGGAGGAAGGGAAAGAACCCTAGGTGGGAAGCGGCTAGATCCTCGATGTCCGGACCCCAGCCCGTGCAGGAAACGGCGTATTTGTGCGATGGATCCGATTATGCCACTCCCTCCCAGGATGCTCTGAGGACCAGGGAGCTCACAGAACACGGAGTCAGGGGAGGCAGTGGCCCGAACAGGCCTGTGCGGACACCAGCGCTCCAGTCCTGCAGGCTGGAGCCATGGGCCGGCCGTGATGGGACGGCCCCATTGTACAGACAGCAAAACTGAGACCTGGGAGGCCCTGAGGGCTCCAATCCGGAATTTAGGGATGGAAGCGTTGCCCTGGGGTCTGTTTGCCTCCTCAAAAGCAGCCTGCAGGCCAGTGTGCCTTCCATGTGGCCAGGTTCCGCTCAGAATCAGAGCCCACGTTCCTGCTCTTGTCAGACTGTTGCGGTCACGCAAGCCCCTGGGTTCTCTCTGGGCTCTGAAGGGGTCCAGGTGGGCTCACCTACACCTCCCCCTCTGCCATTCAAGATTTGACTCAGAGTCGCCACCTCCAGGAAGCCCTCCTCAGCCCACGCACCCTCCAGGCTGAGCTGCACACCCTTGCTCTGTGCTTCTCGCCACGTAACTCGTGTTCAACTCTATCACAGGGTGAGAGCGCCTGGGGCCGGCGCTGTGGTGAGCCGGCAAAGCTGCCTGTGCGTGCCAGCATCCCACAGGGGCGCCAGTTCGAGTCCCGGCTGCTCCTCTTCCGATCCAGCTCTCTGCTGTGGCCTGGGAAAGCAGCGGAAGATGGCCCAAGTCCTTGGGCCCCTGCACCGGCATGGGAGACCCAGAAGGCTCCTGGCTCCGGATCAGCTCAGCTCTGGCCTTTGTGGCCATTTGAGGATTGAACCAGCAGGTGGAAGATCTCTCTCCCTCTCTCTCTGTAACTCTGACTTTGAAATAAATAAATAAATCTTAAAAAAAAACAAACAAACAGTATTTTATTACAAAATTTGGTGTGACTAGGACCTAACCAATAATGAGCTAGGATGATCAGTCATTGTCAATGTCACTCCAAGAGTCACACAGCCCAGAGGGTGAAGGAGACAGCAGCCTGTAGCCCCCAGGTCTGAGACGCAGCCCCCGGCAGGGGCCCAGCTCAAGGGTGGACGTCGCGGCTCAGCTGCCACTTGCGGCGCCACCGTCCCCTGTGTGAGTGCCATGGAGGTCCCAGCTGCTCCGCTTCTGGTCCAGTCCCCGCTAACGTACCCGGGAAAGCAGTGGAGGACGGACCCAGTGCTTGGGCCCCTGCCCCCGACGCAGGAGACCCGGATGGAGTTTCTGGCTCCTGGCTTTGGCGTGGCTGTTGTCTGCAGCCACTTGGGGAGTGAATTAGGGGATGGAAGATGTTTCTCTCTCCCTCCATCTCTCTCTGTTGCTCTGCCTTTCCAATAAATAAATAAACCTTTTTTAAAACAATCATTTTTTAAAAATTAACTCAACAGTTAGACACTAAACATACAAGCAAGATATAAAACCTCCAGAACAAAAAATAGGAGGATCTCTGTGACCTGGGGAAAGGCAAAGTTTCTTAGACAGGATACAGAAAACAACAACCATAACGAAAAAAAAAAAAAAAACCAGAGTCAGTCTTCATCAAAATTAAAACTAATGTTCAGCTGTAACATGGGGGGTGAACCAACGGAAGGAAGACCTTTCTCTCTGTCTCTCTCACTGTCTAACTCTACCTGTCCAAAAAAAAAAACAAAAAACAAAAAACAAACAAAAAAAAAAACAACAAAAAACTAATTTATGAAAGGATAAATAAAAGCAAGCCATCAAGTGTGGGGAAATATTTACAAAACACGGATCTATCAGAAGACGCATATCTAGGAGCCGGTGCTGTGGTACAGTGGGTAGGGCCACCGTCTGCAGTGCCGGCATCCCATATGGGGGGCAGTTCGAGTCCCGGCTGCTGCACTTCCGATCCAGCTCTCAGCTATGGCCTGGGAGAGCAGGAGAAGATGGCCCAAGTCCTTGGGCCCCTGCACCCGCATGGGAGACCCAGAAGAAGCTCCTGGCTCCAGATCGGCACAGGTTTGGCCATTGCAGCCAACTGGGGAGTGAACCAACGGAAGGAAGACCTCTTTCTCCCTCTAACTCTGCCTTTCAAACAAATAAATAAATCTTAAAAAAAAAAATCAGTTACTCTGAAAAAAAAAAGGGGGCGTGTATCCAGAATAGTCTACAATTCAGTAATGACAAACACCCCAATAAGTGGGCCAAAAAGGCCGACCTGACAGCTCTCAAAGGAAGTGCACGTGAAGTGGCTGTTATCACCGGAGCCCAAGCTGAGGCTGCCAGAGAGACGTCACTGGGTCCTCCCAAGACCACCAGTATTTATCTGAGAGGCACAGAGAACCAGAGGCAGGGAGACAGAAGACAGAGACATCTCCCGGTCACTGGTCACTCCTCAAAGGCTCGCAACAGCCAGGGCTGGGCTGCCCAAAGCCAGGAACAGGGACCCCCAGCCAGGTCTCCCACCCGTGAGCCATCCGTCTGCCGCCTCCCCGGGTGTGCGGAAGCTGGAGCGAGCAGCACGCGCTGGGCACCAAACGCAGATCCTCCGGCGTGGGGCGTGGCTGTCCTGGCCAGCACTGGACTGCCGGCTAAACACCTGCCCCCAGGACTGCAGATCCTAAAAACAAAAACTCACCCCTGCACATGTCAACGAGGAGGTAGGACAGGCAGGTTCCACAGAGGAACAACAAGAGAAGATACGTCCTCTCTGGGATAAGCTGTGATGTTTTCTGAGAAAAGCCAATGTGCAGTTACCCCAGGATCCTGTTCCCCCAAGAGAAAGGAACGCCACGTCCAAAAAGGCGTGTGCCAGAATACGTGAAGCCGTTCATCCTCACGCGCCCCGAACTGGAAATGACCCAGGCACCCCGCGACACCTGCAGGCTGTCCCCACAGGAAAACACCACTCGGAAACACACCGAGGCCAGCGCCGCGGCTCACTAGGCTAATCCTCCGCCTAGCGGCGCCGGCACACCGAGTTCTAGTCCCGGTCGGGGCGCCGGATTCTGTCCCGGTTGCCCCTCTTCCAGGCCAGCCCTCTGCTGTGGCCCTGGAGTGCAGTGGAGGATGGCCCAAGTACTTGGGCCCTGCACCCCATGGGAGACCAGGAGAAGCACCTGGCTCCTGCCTTCGGATCAGTGCGGTGCGCTGGCCGCGGTGGCCATTGGAGGGTGAACCAACGGCAAAGGAAGACCTTTCTCTCTGTCTCTCTCTCTCACTGTCCACTCTGCCTGTCCAAAAAAAAAAAAAACTACAAAGGAAACACACCGAACACCGCTCCCCGGAGCAGCGAGCGGTGTGTGTGGGGCACAAGCACCACGCCAGGGAAAGAAGGCACGCCCCGCCCTTCCCCGGCCACCTGTTCTACGACGGAAACACTCCGAGGGGCAGCAGGTGCATGTGCGCCGGGGCAGGGACCACACAGGGAAGCGTGTCACGTCGATGCTCCAGCCTCGTCCGGGGTTTGGGCTGCGTGGGTACATACAGCTGTCCCCGCCAGCGCACACCTGAGACTGCACGTCCCGAGTGTCTGCTTTTAGCAAATCAACGCTGAAGTGTTTAGGCATGAAGAACTATCGTGTGTACAACTCAGGAAGGTGCAGTCCCAGAGTAAGACTGTACGTGCTTATACTTCCGTCTAACACAGTTGTGTCTATCATTGATTGTCTGTTACAGAAAGATCCAGTAGAGCGGATGTGAGAGTGAGGATACAGCTCATGCCCAGTGTTAGTCACCGGTCAAGGTAGGCCCAGGGCCTTTGGGGGTCTTGCTACTATTCCTGCACCTTTTCTCTAAGCCTGCAATGAGGTCAAATAGAAAGTGCTAGCAAGCGTTTGCTTGGAAAACACTGCCGCCCACGCCCCCTCCCTAAGAGGGACAGCGTCCATTAGCAGGTTAAAGGCCCTCCTGAGTACTGCATAGGAAATCATCCCAGGGTAGCTAGTGGGAGGGGATTCCCCTCATCAGGGCGCAAAGAGGAGCATCGCCCATGACACAGCAGGGAGGTGGCAGTGGCAGAGAGAAGCTGGGGTTCGACAGCCCCGGCCAGCCTGGGCAGCACCCCTGACCCACGCGGCTCAAACCACCCCCTCCTCACCCTCAGTTCTCTTCCTGTGCACTGCCCAACCACAAGTTTGCAACCCTGCAACTTGGAACCAGTGCTGGCTAGAAATATCCAGCATGGCTGCAGGCTGCACCCTTCAGCTCATTATAATAAAGTGACCATGGCTGACACTCCAACTCCCATGGTGCATCTGATGCCGTGACACTTCCAAGTGTCATAAGGCGGGGGGGCACAGAAATGGGCCGTACTGAAGCCCACCCACTTTGAACATTTAATGAAGCCCCGCCCCAAAGTCACCTGCTTTGACTATTCAATGAGGCCCCACCCCAGCCATCACCAGCCCCAGGGAGCAGAAAGGGCAGCCCAAGCCCTGCTGATGCATCTCATTCACTCTGCTTGCCGACGTGTACTCCTTGTCTGCTCTCTCTTTAAATACACCTAGCGTTCCCACTCACCTTTGTCTATGTCACTTCCTTAAATTCTGTCGAGCCAGCAGCAGCCCACCACAGCCCAGACCCCCTCTGTCCATAGCCACATGTGCTCCAGCATGCGACCCTGGACCACAGCTCCAGTGGACGTGGGCAGAATGTAACCTGCCCCGTGGCTCCCCCGTCAGTGCGTGGCCACGGCCACGCCAGCACCCGGGCCTCACCCTCGCGGACTGTCTCCTTCCACTTCAGCGAGCCCTGGAGCCCCAGCAGGTGGGGCCGCGCCGCCCAGCCAGCCCCGGTGCGCTGGGCTTGGCCCCGCAGCGTCAGGACGCGGCCTCCCCGCGGGTCCTCCGATGCCCGGAGCAGCAGCTGCGCCGTGTCCTGGTCCAGCAGAGCCCTGGAAAGCAGCCAGATCCTGGGGAGACAAGGGGGCGGGGGTGACGGGCGGCACCATCCCCGAGGGAGTGGGCCAGGCCCGGGGCGGTTCCGGAGCCCACTGTGGAGACCAGGGCCAGGCCCTCTCCACCGGGCCCTCCGCCCTCAGGGAGGCAGTGCAGGGAGGGGGTGAAGGCCACAGACTCGCACGGTCCAGTAACCTAGCTTGAACCCCAGGGGGCCCACTCACTACCTGTGTGGCCCTGGACAAGCACATACCCTCTGTGGGCTTACGATTCTTCTTCAGTATAGTGGGCGACAAAATGGAGACCCCGGCGCTGAGCTGACCCTGACGTACTAACACGCGTGACAGCTGTCTGTCCGGCCAGGCACTCCCCTCCACACCCTGTTCGTAGTGGGACTTTGCCACTCTCCATTCAACGGTGAGGACCCAGGGCTGGCGCTGTCGTTTAACGGGTGAAGCTGCCATCTGCAGTGCCGGCATCCCATATGGGTACCGCTTCGAGTCCCGGCTGCTCCCCTTCCAATCTGGCTCTCTGCTATGGCCTGGGAAAGCAGCAGGGGATGGAACAAGTACCTGGGCCCCTGCACCCGTGTGGGAGACCTGGAAGAAGCTCCTGGCTTCTGGATTTGGCCTGGCCTAGCCCCAGATGTTATGGCCATTTGGGGAGTGAACCCGTGGATGGAAGACCTTTCTGTCTGCCTTTTAAATAAAAAAATAAATCTTAAAAAAAAAATAAATAAAAGCAGCAGCGCATTTCCCTGCTGGGGAATCTGTCCTGAGACCACGCAGGGCGAAGCGGCCTGAGCACCCACGGGGGCCCATGGAGGAGTGCTGGGGCCAGGCAAGGGAGGGGGGCCAGCACGGGCTTCCCAGCCCACGCCCACGCCCACGCCCGCCTGGGACCAGAGAATGGTCCCAGATGGAGCCGCTCACAGCAGAAACACCCCACAGAGCCCCGGCTGAGGTCCTCACCCCCAGAATCCGGAGCAAACCCAACAGCGGACACATTCATGAGTGTGCTCCAAGTGCACTGCCCAGCCCCTCACCCAAGCCCTGTATCGCCAGCCCAGAGGCAGAGGGAGAGGCCTGTGCCCAAAACTCAGGCAAGCCCGAGGACGGCCTCACCGCCAGGGCGGCCTTCGGAATTAAGTGGGCGGTGCCAAAGGAAGGGCTGGCTCCCGGCCAGAGGCCGATCAGTGTTTCTGCAAAGGATGCACAGAGACACCAGCCGAGAAGCCTGCTGTGCCGGGTGAGGGTTTCCCGCCCACCACGGTGTCCGCCTCTGACCCTGGGGGAGATGCTTCCCCGGGCCAGCACCAGCACCAGACGGCACGAGCAGCCGGGCATGCCCGGGTGTGCGCTCCTTAAGGCGATTCTGCCAGACAGCTGCAGCCGCACGGCCCTGGTGCAGGAGCACAGCCACGTCCCCGCCCCGGCCGCTTCTCCGGGCGGTCAAGCTCCCGGCGGCCTCCAGCAGAAGTAGCTCGTGGCCCGACGCGTGCACAGCCAGGGACACGTTGAGGCTGCGCTCCCTGGGGCGCCCCTGCAAGTAATCCCACTGGTTGGCCTCTGCATTGCTACTAGGAAGCTCAGAGCCAAAAAATCTGCTCAGCTCCAATAAACAACATGGCTTCCACTTTGTTTACTGAAGTCTGATTTATTGTCTTCAACCTTCTCTCTGGTTTCCTCACTTTTTTTTTGAAAGGCAGAGTGGACAGTGAGAGAGAGAGAGACAGAGAGAAAGGTCTTCCTTTGCTGTTGGTTCACCCTCCAATGGCCGCCGCGGCCGGCGCACTGTGGCCGGCACACTGCGCCAATCCGATGGCAGGAGCCAGGTACTTCTCCTGGTCTCCCATGGGGTGCAGGGCCCAAGCACTTGGGCCATCCTCCACTGCACTCCCTGGCCACAGCAGAGAGCTGGCCTGGAAGAGGGGCAACCAGGACAGAATCCGGCGCCCCAACCAGGACTAGAACCTGGTGTGCCGGCGCCGCAAGGCGGAGGATTAGCCTAGTGAGCCGCGGCGCCGGCCACTCACTTTTTTTTTTAATCCAGAACAAGCTATGCACACTACAACCAGTAGGGCGAACACTGGCCCACCACTTGTGCTTGTAAATAAAGTTTTATAGAAACACAGCCATGCTCACTCACATTTATGAATTATCTCTCCGGCGGCTGTGCTACCCTGACAGAGACGCGCAGTCGGCACAGAGACCGCCCGGCCCACAGAGGGGAAAGTGTTTGCCAGCTGGTCCTCTCTGGAATTTTGCCAGCTCCTGACGTAGAGCAAGCTGCCTCACTGCTTCTTCAGCTGGGGATGAGGAAGGGCCAGTGGCCCGGCAGAGGGACAGACAGAGGGACAAGATCGCCTACAGCCGGGGGCCTCAAGTCCATACCAAGAACGGGAAAAGGGCCAGGATGGCAGAAGCCACTTATAACGGGAGGTGTAGGGCTGGGGGGAGTGCAGGGACCCTGGGACACAGCACACACTTGGTCTCTGCCCCCCGCGGCTCACACAGAGCCCCTCCCCTGGCAATTTCCGGTTGACAGGAGCGCCTTTGGTTCCAAGGGGGCGTCCCTTCCAAAGAGACCAGGCCGTGGTCAGACACTCGCAACCTTCAGCCCAGCCCCACCCTCTGAGTGGGTGCTGAAGCCACGGTACAAACCCGCGACTGTCGGGGCCCCGGGAGCTCCGGCAGGGTGCCGATCCCACAAGGGCGGCGCGCCCAGGAAGGCCTGGGAGCTGCCCGTCTCCTCCCCCGGCCACCTCTGCCATCGGCCCTCCCCAAGCTGCACCCCGTGAGAGTGAACGGGTGGGAGGTTCACGCACGGGTGGCAGCCGGGGGCCTGTGTCAGAGCAGGGGTTTGGAGGAGCTACAGCACTCCAGGCCCACGCTGGTGTCTGCCACAGAACACAGAGCTCCGGGTGCAAAGTGCCCCGCCCCCCTCCGCCGGCCAGCGCGTGTGCAGGACCGACCATCCTATCACACGTGAGGACTACTGTACAGAGTGCTAATGTGTGCAGCGCTGCCCGGGAGGGTACCACCGTATCCAGCGGGTCAGCCCCTACGCCAGGTGTCACTGCGGTCTTTCATCAAGAACGAACACTCTCCCAACAACGAAAATGCAAATAAATAAAAGGTAAAAACGGCAAACACGACACCGCCCCCGAACCTGTCCCTCAACGCCTTACAGGGAGGAAGGCACTGCTGGGTGACCGGGGCTGGGTCCTGGGACGGCCACGCCGCGTGGGCACCGTTACCTTGTGGGGGCGATTCTGCCAGACAGCTGTAGCTGCACGGCCCTGGGTGCTCTGAGCGCCGCCTGGCGCAGGAGGATGGCCACGTCCCCGCCCCGGCCGCTTCTCCAAGCGGCCAAGCTCCCGGCGGCCTCCAGCAGAAGCAGCTCGTGGCCCGACGTGTGCACGGCCAGGGACACGTTGAGGCTGCGCTCCCTGGGGCGCCCGGCAGCCGCCTGCACCTGCAAGGAGGCACGGCACGGCTCAGGAGCGGGGTGCAGTGGGAAGGGACTCTGGGGGCCCCCTCTTCCAGGACGCACTCCTGGGCCTGCCCTGAACCCCCACCAAGTCTAGCAGAGAGCAAGCAGGAAGAGAAACCAGACAGAGGACAGGCCAGCGACAGCCTCCTGGGCCCCAGGTCCCCGCCCACAGGTGAAGTGGGAGCCTCCATGCCACAAATGGGGAGACCGAGGCGGCCAGGCACACAGCACCTGAGCCACACGGGCCTGCCCGGCTCTCAAACTGGCACTGGTGCCAGAAGCCAAGGACCCTCTGGGACAGGAGGCCCCAGCAAAGGCCCCGGGCCCTGCCTCCCTGCTCTGGGCCTTGGTTTCCCCTCCTGCAAGGAAGGTGCTTGTTCAGCCCCCGAGCTCTCACACCAGCCTGCACGTCAGGATTACCCAGAAAGCTTTGAGAGGCACTTCTGCCCCCTTAGGAGACTGCGGGACAGGCACACGTGGGGATTATTCAGCAATGACCTGCGGGGCTGGCGCTGTGGCTTAAGCAGGTTAAACTTCCACCTGCAGTGCGCCGGTTTGAGTCCCAGCTACTCCACTTTTTTTTTTTTTTTTTTAAGATTTTTTTTATTTATTTGAGAGAGTTATAGACAGTGAGAGGGAGAGACAGAGAGAAAGGCTTCCATCTGCTGGTTCACTCCCCAGATGGCCACAAACCGCCAGAGCTGTGCCGATCCGAAGCCAGGAGCTTCCTCCAGGTCTCCCACACAGGTGCAGGGACCCAAGCATTTGGGCCATCTTCTACTGCTTTCCCAGGCCATAGCAGAGAGCTGGATCAGAAGAAGAGCAGCCAGGACTGAAACCGGCACTCATATGGGCTGCTGGCGCCGCAGGTGGAGGATTAACCTACTGCGCCACAGCGCTGGCCCACGCTCCACTTCTGACCCAGCTCCCAACTAATCACCCGGGAAAGCAGTGGAAGATGGCCCAAGCGCTTGGGCCCCCACAGCTGCACAGGAGACCCCGAAGGAGCTCTTGGCTTTGGATCGGTCCAGCTCCAGCCGTTGCAGCAGCCATTTGGGGAGTGAACCAGAGGATGGAAGCCTTCTCTGTCTCTCTCTGTTTGTAACTCTGCCTCTCAAATAAACAAAAAATCTTTAAAAAAAAAAAAAAAAAAAGAGAACTGCCGTCATGACAACAGTTGGCCACGCCCCTCTTCTGCCCACACCACCCCTGCCCCAGTCCCACGTGTGCACCTCCCGCCGCCTGCTCGAGGAAGCAGCAAACACGCAGCCCCATCTCCTGGCCAGCAGAAGGGAGGCTCGGTGAGTGGGGCTAACACAGCCGGGAGCAGGGGCGCTGGGGACTGCACTTGAACTTCTGCGTTTGCAAACATTTCCAGGAATCAGGGCGGCAGAACCCGGGGCCTCCCACCTGCGTCTTTCTCGGCCCTTTATTTCCTCCTGGGGGAAACCCTCGAGGGTCCCCAGCCCACACTCCACACTCTGAAAAACCACAGGCTTTCTCCAACCCCCCAAGCGGGAGACGCCGTGGCTCTCCATCTGCAAGGGGAAGGGGATCCATGCCCCCAGGACTTCCACACCCTTCCCCCCGGGCCAAGAGTTCCTGACCCACAGGGGCTGCCTGGCTCAGCACCCGCAAGTGCGGCCCCGTCCACTGCCTCCCCCCACCCTCCCCGCCCAGCGAGCCGGCTGCTAGAGACAGCCCCTTGGCGGCCAGTCACGCCCACCCCCAAGGGAGCACCATGCCGTCCGCACCTCTAAGTCTGCAGGAGCCGCGGGGACCTGGGCACGGCTGAGCTGGAAGACAGCTGTGCAGTGGGAGTCAGACCCAGTCAGCCGGACGGACACCTGCTGCGGTGGGGGTGGGGGAGGAAGGGGCTTCAGGGGGGGTCGGGAGCAAGCTCCTGCCGCTGAGAGGCAGCCGGCTGGGCACTGAGCAGTGACAAGTACCTGGCGTGTGCCCCTATCTCGGTGCCAGAAGCCTCCACCCTCCCGACAGCCTCAGCCCTAAAGCCCAGGCCGCTGCATGGAGGAGGCCCAGACATGGGACTGGGGCAACGCTCGGGGAGCACCCCCAACCACTTCCCCTGACGTCATGGCGCTGGCTCAGGCAGCCACCTGCTTCCGACCTTGACTATGACCCAGACCCCGTACCACGGCCCTGACAGTGGTTACCGCCTTCGGTGCCACTCGGTCTACCACTCCATGAGCAAACCTGAGGCTCAGGGGTCATATGACTCACCCAAGGTCCTGCAGCAGCTGAGCCAGGCCCTGAACTTGAACGTACAGGAAGCAAAACATCCAGATAGATGGAAAGCTGCTTATAGACAGGAAGGGAGACAGAGTCCCCTCTGCTCCCCCAGTGGCTCACACAGAGCACAGTGCCAGCAAGACGTGTCCCATGCACAGTGAGTGACAATGGACAAATGAACCTAGGGCACTGCCACGTAGTCAGCAAACCACACTTCCAGCTGAAACTACATTTCCCAGCTCCCTTTGCAGCTCCGCAGGGCTGTGATGAGCTCTGGCCAGAATGGGGGGCCAGGGTGACAGGTGTCCCTCAAGGGCCAGGTTCCTAAAAACCTCCACTTTCTCTTCTTGCATCTGCCAGTGGGGGCAGGGCCCCAACAGGGGAAGCCCGGATCCCTGCGTGACTGCGTGGAGCAGTGCCACACTGAACCACAGCAGACTTCCACGGAAAAGCCGGCCTTGGCTGGCAACGCCCTGGGCGCATCCTGACTGCCCCCATAAAGGCTGCACTGCTTGCTCTCCAGCGCCCGCCTCGGCCGTCCTGAGCTCAAACCCCTCATCCCTCAGTGAGGGAGCGAGTGCAGCCTCCCGACCTGGGACGCGGCGCTGTGGTTGACAGCAGCTTGTGCTCCGAAGCTGAAGTTGAACGCTCCTGGGGGCCTCCATCGGTAAACCACGTCCCCATTCAAGCTGAGGGCCCGGGGGAGCTTCGGCTGCAAAGAGACGGATGGCATCACTAACGCCCACCCCAGCCAGGCTCTGCTTGGAGGGCACCAGCCGCCACCAGCACGGCCTGGGGACAGGTACCTGGTAGGACTGGGCCACGTCCAAGGCCAGGCTGCGCCGGATTTCCTCGTGCTCAGATCCGTCGTGGAGCAAACCCTTCACGTGCAACACGACCTTCCGGTGCACCTGGACGGTGGCCTCGACCTCCTTGTTCTTAGCCTGAGAGAACGAGAGCCAGGGGCACAGAGAGGTCACCTTCCACCCCGACGCGCATGCACGGGCCACCTGAGGATCGCAGCCGTCAGAACGAGGTGAGCCCAGGTGAATGGGGAAAGTCTGGTGCACACTCTTCCACCTGCAGGGCAGGAAATGGGGCCCTGGGGACCGGGATGGTCCCCTCCAGTGCTCACGGGGGGAGCAAGCCTGGGTACCTGTGTCTCCTCCCAGGGCACATGTCCATTTTGTTCGCTGCTGTCTTCCTAACACTGTGCTAGGTGCCTGTGCATGGTAGGTGCTCAGTAAATATTTGGACAAAGGCAGAATCCCTGTTGTAGCCTGAGACACCCCCGCCCAGGTCAAAGCCAGGCTGCAGCGCACCAAATGTTAACTCGAGGTGCAGACCCTCTAAGGGAATCCACGCCCTAACCCCAGATCCTCGGGCCAGTCCACAGCACGAGGGACTCTGCAGACCAGATGGGGCTAAGGCCCCTGGGCCCGTGAAGGCAGCCTGGGTTATCCAGAGGGCCCCATGAGCCCACAGGGGTCCTCAGAGGAAGCTGAAGGTCAGGGTCAAGGTCAGAGATCGGAAGATGCTGCTCTGTGGGCCCTGAGGGTGGTGGAGGGGCCAAGGGGTGCCAGCGGCTTCTAGAAGCTGGGAAAGGCGAGGGCAAGGACGGCATCTGCTGGCTTGGGGACTTCAGCCCAGTGAGGCTCGCTGGGGACTTGCAGCCTACAGATCTGTAAGGTGAATCCGCAGGTCTCAGCCGCCCCCGGTCCCCACTTCCTCACCCAGTGCCCATGCAGCAGCCACCACGTGCCCAGCACACAGATGCAGGCTGCCCACTTCACCTTAACTGAGAAGCCAGGGCCACACGACCTGACCAGGGCTGGGCATCCCGAGAGGAACACATGGCTTTCTTTGAGCACCAAGATGGAAGAGGGAAAACAGGGCCCAGGAGAAGAGAAAAACCTGCTGCCACTAAACAAAGATGCCCTTGGACAAAGGGCAGAGCGCTGGGTCACATTGCTAGGAAGGATCCCCACCTGCTCCGACTCGCATCAACAGCAGAAACCCACATTTTACCCAAAACCTTCTGATGTGTGATGTCTGCAGTTAATTCAAGATTTCAAGTGCTAGGCAAGCCAAACAAAACACGCGCAGGCTGGGCTGGCCCAAGATGCCACTCTGCAGCCTCCAGCTTTAGGAGCAGCAGGCTCCGCGAGTGGCCCTGCAGGTGTCCCAGTGTTACCTGGTCCTCTGTTTATGCTCCGCAGTTCTGAGTTCACTTCCAACCCCCCGGGAGCCACTGACAGCCGACTGCCGGGAAGGGGGGCCCTTCCTTCCAATAGGCTATTGGGAATCTCTCAAGGGAGCCGCAGCCACAATTCCTGGGGACCTGGCACACAGCAGGGGCCCAATAAGTGTTTGCAGTGAGCCCCCGGAGAGCTTCTGCCCCTTCTAGAATAGGCTCAGGAAGGGGACTTGCGTGAGGGCCTTGGAGCCATGTCCGATTCTCCAAGCCACTGCCTAAGACGTGAGAATTGCTGACCCACTTTGTAGGTGAGGAGACTGAGGCCCAAGACATGCACTCATCTGCCATGGACACGCAGGCAGGTGTGCCACCTTTAGGAAACCAAACATCAGGACCCTCTGAGCCAGGGGCTCAGCAACCCACAGACCCGCTGGCCTGCTCTGTCGAGTTTATTGGAACACAGTCGCACCTATCCACCTCCTACCTGGAGGTCATGCCTTCCCAATCCACCGGCAGAGCCAGTCATGGGCAGACAGAGCGTGTGGCCCACACAGCCTCCCAGGGTTACCACTCTGGCCCCTTACATGATGAGCCTGCTGACCCCGGCTCTGGGTCACAGTATACCATGGGTGTCAAACAGCACTCAGGCAGCAGGTACTCATTAGGCTTCTGCTGTATACCAGGCCCTGTGGCTATAGCGGGAAAGCAGACCAAGTCCACTGGGAAGAGAGCAGCAGAGGAGACAGTGTCCAACCCAACTCACACAAACACACAAGGGGACTTGCGGAACGTGCCGGAAGCCCAAGGCCCAGGATATCAAGCATCCAGAAAAGGGCATGTGTGTGTGTGTGTGGGGGTGTGGGTGTGGTGTGTGGGTGTGTGTGTGGGTAGGGGTTTGGGTGTGGGTGTATGTGTTTATGTATAGATGTGGGTGTGTGTGTGTGTGTATATGTGTGTGTGTATGTGTGTGTGGGGTCTAGGCTCTGGGAAAGCATTCAGGAGACATGAGGCTCGAGTTTGACCCTACATGATGAGTAGAAGGGATGGTGGCAGAAAGTGGAAGGAGAAGGTACAGACACAGAACATGCAAAGGTCCTGAGGCAGCAAAGATCCAGGCCAGCAGAGGGAAAAGGGCTGGACGAAGTGGACATGGGCAGCGGGGGTGGGGGGACAGGGCCCCCAAGACCAGAAGGATCGGGGTCGTTCTCCTGAGAGAGTTGTTCGGCACAGGCAAGGTGTGAGCACGCTGGCCTGTAACACAGCCCCCGGCTGTCCACAGCTTGGAGGTGGGAGGACGCATGGCCCGCCCAGATGAGAGGCAGCAGCTGAGCCCCTCACTCACCGTGTGCCGACTCCACGTAACCACGCAGCCCTCCAGGTCCCTGGGGATGGCCGCACCGTCGTACGGGTGGGTCAGGCCCGCACAGACCTGGGGGACAATCACACATGTGCACGGACGGCTCGGGAGCAGAGGGGGACCCCCGCCCGGCGGCCCCCGGGAGCCACTCACATAGGGGTGTCCCGCCTGGCGGCCCAGGACCACGGTCTGCAGCGTCTCCTCCCGGCCGTGCAGCACGAGCCTGGTCTCCAGGGAGCAGCGCTGCTGGCGCCCGTCCACCGTGAACACCTCCTGCACGAGGAGGCTCCGCGGGACAGGCAGGTGCCAGGAGTGCCTGACAGGCAGAGGGGCAGATGGCTGGGGCCGCCGCAGCCACAGGCAGGGCCAGGACAGCCCCACACCGCGCGCTCAGACCGGGCACGGCACGGCCAGCACGGCCAAGGCATGGTCGCCGGGAGCGAGGCACAGCAGCAGCCCTGCACCCTGCGGTTGCGCCACTCGCCTCTTACTCTGCCGGCCAAGACGTGTGCGGCCGGAACCCGAGAGACCGGCAAACGGGGCCGGACTCCAGCCTGGCCTTTCAGGGGCCGCACGACCTCGGGCAGAGGACTCCATTGGCTTCTCTGTGTCTCAGTTTTCCCCATCTGTAAAATGGGCAGTGGTCTCGTCCCTCTTGCTCCCTACTGTTTTCCACAAGCCCGAGAGACAGCCTGGCACAGAGCACCTGCTTGTTAGACAGAAAAAGCCATGCGCATGCAGGGGAGAACCCCGCCAGCAATGGCTGCTGGGACATTTCTGTTACTGGGGACATCACCAAGGCCACACGGCAGGGGTCCACACCCTGGAGGCCAGGATGGGCCAGCGTGATTCCACCCTCGTGCTGTTCCCCGCGTGCCAATCAGCCGTGCCCCTAGGGAGTGAGAAGACCCCTGGAGTTGCCTTCAGGCTGGGGCGATGAGGCCCCACTCCCTGCTCCACGCAGCCACCTGATGGTGGGTCTGGGGACGTGCGGCCTGCACGGGCGGTGGCTTTGCCTGGGGCTCTGGGTTCCCTCTGGGCCCCAGCAGAGCAGCAGGGCCCCTCCGGGCAGCTCTGCACGCCCTGCGCCCTGCACGCAGGCTCCGCGGAGCCCTGGGCAGCCACCACATCTGAGCAGGATTGGCCCGGGCGGGCGGGGGGCGCACGCACCTGAGGCCCAGCGACCCCCGCTTCTGGTAGACCTCCCTGCTGTGCTGTGCTTCCTCCAGCTCGCCCTCCACCTGCAGGCCCCGAGCGCCAGGCCCCAGGGCTGCCAGCGACACCTGCGTCTTTGGGGGCTGCAAAAGGGCCAGGCTGAAGCAGGGACCAGGCTGCCGCGGCCCCTTCCTGCCTTCAAGGGGTGGGGACAGGGAGGCAGAGGGACCAGGGGACAAGGGGCAGCTCCCACCCCCCACCCCGAGAACAACAGCTCAACCAGGCTCCAGCCACCATCAGATCGGACCTCCAGACCCCAGGGCGTGTGTCCGGCCTGAGCCACACCTGGGCTGGGAACACAGGGCTTGGGCTTTCTGGCTTGAGAAAACCAGTTCACTCCGGGGTCTGAGCTAATGTGACAAACCCGGAAACTGGGGCATGAAACCCCTTCCCGTTCCAGGCGGGGGTACCGAGGACCCAGGTAAGGGGTAGGGGGCTGGAGGCCAGCCGGCTGCACGGCCCGCCAGACGCCTACCCCCCGCGTGTGTCTGTAGGCCGCCGTGATGTTGAGCTCACGCTGGGGGCCCTTCACCCAGCAGTGAAGGAGCTTCCGGTCCCGGCTGTCCTCGGCGTGGATCTCGCTCCGCACTGCCCCAACCCAGGCCGACTCGAGTTCATTCCAGCTACGGAAAAGGCTAGGTGCCAAGCTTGTCACCGTGGAAACCTGCAAAGAGGAAGAGGAGGATGACCAAGGCCTCGCACGGCCCCTTTCCTCCCCCCAGACTGCCCATTCATCTCTTTTTTTTTTTTTTTTGACAGGCAGAGTGGATAGTGAGAGAGAAAGAGACAGAGATAAAGGTCTTCCTTTTGCCATTGGTTCACCCTCCAATGGCCACCACGGCTGGCACGCTGCAGCTGGCGCACCGCGCTGATCTGATGGCAGGAGCCAGGTGCTTCTCCTGGTCTCCCATGGGGTGCAGGGCCCAAGTACTTGGGCCATCCTCCACTGCACTCCCTGGCCACAGCAGAGAGCTGGCCTGGAAGAGGGGCAACCAGGACAGAATCCGGTGCCCCGACCGGGACTAGAACCCGGTGTGCCAGCGCCGCTAGGTGGAGGATTAGCCCAGTGAGCCGCGGCGCCGGCCTTCCATCCTGATTTTCAGCAAAAGCCTAACCTCCACCTTTCTCCAAGCGAGCATCCCACCTGTCTACGGATTTGACATCATCAGTGCCAAGCAAGTATACGGCCAACATAGGCTCGACTTCTTCTCCTGAATTCACAATGAACCCCGTGGCTGGAAACGCAGGATGGGCCACACATCGCCCTTCTGTGGCCTGGCGTGGCCTATGGCCTCTGGTTCCCCTAGGCACAGGAGGATCCCAAGGGCAGCCAATGGCGAGGGAGCAGGGGCGTGGCCAACACTGCCTACCCGGAGGTGGACGGTGGTCCCAGTGGAGACTTTGATCTTGGCCTCCTGGTCTCGACCCTGGCTCCTGCAGGCCACACTGACAACCAGGTCCTTGAGGGTCCAGGCCTTGCCCAGCGTCAGCTCCAGGGCCGACTGGAACACGGCTCGCTGCGGCCAGTACAGTCTGTGAGCCGCAGAGACAGCCAGCCACGGACTCTGCAGGTTCCAGGCTCCTGCGAGGGGCAGAGAAGGGGAAGCTGGCTGAGGACCAGGAAGGGAGCTTCCGGCAGGCAGCAGGAGGCCCCTGCCATCTCACCACAACCCCGAGGGACAATCGCCAACACAGAACGACCAAGTGGGCATCAGGGAACTTTCTAGAACTTTCTAGAACCCTGTCAGAACCTACACAAGGGCCCTGTATGGACTGCTACATTTCACTCTAGGAAATCTGCCTGTGCATCCGTCATCTGCGAAATGGGTGTGATGGGCACTGACACTGCGGGTAAAGCCGCCTCCTGCTGCGCCGGTTCAAGTCCCGGCGGCTCCACTTCTGACCCAGCTCCCTGCTAATGCGCCTGGGAAGGCAGTGGAGGATGGCCCCAGTGCTTGGGCTCCAGCCACCCTCGTGGGAGCCCAGGATGGAGTTTCTGGCTCCTGCCCTTGGCCTGGCCCTGGTCCAGCCCCAGCTGCTGTCGGTATCTGGGGAGTGGACCAGCAGGTGCAAAGTCTGTCTCTGTCACTCTGCCTCTCAAATGTACGCAAGAATGAACGAACAAACAGAAAATAAATCTTTGAAGTGGACGTTCGGCACAGCTTCAGCCCCTCCACAGCCGGCTGAGCAGCTGCCGCGTACAGCAGTGAGTCAGTGAGCACTGCCTCTGTCACAGGACCTGCAGCCGGGGGCTCCCAGGGGCAGGGAGGGACCCGCCGTGCACACACACACGCGCACACACACATAAACATACTCACATACACACACATACAACACACATACACACATATACACACATACATGTGCACACATACACACATGCACACACACATATACACGCACACACATACACACACACAGTGAGACCGAGCACAAACTGCTGAGGCCTAGGAAGCCAAATAACAAGAACATTCCGTGAAGACTGGGCAGGGTGCGGAGGCCCCCAAGAGGGCAGAGAACTGAACCAAAGATTCATTCACGCACGCATTCATCTGAAAGCAGAGAGAGAGGGAGAGAGAAAGAGGGAGAGAAGGAGAGGGGAAAAAAGAGAGAGAGAGACAGAGATCTCTCATCCTTCGGATCACTCCCCAAATGCCCACAACAGCTGGGGCTAAGCCAGGCCCAAGCCAGGAAGCAGAGCCCCGAATGGGTCCCCACGTGGGTGGCAGGGGCCCAAGTACTTGAGCCACCTTCTGCAGTGTCCCAGGATCGTAAGAGGGAGCTGGATTGGAAACGGAAGAGTCAGGACTTGAACCAGGGACTCCCCACATGGAATGCAGTCATTCCCACCAACGGTTTAACCCACAGAGCCACAATGCCCGCCCCAGGCTAAGAACCAAACTGGGGCTGGCACTGTGGTGCAGCAGGTAAAGCCGCCGCCTGTGGTGCCAGCATCCCATATGGGTGCTGGCTCAGGTCCCAGCTGCTCCACTTCTGACCCAGCTCTCTGCTATGGCCTGGGAAAGCCGTGGAAGATGGCCCAAGTCCTTGGGCCCCTGCACCGTGTGGGAGACATGGAAGAAGCTCCTGGCTCCGGAATGGCACAGCTCTGGCCATTGCGGCCAGCTGGGGAGTGAACCAGCAGATGGAAGACCTCTCTCTCTCTCTCTGCCTCTCCTTCTCCCTGTATAACTCTGACTTTCAAATAAATAAAATAAATCTTTTTAAAAAAAATAGAACCAAACTGAAGACAAGTGGGAGTCATTCCAAGGGCAGAAGAGCCCAGCCCTGCTGGAGACAAGGGATTTACTGTCTGGGGAAACTGAGGCAGAGACACCAGGCACAGAAAGGGTGCTGCCGAGTGCGAAACAGGGACAGTTCCCTGCCCGGGTGCTGCCCCCGCCCCCAGCAAACAGGAAGAGAACTCCACTGAGGAGGAGGGGGCAGAGGAGGGCAAAGCAATCCACAGAGCCGGACCCTGGGGTCCCAGGGAGAGCCAGCCCCCTCCCCACCTCCGGCAGGGAAGCCCCCGTCAGCACCCAGAAATAGCTCGGAGCAGCCGACTGTTTTACTCCCACTTCATTCACATTTATTACACGGTGATAAGGGTCTTATCTCACTTTTTGGATCCCAGCCGGGAGGGGGTGACCTCTGACCCTACAAAACACCTGGTTGCTTATGCTAAGCTTCATGAAAAAGGTTTTAGGGAGAAAAACTTAGGCGAAGCAAACTTGAAATTCGGTTCCAGAATATTAGATCCCAACTTTGCTACGGGGCTGATTTCAATTCCGCCCTCGAGCCGACCGTGAGCATGCTCAGAACAGAGCCCCCTGCGTCGGAACGGGGCATCCCACTCCGAGCAGCAGACCCCAGGGAAGCCCATATCCAGGGCTCATGTAGCACGCCAGCAAAGACGCCAACAGGAAATACAGACGCCGAAAGGAGAAACGCAAAGGGAACAGATAAAACCTCCAAAAGTCTCCAACTTGCATTCCCAGGAAAGCAAGAGGAGATGCCGTACCCACGGGGCAGAACAGGCCAGGAGCAGAATGCGCAGGAGCCAGGGCGCCTGAACATGCTGCAGTCGAAACCAAGATGCCGGCAGCAGGGCGGGCGGACAGCGAGGAATTTGTCCCAAAGCAGCGAGCAGGACCATTCGAGAGCAAAGCAAGCACCCGAGACTCGGCTTCTGCAGACCAGCGTCGGACCCACAGGCGTTCCAGGACGCAGACAGACGGAACTGCCATAGAAACGCTCCCAAAATCACCCTGAGGCCGAGACAGGCATCCCAGGGCCCAAGGCCCATCCCAGGGACACGTGAGGACATCAAGGACAGAGAGGCTCTGAGAACCCTGAAGACAGAGAAGCGTGGCTGACAAACAGCCCAGAGCCTTCAAACCCCCGGAAACCACCCAGAATGCTCCACTCCAAGCACCCAGGTGGGATGCATTCATTTTCAACATTCGGGGTCTCACAATGCTGACATCGTCTTATGGGTCAGGCTGTGTCCTCCAAAAAGATCCGTCCCGGAGTTATCCCCCCGCCCCGACCCCCATGACTGGGACCGGGCTCTGGTGACCCTGGAGGGGGTGGCCCTTTCAATCAGTGGAACCAGAGGGAACTTGAAACCCAAAGACACACAACGGAAGGAAGTCTCAGGAAACAGAGGCGGAGACTACAGGGGCTCCCGGCACCAAGAGCCACCATTGGAAGCTAGGAAAGGTTCTAAAAAAAAAAAAAAAAAAAGATTTGAGATGCAGAGGGACAGGCAGACAGCAAGGTCTTCCATCCGCTGGTTCACTCCAAATGCCCACAATGGCAGGAGTTGGGTCAATCCAAAGCCAGGAGCCAGGAGCTTCTTCCAGGTCTCCCATGTGGGTGCAGGGGCCCAAGCACCCAGGCCTACTCCACTGCCTTTCCAGGCCATCAGCAGGGAGCTGGATCAGAAGTGGAGCAGCTGGGACTCTAACTGGCACCCACATGGGATGCCAGTGCCACAGGCAGAGGTCCAACCCACTATGCCACAGTGCCGGCCCGGTGGGAAGGGTTCTAACCAGGGCTTCCCGGGGGACGTGGCTGTGCCAACTCCCTGATTCCAGACTCCCACCTTCAGCCGATGTCAGCAGCCACCTGGCATGTGGTCATCCTCACAGCAGACCTAGAGAACAGATCCTGCCCCCCCCCCCCCCACAGCGTCCTCTCTGGAAGCTACTGGAGGACTTGCTCCATCACAACCATGAACCAAACCACAAAAGAGGACACAGGTATGAGAAACAGGGGCTGTGACCTGGAGGAAACGTCAAAAGCGGCCCCAGGACGACGGCCATGAACTGAGCTAGGCTCCAAGAACAGTGTCTCTAAACACCAGAACCGATTCAAGCTGATAAATCATCTGAAATGCCTATCCATCCAGAGAACAGTGTTTCTCTGAAAATGCTGGGAGCCATTCACAAAAAGCAAATGGAAAACTAACCATGGAGAAAAGCAAAGGCAACGCTAACTCCAGGAAACACAAGGAGTCTTCAGCCCCGCTCACAGGTGCCTCAGCTATGAATGTGAGTCACCGTCTCTGTGAACGGAGGACTGGCAGAACCTCATCTTCCGAGGGGATGGGAGGAAAAGGGTTCATGTCACAGCAAGCCCTCGTCATCTGTAGCACGAGTTCTGCAGAAGGTGCCGAGACGGAAAACCCGAGATACAAGCATGACTGTGTACTAACGACGGGACACCTTCACACCACTGACAAGGAGGGCAGTGCGGAAGAGGATTTATAGAAGCCACCGACTGAAGCCAGATGGCAGGAAGATGCGAGGCAGAGACTTCGACTTTTTAAAGACGAGTTTCAGAGCTCACCCTGGAGCAGAGATTAATACGTGAGCCCCCATGGGACCTCGTCCAGCTTCAACAACGCCCAGATCACGCCGCAGCCTTTTTTTTAAAAGATTCATTTACTTATTCGAAAGGCACAGTTGCAGAGAGGCAGAGAAAGAGGTCTTCCATCCGCTGGTTCACTCCCCAGTTGGCCACAGTGGCCAGAGCTGCGCTGATCAAAACCAGGAGCTTCCTCCAGGTCTCCCATGTGGATTCAGGGGCCCAAGCACTTGGGCCATCTTCCACTGCTTTCCCAGGCCATAGCAGAGAGCTGGATCGGAAGTGGAGCAGCGGGGACTAGAACCGGCACCCACATGGGATACTGGCGCCGCAGGGAGTGGCTTTATCAGCCATGCCACAGTGCCGGCCCCACTGCAGCTCACTTTTTAAATCATGCGCTGCCTAGGTAAGAATAAAAACTAACTGGTGCCACTGACTGGACACCCGCATCTTGAGTTGGAGCACCTGGGATCAACCCCACCTCTGCTCCCATCCAGCCTCCTGGGAAGCAGCAGAGGACGGCCCAGGTGCCTGAGTCCCTGCCACCAACATGGGAGACCCGGATGGGGTTCCAGGCTCCTGGTTTTGGCATCCAGCCATGGCTGTTGCAACCATTTGGGGAGTGGAACAGCAGATGGAAGATTTCTCTGTCTCTGTCTCTGTCTCTCTCTCTCTCTCTACCTGTCACTCAAGTTAATATTTTAAAAAAATTTAAAAAATGAATTCAAGGCTAAGCTGTGGCAAATGTATTTTTCTAAAGAGAACATCTTCCAGGGAGCCCGAGCAGGTAGCATCCAGGCCCTGGGCTATGTTTGGGGAATGGAACGCAGGCCTGTGGGGGCAGGGGGTACTGGGCAATGGGGAGTCTGGGGGGAGACAGGTCCAGAGAGGGGGCAGGGTCTCTGTGACGTGCATGTGAGTGGCAAGGCTAGGAAGTCAGGGCGTAACGGTCAGGGTCACAGACACACCAAGGTTCGAGCCTTGAGTCAGCCCAGCGAGCACAAGGAGAAGGTACCCAGGTAGGGGGCGTGGCTTAAGGAAAGGGGCAGAGGCCAGGGTCTCAGTCACTCCCCCGGGGAGGCTCCCCAACAGCCACTCACCTTCCCACCTCCACAGGGCGGCCCGGGACGTGTCTGTCCACTGCCAGCCGGCCACAAAGGGCAGCCGGCCGTTGAGCTGTACCTTCAGGTGGGTGCTGCTGTCCACGTGGGGCTGGCGCAGGCTGGAGTGGGAGAGCTGCACACGGCCATCCAGCTGCCTGGCGGGCACCTGCAGCACAAACTGGAGAAGTCCCGCCCCCGGGATGCCCATCGGACCACGCCCCTCCCAGGAGAGACCCGCCCCCCCCCCCCCCGCTGGCTCCCGGCTCCAGCCCAGGGCACCCCTGCCCTTCCTTCCACCCCAGCCCCCCATGCCCATCTGCTCAGGCGAGGGAGGAAAGATCCGGCAGCCCAGGAACCAGTGGACAAATGTAGTGGTCAACTGGGCCACACAAAAATCTAACACCTGTGCACCTGTGGGTTAGCAGTGTGAAATGGAGACTGGGAAATGGCAGAGAATAAAGGGCTGACAGCCACAACATCACAAGAGCTCCTGTGGTTCAAACAAAAATACACCAACCCGATTCTCTATCAGGCAATGCTCTCCAACAAACATTTCCCCGAAGAGGATAAAAGAGTATCAGCAAGAGGCCAGCACCGCGGTGTAGCGGGCAAAGCTGCTGCCGGCAGCGGCGGCCTCCCGTAAGGACACGGGTTAAAGCCCCACTGTTCCTTTTCTGATCCAGCTCTCTGCTAAGGCATGGGAAAGCAGTAGAAGATGGCCCAAGTGCTTGGGCCTCTGCACCTGCATGGGAGACCAGGAAGAAGCACCTGGCTCCTGGCTTCCAATCAGCTCAGCTCTGGCCATTGCGGCCATTTGGGGAGTGAACCAGCAGATGGAAGACCTCTGGCTCGCTCGCTCTCACTTGCATGCTGTGTGTGTGTGTGTGTGTGTGTGTAACTCTGCCTTTCAAATAAATAATTAAATCTTTAAAAAAAATCAGCAAGCACATGAAAAGATGGTCAATATACAAACCACGGGAGAAATGCCAATCAAAACCCCCGCAAGGTCCACTTCACATCGGTCAGCATGGCTGTCGGGAGAAGCCAAGGAACCCGAGGAAGTGCAAACAACAAGCGTGGGTGAGGACGTGGCACAACCGCCATGCCGACGGCACTGGGGCCCTGCAGACACCCAGAGCCAACAGGACATCACACGACCGGCACTTCTGCTGCTGGGTGTTTGCCCACCAGAATCAACAGCAGGCGCCCCCACTCACACGTGGCTACTCAGCCACAACAGCCAACAGACAGCAGCAACCCATGTGCCCCTGGGCAGACCAACGGATAAACGAAACCATGGTGCCTGCAAACAGCGGAGTAACTTTCATCCTTAAAATGGAAACGGGGGCCGGTGCCGCGGCTCACTAGGCTAATCCTCCACCTAGCAGTGCCGGCACACCGGGTTCTAGTCCCGGTCGGGGCGCCGGATTCTGTCCCGGTTGCCCCTCTTCCAGGCCAGCTCTCTGCTGTGACCCGGGAGTGCAGTGGAGGATGGCCCAAGTCCTTGGGCCCTGCACCCCATGGGAGACCAGGATAAGTACCTGGCTCCTGCCTTCGGATCAGCGCGGTGCGCCGGCCATAGCACGCTGGCCGCAGCGGCCATTGGAGGGTGAACCAACGGCAAAGGAAGACCTTTCTCTCTGTCTCTCTCTCTCACTGTCCACTCTGTCAAAAAAAAAAAAAAATGGAAACGGGGCCAGCGCCGTGGGGTAGCAGGGTAAGCCCCTGCCTGCAGTGCCAGCATCCCAAGCGGGCGCCGGTTCCAGTGCCAGCTGCTCCACTTCCGACCCAGCTCCCTGCTAAGGTGCCTGGGAAAGCAGCAGAGGATGACCCAAATACTTGGGCCCTGCCACCCTTGTGGGAGACGTGGATGGAGTGCCAGGCTCCTGGTTTCTACCACAATGAAAACCGAAAATTTACAAAAAAATCAAACTTAAGTAGTAAATAAATAAACACACACAAGTGTGTGTGCCCTTAAAGGAAACATCACCTGTTCAGCCACTGAACACTTGCTCATTCCTTTCAAAAAGAACCTTCCAGAAAAACCTAGACGTGAACCCATTTCCATAGCACATTTTCCCGGTGGGATTCTGTGTCCCAAGGCCTCTTGGCAACCCTGGCATCCCAGGAAAGGGTGGACACCCCGGGGGACCAGGGGCTGGAGACGGGAACTGTGACCTGGCCAAGCCCAATCTGAGCTCTGTCACCAAGGCCTGCAGGGACGTGCGGGGCCCCCGCCGCCAGGGCCCAGCGCTTACCTCCAGGAAGTAGTTGCTCAGGGCCGGGCCCGAGTCATTCCTGAAGGTCTGGCTGAGCCGCAGCCACCTCTTGCTGCTGTCACTCCACTGCTTCCCATAGCTCACCTCCACCTGTGAGTGCAGGTGGCCCGGGCCCTCCTGGTGCCGCAGCTGGACCTGGGGACACAGTGGGGAGAGCCCCGAGGCAGCCCTGTCCACAGAGTCCCTGGGCCACCCAGCCGGGGGTGTCAGCTTGCTGTACAGGGGAGCCCCTGCCGTAGGAAGTGGGGGAGGGATTTTCACACAGATTTGGTTTTGTAAAATACGGCCTTAAATTAAGACTCACCCTGATGGCTGAATTTTTGTTACCCCCTTAAATGTGGGGTTCAAACTGCCTCACCCTGGCCGATGCCCTGAGCAGGGGTCAAAGTGCCAGCAGCAGCAAAGCCATCTCTCCAATCACCCCTCCCTCAGCCCCGGGGCTGTCCCCTGACGCCCACCCAGTCTGAGCACCCACCTTGTGGCTGAAGGCTGGGATCTGCGTGCAGTGGAACTCGTGGTCCAGCTCCAGCACGGCCACAGCCACGGCCATGGCCACAGAGCTGCTCCGCACCTGCAGCTTCTGGCTACTGCTGCACTCGTGCGCTGGCCGCTCGGCCTGACCTGTAACCAACAGCCCCCTGCCCCCCTCAGCTGGGCAGCCCTCCGCCAGGCAGCCAAGCAGAGGGAGGTCCGGTCCGGCACGGACTCATCAACACCCCCTCCCCTGCTCTGCGCCAGCCATCGGCACCGCCGGTGGGTTGGTTTTAATAGACAGGTGACTGTTCCCACTCACCCACACACGCACACACGCACACACACATGCTGCTGCTTCAACCCACAGGTGCTCAGTCCCATCAAGGGCACCGCCCCGGGGATGGTGCAGGCCCTGGTCCCCGCGCCCCAGCCGTGTCGTACCCAGGAGGCCGTATCTGATCCTTAGGGTGCTGCTCCGGAGGTGGCCCCGCTGCTGCAGCCGGCCCAGGACGTGCAACCCCAGGAGTCCCGGCGCCAGGAGCTCACCTCTCACGGCTGCCACCTGTAGCCCGGCTTCCACCTTCTTCTCCAGCAGCACTGGGGGGACAGCGGACAGCCCAGGGACAGGCGTGGGTGTCCTGCACCCCGGGGACTGACTCCTCCAGACCCAGGCAAGGAGGGGACCCTCAGGGGGCCTGGACCGGGAGGGGCTCCCCCAAGAGTCCACACTTGGGTCTTGGCCCAGGGATATGGACAACAGGTTACAGATGACATCAACGGCCCAGTGTTGCTCACTCCTGTGGGTCCCAGTCAAAAGATTTAAAGGAAGCAAAATGTAACAAAAGCCAACAGGAATAAAGAGAAGGCCAGAACCCCACGAGGTGGGGGCGGGGAGGCTGCACCTCTGACTTGTGCCCCTGCGACACTGCTGTCAGCCAGGAGGTCGGGAAAGCCCCCAGAACACCTGGGCCAGGTGGCCAGCAGCCATGCCCTGAGTGCCCCCAGCCCAGGGGCCTACCTTCCCTCGGAATCTTCCAGAACACCACGGGCCTGGAACTTTCCTTAGACGGGATGCTAACATTAAGGGTGGGGGTGGGCTGGGGGTAGCCGTGGGTATCTGGGGGCCCTGCCTCCCACCTGTCACATGTGCTGGGTCACCCAGCAGGTGGCTCAGCGACGCCGAGAAGGCCAACTTGCTGCCCGCCTGCCACGTGAGGTTCCCCGTGACGACCACGGGGCTGCCGGCCGTCACCAGCTTCGCCTCCAGCTGGGCCTCCAGTTGCCGGGCCCCGCCATCAGCTGCTGGCCGCAGGTCACTCCAGCCCTGCAAAGGCCCCCGTGTCACTGGCAGGGCCAGGCTTGGCTGACCGCACACGCTGAGACGGGACAGAGGGCAGGAGATGAGCTCTGTTAACGCCTCCAGCCTGAGCCTCATCCGGGTTCTTCAACAGGGAACACAGGGAGAACGCCGCTGACGGCTGAGGGCCCCAAGGCTTCCAGAAGCTCAGAGGGGGCCTCTGGCCTCCCTGCCCTCACGAGGAACCCACAGGCTGCATGGCCATGAGACAACCAGGTAAAGCCACCCACCGTGGCGTCCCCCGCCACAGCAGCCCTGGGAGGCTAAGCCAGGTGTCTGTGTGTGCGGACCGGGACACCCCGTGGGGAGCTCAGGGAGGGGCACACTGTCGCTGGCCACCTTGTGCCTTGCTCTGCTTGTGGTCAGTTTCTTCCTGGGGCCGGCACTGTGGCGTAGTAGGTTAAGCCTCTGCCTGCATTGCCGGCATCCCACATGGGTGCCGGTTTGAGTCCCGGCTGCTCCTCTTCCATCCAGCTCTCTGCTATGGGCTGGGAAAGCAGTAGGAGATGGCCCAAGTGCTTGGGCCCCTACACCCATGTGGGAGACCCGGAAGAAGCTCCTGGCTCCAGATTGGCTCAGCTCAGGCCATGGCAGCCATTTGGGGAGTAAAACAGAGGATGGAAGACCACTCTGTCTCTCCTTCTCTCTGCCTCCCAAATAAATAAATTTTATAAAAGGTTTCTCCCTGTGTCCTTCACATCAGAATTTTTCCCATCAGCGGGGGTGGGACGTGAGCCTGTTTTGTTCTTGGTCCTTTTGTGCGTGACCAGAATTGAGAAAGACCAGCGGGCAGAACTGGAGGAACTGATCTGATCTGATGCTGGGTGGGGGCGCCAGGGCCAGGCAGCGAACGCCCGGGCAGCGGCAGAGGACGCGGGGCCCACCTTGACGTAGTAGACGTCCCTGTCATCCAGCACGAGCTCCAGGTGACCCACGCGGGTGCTCCCCACGGCCTCCATCTTGCCTGGGGAGCAAACCAAGGCTTTGAGACCAGAGCCCCGCCCCCACCCTGGCTCTGGCCCACCCACCCACACCCCCCCACCGCCGGGGCAGGGGAGGAGGGGCTGTGCTGCTCTCCTCTCTGACCCTCGCGTTCCTCACGCACAGAGTGGGGCTGCATTAGCACTGGAATCCACAGGTAAGCTCAGGGTCTAGCACGCGGCCAGGGCCCGGGGGACAGAGAGGGCGTGGCCATTACCATCCAGCTCCATCTTCTTCCTGGGGTGCAGGAGTTTGAACCGGAGCCGCCTCCCGGGCAAGCTGTAGCTGACGTCCACCCCAACGTCCCTCGGCACTTCCGAGCCAGGCGTGCCCAGGTAGAGGTGGGCGGCGGCCACCTGCGGGAGCCAGCTGTCCTGCGGGAGCCAGCGCACTGTCCTCAGGGAGGCGGACATCCCCTCCTCGGCCCCCGACCTGCCCTTCAAAACCTCAAGGTCGCAGCCTTGTCTCCTTGACCTTGGAAGAGAAGGGCCCCAGTACAGAGCTCTCAGGCTCCAAGGCGGATTCCTGGGGAAGGGCGGGGCTTGCAGGGTTCATTTACTGGGAAATGAACGCAGAGCTGCCACCATGCTGGGCATGCCTCCTCTGGGACGGGGCGAGTGACACAGGTGAGCAAAGCAGGCCCCAGACCCCCTGAGGAACTGAGTGACTGGAGGGGAAGACAAACGTCGGCCAACTAATTGTTCTAACAAATATAAAAGTGACCAAGGAGCCAGCACTGCGGTGTAGCAGGTAGAGCTGCCCCCTGCAGTGCCAGCATCCCATATGGGCACCAGTTCGAGTCCCGGCTGCTCTACTTCTGATGCAGCTCCCTGCTATGGCCTGGGAAAGCAGAAGACAGCCCAAGTCCTTGGGCCCCTGCACCTGCATGGAAGACCCAGAAGAAGCTCCTGGCTTTGGACTGGCGCAGCTCCGGCCATTGCAGCCCTCTGGGGAGTGAACCAGCGGATGAAAGACCTCTCTCTCTCTCTGTCTCTCTGTCTCTCCGCCTCTAACTCTGCCTTTCAAATAAATAAATAAATAAATCTTTTAAAAACCAAAGTGGCTAAGGAGCCAGCATTGTGGCATAGCGGGTAAAGCTGCCCCTGCAATGCCAGCATCCCGTGTGGGTGCCGCTCCACGTCCCGGCTGATCCAGCTCCCTGCCAACGCACTGGGCAAAGCAGCAGCAGGTGCCAAGTCCCTGGGCCACTGGCACACCTGCAAGAAGCTCCCGGTTCCTGGCTTCGGCCTGGCCCAGCCCTGGCTGTTGTGGCCACTGGGGAGTAAAGCAGTGGGTGGAAAGCCGACCTCTCTGTCTCTCCCTCTGTCTATAACTCTGCATTTCAAATAAATAAAATAGACCTTTAAAAAAATGATCAAATGATCAAATCAGAAACGTGGTCCTATGAGAACAAGGAACAAAAGAATAGGCTTTGAGGTAATCAGAGCAGGCTTCCCTGAGGAGGTGACCCCTGAACTGAGATCTGAAAGTCTCCAGGATGAGCGAGATACAGAGCCTCAGTGAGAACCAGCATACGCAAAGGTCCTGGGGCAGGAAGGAGCCCACAGCACCAGTTCAATCCAGAAGCTGCAGCGAAGAGCCCACGGCCTTGCCAGAGGGCCCCAGTACTGACCAAGACGATCCACAAGCGGCTGGGAGAGACAGGGCATACCTGGGGGTGGAGGGTAGAGGCAGCTTCCAGAACATACTGTCGGAGGCCCCGGTCCTGCTTCCTCAGCGTCACAGCCACAAACACCGGCACCGAGAGCAGGTAGGGCAGGCCAGGCGCCGGCCAAGTCACTGCCGTGCACAGCTGCCAGCCCCAGGCGCGGGCTGCTGCGGAGAGAAGTGAGTGCGGGGTCGGCAGGGGGCAGCAGAGAGCCACAGGGCGGGGATGGGGGCGGGGCTCAGCACAGCTCCCAGGCCAAGGAGAAGCCCCTCTGACTTCTAAGGCACAGCACCAGGAGGACCACGGTTTGCCAAGCTCAACAGCACAGACGTGGGGGCCAGAGGGCCCTGTGCGGGGGTCCACTGTGTGCGTGGTGGGACGGTGAGCAGTGCCCCGGTCTCCATCCCCCCACCTCAAAACCAGCTACAACACCCCAGCCTGATCTCCTGTCTGCAGCCCAGAGCCCCTGGTGTAGACTTATCAGAGTCAGGAGGATGCCATGTTGAGAACATAGGCTCTGAGTTCAAGTTCTGGCTGTGCTGTCTCCCGGCTGTGTGACCTTGGGCAACTGACTAAGTGTCTCTGTGCCTCACCCGGACCAAGCACAGAGCTGGCCCGGGGGTGCGGCTGTGAGGACGGACAGCTGGGCGAGCGTGTAGGGCGGGGCCGGGCCTGCTTGCCATGGGAGAGGTGGCCATGTTCTCTTCCCGCTTTTGGGAAAGTCTTCTCAAAGCTCTGACAGCTGTTACACCTTCAGAGGTGAATTTTTGATTCTGAAGGCGACTTCCATGCAAGTGGGGGGGGGGGGCAAGGTCGCCCCCTCCACCTGCACCAAAGGGCGCTGACCCCACACCCAGCTGTGGAGCCTGCGCTGGGTAACCCCAGCAAAGACTTTTTTACATGGCTCAAAATGCTCGCTCGTGACAAGGTTTCAAAGTCAGGACCCGGCAGGGGAACGAATTCAACTGGGAGGCAGCAGCCGCCACCAGGAGCTGATTCCGGCTGGGGCAGGGGGGCGGAGTCTCCTCCCGCTGTCCCCTCTCTGTCATGCACAGCCCCAGGGGCCATCACCCAGGACGAGGCCGCGCCCTGTGAGTTCTAGGCAGTGTCCCTGTCACCCAGCTGCGCTTCCTCCACCTGAGGGGCCAGCGCCGTGGTGCAGCGGGTAGAGCCACCGCCTGAGTGCCCGCACCCCATGTGGGCACGGGTTCCGATCCAGCTCTCTGCTGTGGCCTGGAAAAGCAGTGGAAGATGGCCCAAGACCTTGGGCCCCTGCACCTGCGTGGGAGACTCAGAAGAGCTCCTGGCTCCTGGCTTCAGATCAGCGCAGCTCTGGCCATTGCAGCCATTTGGGGAGTGAACCAGTAGATGGAAGACCTCTCTCTCTGTCTCTCACTCTGTAACTCTTTCAAATAAATAAATAGAGAGAGACAGAGAGAGAGAGACAAACAAACACCACAATAGAAAGCTGGCATAGCCCCGTGCCCGGGGAATAAGCCATCTGGTCTACCAGCAGCAATCTGAGTGACTTCCTAGGTTTTGCTCTTACAAATGGCAAAACCATGATGAACTCCCCCCACCACAGGACATTTAAGAGGCTTTGGTGGGGCTGGTGCCACACAGCAGTGGGTTTAAGCCGCATGTGGGATCCCACGTCCCACACTAGAGCGCGGGTTCGAGTCCTGACCACACCGAGCTTCCGGTTGGCTTCCTGCCGACGCAAAGGCCAGAGTCCACGGCCCAAGCACTCCCGTGGGAGACCCGGATAGAGCTCCTGGCTCCCGGCTCCAGCCCACGCCGGCCGTGGCCGCTGGGGCCACCTCAGGAGTAAACCAGGGCATGGAAGACCCCGGTGTGTCTCTTCCTCTGTCACTCTGCATTTCAAATAAGTAAATAAAATAAATGTAAGTGACTGTGGTTTGAATTCACAGGATAGAAGTCCAGGGCCAGAGTCACTGAGCGAAGGTACACGTTTCTTAAAAGACTGACTGAGTGGTTTACAAACGCAGAGCGACAGAGGGAGGGAGACGCGGGCGTGGCGCGGCAGTGGGGCAAGGCTCTCCCATCCACTGGTTCATTCCTCAGCCGCAACAGCCGAGGTGGGGCCAGGCCAAAGGCAGGAACCAGAAACTCCATCCGGGTCTCCCGCACGGGTGCCAGGGGCCCAAGGCCTGCACCATCCCCCGGGGCTTCCCCAGGCTCGGGAGCAGGGTGCTGGGTGGACGGCATGCGGGAACTGGAGAACCGGCACTCCAACAGGGTTCTTAACCCGCTGTGCCCGGCACCTGCCCCCGGCGCGTAAATCAGGCAGCGCGGAAGGGCAACACTGGCACTCGGAGTTTCCACCCCCGGCTCCCTCCCGGGACGACTCTCGTGCGACGATGGCAAGAGCCCCCACCTACCTTCCTCGCTGGTACAGGACGGGGCCTCTGGCGGGCTGGGATGGCGGCTGAGGCTCCGCACGCCGTCCCCAGCGACGAGATACAGCTCAGAGCTGGATGGCGACAAGAGAGCGCTTAGCAAGGCCACAGGCCAGCCCTTCTCACTCGCTCATCGCATGGACGGCGCCTTGAGCCCTCCCGGCCAATCCTAGCCTGAACAGGGCAGGCCTTTACAGGCTCATACTCCCCTGGGAGACACGACAAAAACACACCAGCAAAACCAAAGCACCACAGACAGTGACAGGGGCATGGAAACCCCAAACGGGGCCAGCACACCTGACAGCAGGGTCAGCAAGTGCAAAGGCCCTGGGGTAGGAACGAGGTCACCTCTTCAGAAAGGAGGTGGGCAGCAGGGGAAGAGATCACCTCCCTCGCAGGTGGGGACAACAGGCCCCAACGGGACCCAAGGCAGAGGGAGTTCCCCTCCCCCACCCATCCCTCATCCCAGGCACAGCCTCATGCACACACACTTGCACACACGTGGTCACACGCATGTCCCAGCTCCCACACTCTCAGTGCCCCCCTCATACACACACCTGAAGCCGAACAGCTCCGTGGTCTCCTCCGGCGCGTTCAGATGCACCTTGAAGTCCTGGCCCTTTCTCGCCTGGATCCCACCGTCCAGGCCGGCAGTGCCCCGGATGCTGGTCACCCACCTCAGCCCAGCCTGCCCCAGGGCGCCCGCAGTGCCCATCTGGGCTGAGATCCGGAGCAGGACGCTGAGGGAAAGGCGAGCCACTGCGTCTCGGCACCCACCCCCCTGCGGGCCGTCCTCAGCAACCCTGAGCCACGGCAGCTCTGCACAGCCGGCCCCTGCGGCAGACAGGCGGACGCACCTGCTCGGGCCCTCTGCTGGGGCCCTCCAGTTGTCTGTGCCCGGACCGTGCTCTCCCTTGGGAGCACAGCTGGAGTAGGACATCCAGGCCCCCACAACACAGCCAGAACCGGAGGGCAACTCCACTGCTGGGGGCACAGGTGCCCGGCAGGGGCTGGGACCGGCTCCGGAATGACCGTGTCCCCACCCACAGCAGGAATCACGGCGACCTCGCTGGGCACCTGTGCACGCACGGTCACTGGGGGAGCCGGCTCCTCCCCTCCCGAGAGGCAGAGCGGGCTGTGGCCGGAAATCCCAGCCGCCTGGCTCTGCCGTGTGACCTCGGGCACCAGAGGTCCATCTCTGAGTCTCAGTCTTCCCACCTGCAAAGTGGGCTCAAGGCCCAGGCTTTCCTCACAGCCTCCTGGCCCCAAAACACAACAGGAGGATGGGATGTGCAGGGCAGGGGTCCCCTCCGGCCCCCAGCCCCGAGGCCAGCTACCTGGGCTTGACGTAGCCGCTCAGAGAGAGATGCGCGCGCTGCCGGAACACGGCGCTTCCTCGGACGCGGATGCTGACGGCGGCTGAGACGTTCAGGGTGAGCCGGGCCGGGAGGCCAGACAGGGTAGGGAAGACCAGCTCTGCCGGGGCCAGGCTCAACCTCCGGGTCACGTGCACCTCCTGCCCCTGTGGCCAAAGGACCCAATCGGGCACTGAGAGACCCCACGTGGCCTCAGAGGCCTCTACGCCCACTGTCCAGACAAGCAGACTGAGCCCCAGAGGTGGTAACGGGGAGCAGTGGGGAGCCCAGGGTGGCCAGGTCGGGAGCATGGCCCTGGCCAGGCCTCTAGGGAGCTCCGTGCCGCATCTTCACGACACCGGCACCTTTAACCCCACAGCCCCAGCAGGGCAGGGCTCTGTTCTCTCCATTTCAGATGGAGAAACCAAGGCCCCAGGGCGAACAACAGGACTGAGGAGGTAAGTGGTGGGGCTGGGGTTTGAACTTGGGCGATCCGGCTGCAAACTGTGCTGAGCGTGAACAGGGAAGCAGCGGGGTGGGGGAGGGAGAACAGGCAGGGTGGGGGAGGGAGAACAGGCTGGGGGGGAGGGAGGACAGGTGGGGGGGGTACCTGCAGGAGCTTGGTCCCCAGCTCGGCCAGGCTCAGGTGCTGCTCCGCCGGCCGCCCCAGGGCCCCGCAGTTCACCAAGGTCAGCTCGTGCCCAAGCACCTTCAGGCTCAGCTCGCACCGCAGCCCCTGCCGGGCCCCACGCCTCTGGGCCACCTGTGGGAGACCCCAGACGGGAGACGAGGCGCTGGGCTGCGCTACCATGGGGCAAAGCGGCCCCGGGAGAGAAAGACCAAGGACTGTGGGACCCGGATCGTGGCTGGCAGAAGTCCAGGGCCATGGACCAAGCCCCACACCCACGCCGCCTTCCTGGGCCTGCCTGGAGCTGCTGACACCCAGTGCCACGGTCTGTGTTTCAGGTTTTGGAACTCGTAACTCGCACATAATAACTGGACAAATTTAGAGGGTACAGGTCGACATCTCAACACCCGTGAATGATACCTTCAGGTAACTGGCAGATCCGTCAACTCCAACAGTTTCTGTTTGTGTTGCAAACACTTGCAATCCTCTCTACTAGGTATTTTCAAATATATGAGACTTCAAAGAAATGCATGGAAAATGAATTCAGAGACAAGTTTATTTGGGTGCAAAAAAATGAATTCCATGTACATAAGGAGTCTTCAAAAATTCACGGAAATTCAAAACTGTAAAAGAAATTCACCTTTTCATTCCATCTGCCGACTTGTTAAAGCACCGTCGCACAGCTTGTGGCTGTGGCCCACAGTTACCGTACAAACTTTGCCTCCTGGGGCGGGCGTGTGGCACAGCCCTCAAGAAGCAGCTGGGGCAGGAGTGGGGGGTGGCGACACGGTGCAGCGGGTAAAGCCACCACCTGTGATGTGCCACGCCTATGGGCTCTGATTCGAGTCCCGGCTGCTCCACTTCAGATCCAACTCCCTGCTAACGCCCCTGGGAAGGCAGGGCGAGGACTGTCCAAGTGCTTGGGCCCCTGCACCCACGTCGGAGACTTGAATGAAGCTCTTGGTTTCTGGCTTGGACCTGGCCCAGCCCAGGTGGTTGTAGCCATTTGGGAAGTGAACCAGCAGATGGAGGATTTGCGTCTCTCCTTCTAACTCTCTCAAATAAATAAATAAAAAAAAAAATGGAGGAGGAGGAGGAGAAAGGAGGAAGAAGGAAGAAGCCACCACTGGGGATACGCGTGTCCCCCATCAGAGTCCCTGGGTTCAGGTTCAGGCTCTGCTACCAATCTGGCCTCCTGCTGATGCGCACCCTGGGAGGCAGCAGGTGACGGCTCAAGTACCTGAGTCCCTGCCACCCACGTGAGAAAATGCCGGTATCAATTCCAGGCCCCCGGCTCAGGATGCAGCCACTGCAGGCATTTGGGGAAAGAACCAGCAGACGCTGTGTGTACGTCTGTCTCTGCCTTCCAAATGAATGAAGAAGTTATTCCTCCTACTGTGTTACCCATCCTCTCTCCTTTCCTTGATGTGTTTCATAAGTGTCTTATTTTTCAAAAGTTTTAGACTCACACAGGAGTGGCCAACCCAGTGCAGAGTTCTCCTCCCACTACCCCTCCCAGCTTCTCCCAGGGTCCACGGTGAGCGGCGGGCACTGGTTTGCTGCCATCACCCAAGCCCTGTGCCTCCCCGGGACCTCAGCATGCCTCCCATCACCGTCCCAGCTCGGCTCCCAGGCCCAGCCCCGCAAACCCCACCCCATCTCCCCAGTCCCAGCGCTGGCTTCCGTCTCCCTTTCACTACCTCTCACACCAAACACACTTTCGACAAACTGAATTTTATTCTAAGGTTTCTAAACTGGGAGCCTTGGTATGAAATTCCAATCTCTGGCTTCTCTACATAGAGCAAACAGTGGCCTGCTCCCCCAGCACGAGGAGCAACCAGTGGCCGGAGCTGAGTGGCGCTTCTCTGGCTGTGAACAGCTGCTCCAGCCACCCGCCTTGTCCATGGTACCGACAGCTTGTGAGAGCCAAGAGTTACCAACTATGCGTGCCCACCAGTGGGAGATGACGGAGAAGGCCGGTCCCCATGCCTGGGACGGCTATCAATCAATCAATCAATCTCTCTCTCTCTCTCTTCCCTTCTCTGCCTCTCAAATATATTTTGAAAGAATTAAGGCCCAGGGGCTGGCACTGTGGCATAGTAGGTAAAGCTGCCGCCTGAGGTGCTGGCACCTGATATAGGCACCGGTTTGGAGTCCTGGCTGCTCCACTTCCAATCTGGCTCTCTGCTATGGCTTGGGAAAGCAGTAGAAGATGGCCCAAGTCCTCGGGCCCCTGCACCTGCGTGGGAGACCTGGATGAAGCTCCTGGCTCCTGATGAACCCAGCTCTGGCCGTTGCGGCCATCTGGGGAGTGAACCAGCAGATGGAAGACCTCTCTCTCTCTCTCTCTGCTGCCTCTGCCTCTCAAATAAATTTTGAGAGAGAGAGAGAGAGAGAATGAATGAATGAATGAATGAAGGCCCAGAGGTCCCACTTCCCACGAGGGGAACAGCTGAAACAGATGATGGCAAGGAGATGGGGGGGGGGTGCGCCCTCACTCACGGCTCACGGGAGCGCAGCATGGTACAAGCGCCTGGGCGGCAATTCAGCCGTGTCTGAGAAAATTAAACACGCACTGACCACACGATCCAGCCACTCCTACAGTCATCCCAGCGAAGGAACACATACATCCACACCAAGGCCTGGACACAAGGGTTCATAGCCGGGGCCGGCACTGTGGCACAGATTAGCCCCATGTGAGCACTGGTTCGAGTCCCGGCTGCTCCACGTCCGATCCTGCTCCCTGCTAATGTGCCTGGGAGAGCAGCGGAAGATGGCCCAGATGCTTGGGCCCCTGCACGCACACGGGAGACTCAGATGGAGCTCCAGGCTCTCAGCCATTTGGGGAGTGACCAGCAGGTCAAAGATCTCGCTCTCTGTCTCCCCCTCTTTGTAACTTTGCCTTTCAAATAACTATATCTTTTTAAAAAAGCTAAATGATTACCAATGCCAAGAAATCCTCTGGTGCTCTCTCCCAGTTCCCCACCCAGTAAAAGCAGAGATAAGTAACATCTAAGTAACAGCTTGACTTTAAGCCCATAGATTGCACCAAAAAGTTCACGGTTGCTTCGTGTGTGACAGCCGAGTGTGTCAAGCAACTACCTCCAGCTACAGACGGAGGATCAGCAGGCGCATCCGTGGGACAGAACCCTGCTCAGCCAGCCACAGGACCCCTCGGCAGCGTCCACAGCACAGTCACACGACGACCACGCTCGACGAGAGGCCAAACGCCAACAGAGACCTTTTCCTCGAAACGACCTGCCGCGTGACCCAGTTAAGCGCCACTCTAGAAAATTCCAGTGGATTTCTGTTGGCAGAAAGCCACGAGCACCCCAGGGACAGGAGCAGGGTGCTACGGACGAGGACGCCCTCGGTGGGAGGGGGCGCTCACGGGCTTTGTGGCGGTGAGGCCTCGTGGTGCACACGTGGGCAAACGCTCACGACGCAGGCTACAGGCCCAGCGTGTGCCACCGGGGCCCACACTGGAGGATCTGAGCCCAACTCCCAGCTCTGGCTCCCGACTCCCGCTTCCTGCTAGCGCAGCCCCTGGGAGGCAGCAGGGGGTGGCTCGAGTGGACGGAGGCCCAGGCTCTCGGCTGCGGCCATCGCGGGCACTTGGGGAGTGAACGAGAAGATAGGGGATCTCTCTCTCTCTCTCTCTCTCTCTCTGTCAAACACTTTTTTAAAAAAGATTTCTTAAGTCATTTGAAAGGCACAGTTACAGAGAAAGCAAAGGAAATACAGAGAGAGAGAGGAGTGGGAGAGAGAGAGAGAGAAGGAGTGGGGGAGAGAGAGATCTTCCATCTGCTGGTTCACTCCCCAAATGACCGCAATGATCCGGCTGGGCCAGGCCAAAGCCAGGAGCTTCCTCTGGGTCTCCCACACGGGTGCAGGGACCAAGCACTTGGCCCATCCTCCAGGGCTTTCCCAGGCCATCAGTAGGGAGCAGGGTCAGAACTGGAGCAGCAGGGACGCGAACCAGCGCCCATAGGAGATGGCGGTGCTGCAGGCTACAGCTTAACCCACTGTGCCACAGCACAGGCCCGAGAAAACCATTGAATAAAACCCTTTAAGCACGAGCTGTTCATCTCGCGTCAGTCCCACCTCCGCAAAGCCGACCTGTGCAAGGCAGAGCTGCAGCTGGTGGAAGTCGGCCTCGGGGAGGCAGGGGACACACGGCCGGCTACGTGCTTCGGGCTGAAGTCGGCAGGTGCAGGCTGCCCGCCGGCCTCTCGGGTCCGGAGCGGCAAGCAGGGGCAGAGGCCAGGGACCCCTCCGCACCCGACCATGCCGCAGCATGGGCTTGGGTGGCCGTGGCCGTGGCCCTCACCTTCTGCTGTGCGTCTCTCATCCTTCTGGGTCTCTCTCCCGGACACTCAGGCCTGGTGGTCGGCCCCGGCTCTGGTCCCGGCGGACTCTCCGGCTGGGCCTCTCTCTGCTCTTCCTGCTCCCAGGATGGCTTCTGGCCAAACAGCCTGCGGACGACGTCCTCGGCATCTTCCAGCCGGAGCCCCAGCTGGGAAGGAAAGCCGGGGCTCAGGGAGCTGACCAAGAGCTGCAGGGCTGGGGGGCTGGGTGTGCCGAGGGCTCAGGCACTCTGGGTCCCCAGGGCCCACCTGGGGCACAGCCCTGGGGACTACGTCTCATACTCCATCTGCTTGGCAGAGGCCAGCACAGTAAGCACTCCTGCCATTCTGGTAGTCGGTGCTCCGAACGCCACCGCCTCCAGGAAGCCTTCCTGGAATGCCCTCACCCACCACCCGCAGGCCAATGCTCACTCCTCCCCACAACTCCAAGGTCACAGCTAGACACCGCCGTTTGTGTTGAAGTGACACCCTGACAGTAGGGACTCCATTTTCAAGGCAGACAAGACTCCATCTTGTGAGACTGTGGTCTAAAACTAAGACAATAACCCCACACCCCATCCCACTCGGCAGAACACAGAAAACCCCCAGAGGGTCGCGCAAGCCGACACCAGACAGGCTGCGGCAGGACTGACGTCAAGACTGCCATCCGTGGCTCAATAGGCTAATCCTCCACCTAGCAGCGCCGGCACACCGGGTTCTAGTCCTGGTCGGGGCGCCGGATTCTGTCCCGGTTGCCCCTCTTCCAGGCCAGCTCTCTGCTGTGGCCAGGGAGTGCAGTGGAGGATGGCCCAAGTGCTTGGGCCCTGCACCCCATGGGAGACCAGGAGAAGCACCTGGCTCCTGGCTCCGGGCTTCGGATCAGCATGGTGCGCTGGCCTCAGCATGCCGGCCGCGGCGGCCATTGGAGGGTGAACCAACGACAAAGGAAGACCTTTCTCTCTGTCTCTCTCTCTCACTGTCCACTCTGCCTGTCAAAAAAAAAAAAAAAAAAAAAGACTGCCATCTGTCTGTCCCACACGGTACCCGGACTGATGTCAGGATCGTAACCGATCCGAGTTTCCCTTGGGCTTCAGGTCAGCGTGACCCTGGCAACCATGTAGCCCCCTCCCCTCCTCTCCCCTCTCCTCCCTTGGTTCCTGCCTTCACAGACCCTGTCGCTCTGAGCTTCGGGGTCGGGAGTTCTTTAGGGTGCGAGGAGCCCGCCCTCAGCCGCCAGCAAGGAAGGGGTCCAAGCTCATCAGCGTGGGCGCCTCTGCGTGAACCAGTCCAGGCACGGCCGTGTCCCCCTTACAGGACGCTGGGGGAGGGCGGACTCTCAGCTCTCCCACGCTGGGCGCCCAAGGCCTGGCCGCCTGGGTCTCGGAGCCCAAGCACTGACAGAGCCCTCCCTCCCCCCTGCGCCCCTCCTCCTTCCCTGGTTCCAGCCCCCACCGTCGGACACCGTGGACCCTGCTCCTGCCCTCCACCCACTCCTCCCTCCCTCCCTCCCTCTTCCCAGTTGCTCTCACAGCTCGGGGAGAAAAACCAGCCCAGGTCCAGGCCTCAGCAGATCCGAGCCCGGGCATGGAAGACCGGCCCAGCGCTCCGCAAACCAGGAGGAGCCGGGCCAGGGCGCGGAACAGCCCCCTCCAGGCCCATGGCGGGGGTCTGGGGGCAGGAGCAGGAAGGGCCCCGGCACGTGGGCCCTCAGAGGTGGTCCCTCTCCCACCATGGCCCTGCAGGCTGCTTCCCACGCCCCAGCCCGACGCTCACGTCACATCACGTCACTCCCCAGCCTAAAACCCTGCCGTGACCTGGCCCTGCCGCCTCTGCCCCCTCCCACTCCATTGCCTGCTCTCCCTGGTGCTTCAAACACACCAGCCCCTCCCCAGCCCGGACCTCGGCACTCGCCGATCGCCCCCTGCACCCAGCACCCAGCACCCAGTACCACGAGCCCACCCTTCGCTCCCTGAACACACTGCTCACAGCTGCCACCGACCCGTTTCTCTACTCGTTCCTCATCTGTCTGCCTCTCCAGGCTCTGAGCAGCAGGGCAGGGCCCGGGTCTCCCCTGGCCATCGTCTGATTTCTAGAGACCAGCACGGCACCCGGAACAGCGTCAGCGAGCCGTCGAGCGCTGGTACAGCGGATGGCAGGTGGGTGACCGCGGACAGGAATGAGCGGAGAGGTAGATGGACAGACCGATGAGCAGGAGAATCAGTGAAGAGATGGGGTGGGGGAGGATGGACGGTCGGACGGATAAGGAAGGGGGGGGTGCAGGTGCACAGATGGAAGCGGGTGATTGGACGTGTGGATATATCTATGTATGGACAGGGGAAGAGATGGGTGGATGGGCTGAAAACTCAACAGAGGTGGGGCCGGCCCTGTGGCATAGCAGGTAAAGCCTCTGCCTGCGACGTCGGCATCCTGCAAAGCCTCTGGTTCAAGTCCCGGCTGCACCACTTCCGATCCACCTCCCGGCTAATGGCCTGGGAAAGCATCGGAAGATGGCCCAAGTGTTTGGGCCCCTGCCAAGTTCCTGGCTCCACCCTGGCTGTTGCGGCTGTCCGGGAAGTGAACCAGAGGATGGAAGATCTCTCCCTCGAACTCTTTCAAATAAATAAATATTGAAGAAGGAAACAGAACCCGGAGCAGAGTGATGGATGCCGAGGGAGGACGGTGGCAGCAAGGGTGGGAGGCGGACGGGGGGACCACCGCTGACCGTGCAGCCAGGAGAGGCCCCGAGGACCTGCACAGGGCGCTCCCTACCTCCAGCACGTTGAAGGCACGGCCTAGGGCGTGGATGGTCAGGTTGGCCGTGGCGGCCCGCGGCAGGAAGGACGAAGGCGAGAAGAGGAGGCTCCTCTCCAGGTTGACTCCCAGGCTGCCGGACGCTGGGACAAAGGGACAAGGGTCAGGCCCCCCGTGAAGCCCTCATAGGGCAGGGCTGGCCACTCAGGGGTACACCCCCCAGCCAGGACAGGCAGCAGCCTGAGCCTCACTGAGGCCAAGGGAGGCCCGGCCAGGAGGACCACAGCTCACGAGCCCCAAAGGGGGGCTCCTGAGCTCACGCCACACACACCTCGCTTCCCAGCATGGCTGAGGAGGGGTCCCCAGCCCCAGTGGGGTCTCAGTGTAGTGACAGCCAGGAGGCCGCTGGGCCATGCTCTCCTCTCTTCAACACAAGGAAAGCCTGATCTCCAAATTCAGCAATCGACAGAATTTAACAACAGGGCCTGGGGCAGTGCTGTGGCACAGCAGGTTAAGCCGCCAACTGCAAAGCCGGCATCCCATGTGGGTGCTGGTTCAAGCCCCGGCTGCTCCACCTCCAATCCAGCTCTCTGTGGCCTAGGAAAACAGTAGAAGATGGCCCAAGTGCTGGGGTCCCTGCACCCACTTGGGAGACCGGAAGAAGCTCCTGGCTCCAGATTGGCTCAGCTGCGGCCATTGTAGCCATTCGGGGAGTGAACCAGCAGATGGGAGACCTCTCTCTCTACCTCTCTGTAACTCCGACTTTCAAATTAATAAACAAATTTTTTTAAAAAAGAGAGGGGCAACTTAAAGAGGAAAATGAAAGGCAGGCAGGAGGTGCCTCCCAAAGTTCATGGAAAAAAGAAATCACAAGGCATGCTGATTTAGGGACAACCAAACTTAGAGATTCCTGCTGTTTTCTCCTCATCCTCCTCTTCTTTTCCTCTTTCCCTAAAGCCAGGAGCTTCTTCCGGGTCTCCCCCAGGGGTGCAGGGCCCCAAGCACTTGGGCCGTCTTCTACTGCTTCCCCAGGCCCATAAACAAGGAGCCAGATCAGAAGTGGAGCAACCAGGACCCGAACCGGCACCCATCAGGGATGCCAGCATGGCAGGCCAAGGCTTTACCCGCTAAGCCACAGCGCCAGCCCTGCACCTTGGCTGACGCCGGGCGATCCTTCTTCTCCTCTGACAGAAGCGGCAGGGGTGCGGGGGAGAGGGTGGAAACGCCGAGCGGAGGGCCCATGTGCACCTGACACCTGGAGGACAGCGCCACCGTCTATCCACTGTTCCCTCGAAGCAGTGCTGGCCCGCCCAGGGCGGCCCTACCTGAGCGGAAGGTGACGTCCGAGTAGGACGAGTGCTTCCAGCCATCGGGGCGGAGCTCCTGGCTGACGATGTCCTCGGGGAGGGCGTCACGCAGCGCCTGCTTCAGGGGGTCGTCCGTCTCCAGCAGCTGCAGGAGGTGGCTCCACACGAAGGAGCCCACTGTGGGGGGAGGGGGGCCGCGGCCGGGGCAGGGGGATGGTGAGCAATGGCCCGCAGCCCGCACGGCCCACGCAAAGACCCTCTGAGCCTGTCCTGGGTCCCACTGGCCCCACATACAGGGGCTTCTCAGGAGCCTGGCGCCTGACACCCGGTGTCCCAGGCCACGCGTGGGATCCTCCCGTGCTTAGAGGGAATGGGGAGGACATGGGGACAGCCTGGCAGAGTCATGCCTGGGGAGGGCTGGGGGCCGCATCCCATTTCAGACAACCTGGACACAGTCCAGCTTCTGCTTCCAACCCCGCCTCCTGCTCGTGCACCTGGGAGGCAGCAGGTGCTGGCCCGAGTGCCTGGGCCCCTGCCCCCCACGTGGGAGACCCAGACCTCGCGCTCTCGGCTCCTGACTTTGGCCTGACCCAACTGTGGCTGTTGCGGGCATTGGGAGCGCGAACCAGATGGACAATCTCACCCTCTCCTGCTCTCTTAGCAGAGCAGAGAATCAGACCGGAGTCTGGATCCCAGCTGCAGGGCTTACAGGCTGGGTGACCTCGGGACGGCCGCGCTGCTTCTCTGAGCCTGAGTTTCCCCGGGTGCAGAGCGAACTCAGAACCCACCCACGGGGCTCTCTGTGGAGCTCACTCAAGAGTGGAGCATGGACTTCAGGCCTGAGGGTCTGAGCCAAGCTAGGGGTGATGCACAGTCCGGGCCGGGGACCCTCCCGGGGAGAGAGCTCAGACGAGGGCACCAGTGGGAAGGGGGCACCCCCTGCCCTCCGGGTCATCCCCAGAAGGTCCACAAGGGAGCTTCTGGAACAGTCCACCATGGGACAGAGTTGGCTTTGGAGGGACGAGGGACCTACACATTTCCACCGGGCAGCACACAGTCTGGTGCCCGGGGCCTCTGCTGAGGGCAGTCCCCTCACTGGGGACACTGGCTGGGTTGAGCGGCCAACGCAGCTCAGTTCGCAACAAAAGCAGCCCCCTCTCCAGGCCACACCCCTGGCCTGAGACAGCCGGAGCAGGCGGCTGTGTCTCACGCGCCATCGCTTCAGATGGCGCCAGCGCAGGCCACATCCAATCTCCAGACACACACACAGCCCTTGCCCAGGCACTCTCCCTCCCGGGAAACCATCGCAAGGCCGGAGCAGCACGAGGGCCGCTCCCAACAGCCAAAGACCACAAACAACCCAGGTGCTCATCGTCAGTGCTGGTGAAACCGGTGAAGGCACCAGCCCCACGAGGACCCCACACAGCCACAGACAGGAGGCCACCTGCCCCGGCTCCCATAGTGCTCCCAGCCACGGCCACGGCCACGGCCAGGGGCATAAGAGCACGTGGGACGTGACCCTGCGTCGCTGCTTTACGACAGACACAGGTGCACGGGTTATGGGAACGTCATCAAGGGCACTCACAACGCCACAGCTGAAAGCTCCCATGGGAACACGGTCCCTCAGCGACCTGGTGTCATTGTGCCAGGCGTGCACTGGCCTGTGCATTGCAAGCCCGGACCCACACACAGACAGCTGCTCACAGCGAGCGGCTCCAGGCCACGGGGGTGAGCAGCAGAGCTCAGTTTTCCACTCGTCCCTCGCCGTGTGCTCGGAAATTCAGAGCACAAACCCGGAGCATGTGGTTCTGCCCTAACGGGAGTGGCGGTAACCTGGGCGTTAAAAGCAGCGGTCCCAGCACCCTTGTCCAGGGCTGTGCGCGTCCCCGTGTCCCAGCGCCCTCATCCAGGGCTGTGCGCGTCCCCGTGTCCCAGCGCCCTCATCCAGGGCTGTGCGCGTCCCCGTGTTCCCAGCACCCTCGTCCAGGGTTGTCCGCGTCCCCGTGTCCCAGCGCCCTCATCCAGGGCTGTGCGTGTCCCCGTGTCCCAGCGTGCTCGTCCAGGGCTGTCCGCGTCCCCGTGTCCCAGCGCCCTCATCCAGGGCTGTGCGTGTCCCCGTGTCCCAGCGCCCTCGTCCAGGGCTGTCCGCGTCCCCGTGTCCCAGTGCCCTCGTCCAGGGCTGTCCACGTCCCCGTGTCCCAGTGCCCTCATCCAGGGCTGTGTGCATCCCCGTGTCCCAGCGCCCTCGTCCAGGGCTGTCCGCGTCCCCGTGTCCCATCGTCCTCGTCCAGGGCTGTGCACGTCCCCGTGTCCCAGCGCCCTCGTCCAGGGCTGTGCGTGTCCCCGTGTCCCAGCGCCTTCGTCCAGGGCTGTCTGCGTCCCATGTCCCAGAGCCCTCATCCAGGGCTGTGCGCGTCCCTGTGTCCCAGCGCCCTGGTCCAGGGCTGTCCACGTCCCCGTGTCCCAGAGCCCTCATCCAGGGCTGTGCGCGTCCCTGTGTCCCAGCGCCCTCGTCCAGGTCTGTCCGTGTCCCCATGTCCCAGCATGCTCGTCCAGGGCTGTGCGCGTCCCCGTGTCCCAGCGCCCTGGTCCAGGGCTGTCTGCGTCCCCGTGTCCCAGCGCGCTCGTCCAGGGCTGTGCACGTCCCCGTGTCCCAGCGCCCTCGTCCAGGGCTGTCCGCGTCTCCGTGTCCCAGCGCCTTCGTCCAGGGCTGTCTGCGTCCCTGTGTCCCCAGCGCCCTGGTCCAGGGCTGTCCGCGTCCCCGTGTCCCAGCGCCCTGGTCCAGGGCTGTCCGCGTCCCCGTGTCCCAGCGCCCTCGTCCAGGGCTGTCCGCGTCCCCGTGTCCCAGCGCCCTGGTCCAGGGCTGTCCGCGTCCCCGTGTCCCAGTGCCCTGGTCCAGGGCTGTCCGTGTCCCCGTGTCCCAGCGCCCTCGTCCAGGGCTGTCCGCGTGCCCGTGTTCGGGCTGTTTTCATGCTCACGGCACTCTTGGGGAGGGCACCGTGTGCACAGGTTTTGAAGGGCCACCGAGGGCCCCAGGTGTCACCCCCACCGTGAGATCTCAGAGGAGAGAATTTAATCTGACTGTGCTGCCTCCAGGGGGCCTTGGGAGGTGAGCAGAGATCAGGTCATCAGAGCAGGGCCCCGCGGTTGAATCCTGGGGCTCTGTAATGTGAACAAGAGGCCAGACAGACACTGGCACAGGCACACCCCTCCCCAGCCCCCGCGCCACACGGCGCCTGTGAGACCTCAGAGCCCTGCCAGACAGGAGGCCACGGGAGACGCAGCCCCTTCACCCTGGGCCTCAGAACCAGGGGTCCCCCCAATTCTCAGATGGGACAACTGAGGCCAGAGAGGAGTAGCAACTTCTCCAGGGTCACCCAAAGGCACAAAGAATGGGATCTGGGATTACGCGTGGGGACACAGGGCCACTTGGGCGGTGTGGCAGAAGAGGGGAGACAGGGGAATACTCGGGGACGGAGGGAGAGGACACCTCTGGACTCTTGCCCCCAGCTGGAGGCGCCCGGGCCAGATTCACCCCCACCCATCCCCCACCCACCCCGCGCCTGCACTCACCCTGGGTGGACCGCTCGGCAGCCTGGGTGCGCCGCACCTGCGCAAACACCTCCGGCCCAGGACACCGCATCAGGGCCAGGTAGGCAGTGATTCGGATCTCTGCATCCTCCTCGGGGGCCCGGTACAGGCGGGAGAGCGCCGAGCGCTGGCTTGGACAGAGGGAAGGCCGTCACGGGAGCCCGCCTGCCTCACCCAGAGCGAGACCCACGGGTCACCTCACTGCCTGGCCCCCGCCTCCACCCCGAGAGGCCTCCCCGAGACCCTCTCACAGGGGCCAGGTTGTGGGGGTGCCAAGGACCCGTCTCCCCCAGTCACCACCCATCAGTAATGACATGTAAGCAAGTGGGCGTGGCTGCACGTCAACCAAACCTTCCCAGGGGCCTTCCAAAAGTTCACAAAAAATGAATACTGTGAAAAATTCTGCGTGGTTCCCAAAATTCCTTTGGCCCAAAATGAACTTCTCTAATCTCGTTTCTGCACGGTCGTCCTGATACCTCAGGGCTGCCCAAGGGGAGGCGTCCTCTCAACAGCCTAGACACCCCCCCACCAAGACAGCCTGCGCTCCCCACCCCCAACACCTACCGGCTTCCTGCATGGCACAGCCCCCCCCACACACACCCAGTGCTCGTGCATCAAATAACGCTTACTTGAGCACCTACTATGTGCCTGGCACCGAGTCAGGCGCCAGCCGTGAGCAAGCCCACCCAGACCCCGCCCACCCGGTGCCGGCATTCTGCAGAGACACAGCAAACAAAGTGGACATGGGACACACGACCAGCTGTGGGGGAGGGGGGACGAGCACGAAGCAGCGGGGAATGACGCAGGGACGCAGGACCCGGGAGGCTCAATTCCTGACCAGTCGGGGAGAGATCGAGACGTGCAGGCGCCTTTCAGGCAAGCACTGAAGGCAAAGGACTGCGGCTTGGGGACACCCGGGGCAAAGGTCTTCCCGGGAGGGGAGAGAGCTCATGCAAAGGGCCTGAGGCAGGAGCGGGCCAGGGGTGCTGGAAAGACCACAGACAGAGCAACGGCTGGAGACGGGGAGTGACAGCAGGAGACAAGGCCGGGTCACTGCGAGCACTTTGAGTGACAGAGGGGCCACGACCCAGAGGACAGCAGCCGCTGTTTCAGCCCTGACGGACCACACGCTCCCTCCAGCACTAACTCGGCCCCACAGCGAGCTGAGGATAGCAGCTACGTAGGTGAGCGGGCACAGCTATGTGTCAATAAAACTTTATTGAGGCCGGCGCCGCGGCTCACTAGGCTAATCCTCCTCCTTGCGGCGCCGGCACACCGGGTTCTAGTCCCGGTCGGGGCGCCGGATTCTGTCCCGGTTGCCCCTCTTCCAGGCCAGCTCTCTGCTGTGGCCAGGGAGTGCAGTGGAGGATGGCCCAGGTGCTTGGGCCCTGCACCCCATGGGAGACCAGGAAAAGCACCTGGCTCCTGGCTCCTGCCATCGGATCAGCGCGGTGCGCCGGCCGCAGCGCGCCGGCCGCGGCGGCCATTGGAGGGTGAACCAACGGCAAAAGGAAGACCTTTCTCTCTGTCTCTCTCTCACTGTCCACTCTGCCTGTCAAAACAAACAAACAAACAAACAAACAAACCTTTATTGACAGAAGCAGGTGGAAGGAGGAGGTGACGCATGGCCTGAAGTTTGCCAAGCCCTGCGCTAGAGGGTTCGGGGGGCACAGTGGCTCTGGCAGCCATAGGCCCGTGGGTGTGCTGAGCTGACAAAGAATCCACTTTGTACACAGACACAGCTTCCGCACCAGCGCGGACACTTAGTAGGTGCTCAGTCAACACCGCGCACAAGCCAACCACGCAGAGAATTAGCAGTGGCTCCAGATCCCCGTCATCGCCACCGCCACCTCCACCCCACAGCGCAGCGCGCGGGAGCTCACGTCTGCCGAGCAGGGGACCCTCCGGAAGGCCTGGATGGCCGCCAGCCGGAGCTCGGGGCGGACGCTCCACAGGGAGGCGCAGGCGCTCAGCACAGGCGTGAGGGCTGCGGCTGCCAGGCCAGCGTTGCCAATGGCCTTCAGCACGACCTGCAGCTGGAACAAGAGGGCAGCAGGGCCCTGAGGCCTGGGGGTGGAGGGCTCCCGGCCCCACCCGCTCAGCCTGGGCCCCGCGGCAGGCCCCCGAGGTCAGAGCCCGGGACACCAACGGTCCTCACCTGGCTGGTGTCCAAAGGTTCCGTAAAGGTACAGTTGGCACCCAAGGCCTCTCCCAGGATCCGCACAAAAGAGCTGACGCCAGGCAGCTGCCCGCAGGGCCCGTCCAGGGTAGCACAGAGGTTGTGCACCAGAGCTGAGATACCAAGGAAGGCGCTGGGGCCAGCCCCCGGGGTCTGCAGCAGCGGCTGAGGACAGAGCCAGCCCCGCCCGGGGGGGCAGGGGAGACAGTAAGACAGCCTGGCCCTGGCTGCACACAGGGCCACCTGGGACACCCACAGCCGAGGCTAAAGAACTCAGTTCCACGTGACCCCTCTCCCAGAGCCCAGAGTGTCCAAGTGGAGACCACCATGGGGTTCAAGTGCGACAGGGACACTGCCGACGTCACAGCAGGGGTAGGGAGGGGTGCTGCTAGCACCGACTGCATCGAGACCCGGGCCAGTGTCATCCCCCCCTAACGAGAACCACCCCACCCATGCCAAGAGTTACCCAGCCCCCACACCACAGTGCCAGGGTCCCGGAACCCTGGGCCGAGCCTCCAGCTCAGGGGGTCACGGTGAAGTTCTCCAAACAGAACGTGGTAGAGATTCCTGGACAAAGGGCCAGACCCCCACCCAAATGGCAGATCAGCTTCCTCTGCCCCCGCAATGCAGGAAATGAGAAATAACACCCAGTGCTCTCAGCTGTGATGCCGCTGGCTTCTGGAGCCCACCCACCGGCTTCCTTCCTGCACCAGACCCCCATGGAGGCCATCATCCCTCTGCCCGCAGCAGGGAGACCGACGCCCCAGGGGGCAGGGCCCACCCAAGCAGCCCCACCTCCCACTGCAGTGGTGAGGGGGTTGGAGGGGGCTCCCAGGCCACGTTGCCCCACCCCCCCATCAGCAAAGGCGACCTAGAGAGCTCGGGAGAACGCAGTGAGATGACTCAGAAGCAGCGAGTTCTGCATTGCTTGTGTCTGTTTTTAATAAAATTCCTTCGATTGCAAGCTTGCATCAATTGTTTTAGACTTAGTTACTTATTTGAAAGGCAGAGTGACAGAAAAGGGGAAAGAGACAAGTATTAAAAAGGGAGATTTTTGAACCACTGGTTCACTCCCTGAAAACCTGCAGCAGCCAGAGGCTGGGCCGGGCTGAGGCCAGGAGCCTGGGACGCCATCTGGGTCTCCCCACGTGGGTGGCAGGAGCCCAAGCATCTGGGCCATCGCCACCGCCGCTGCCCTGGCACATTAGCAGGAAGCCAGATCAGAAGCACGCTGCTTCTCAAATCGGGCACTCTGAGCCAATGCCACGTCCCAGGCAGAGGCTTAATCCACAGTGCCACCACGCCCGCCCCCAAACACTTGATCTCTGAGTTGGAGTGGCCCACCCACGCGTCAGCCACTGCACAGGACCCTGCCCTGGGCGCCAGGGCCCCGCTGCCCGGCTCCTGGCTCTGAGGCACAGGCGAGACCCCCACCCTCCGCTGGGAACCCACTCCTCTCCCCACCCACCACAAGCCAGGCCGGTCTCTCGGGGGGCTCACAGAGACAGTGACCGGCCCGGGCAGGGCATGACCACTTGGGAGGGACCCCCAGTGCAGTCCCTAACCCCCTCACCACTGAGTGTCCTATTTAATAAGCACTCCGAGGGTGCTTACCCCACACCAACATCACGACCTCGCCTTCCCCTCATTTCATTCCACAGCAGACACAGAGAGGTGCAGGAACTCCCCTCAGGTCACACAGCCACTACGCAGTGGGGCCAGCACTTGCCCAGGGACCCGGCTCCCGGGCCTGCACTAGCCCCACACTCACTGCTCCTCCAACAGCACATTCCGGGCTTGGTCCCTAAGGCCTGGCCCCAGGGCCCCGGGTCTGAGTAGCCGCCTGCACTCAGACCCCACCCACACGAGCCGGGGGTGGGGGGGCCGCTGTCCAGCTCCGCTTCTGCCCTGCAGTCGTGATTCTCAGCAGATCTGAGAGTACAGGAGGGCGTGCAGGCAGGTGCGCGCACATGCGTGTCTGTGTGCACATGCGTGTCTGTGTGCACATGCGTGTCTGTGTGCACACACGTGTCTCAGGCTCTCCCTGGGGGTGCATTCCTGTGGGGATGCACCTGTGCACCCCGGCACACACGTGCACCCTATGAAGGACCTCACGTGCACAGGTCTGTGTGTGTGTGTGCACATGGACCCAGCCTGCGCCAGTGCCTGGGTCTTGGTGTGGTGCATTTCATGTGTGTGTGTGTGCATAATGGATTTGTGTGTATCTCGGTGCGTGCGTCTCCACGTGTCTTCTCTTTGTGAAAGCACAGGGGTGTGTGGCCTAAAAATAGCGCATTCCCTGTTTTTCTATATTTGGCCAAAGAAAATAAATCTTCCTGTTAACACACAACAGGGAAAGCAAGGCTCGACGGGAAGGGCAAACGCCACGCTCAGAGGAGAGCCAGGGTCAGATGCGGGAGGAGGGTCCCGCCTCGGCCCACTGCTCCCCAGCAAGGCTGCCGGGCTCAGCAGAGCCGCCTGCAGCCCATCCGGGGCCAGAGCTGGAGCAGACGCCAGGACGGGGACAGCGGGACCTGCAGGGCCAGCTGGCGTCACGCAGCCTCCTGGGAGCCCAGGTCTCAACCCCAATCTGTGGTCCCGTCAGGGCCGCTGGGCGGCTGCAGACCTGGACCCGAGAGCGGTCAGGATGGCGGGGACCTGACCTGTCTAGGTGGCTGCCCAGGGACACGCCCCAGCGGCCAGCCCCGGGCACCTGTCCACAAGGATCAGTCAAAAGACCTTTCGGCGTCAGTGTCTATGTAAAGGAGGTCACTTTATTAAAAACATGAAAAATAAAATAATGCTCCAGTCTGTGGCCCCTTTGCAGCCGATTTCGCTTTTCCAAGGTGGCTTCCAGCCTGTCACCTTGCATCCCGCCTGAACCACGAGCTGACGGGAGACAAGGTCTGTCCCGATCCCGGGGAGGGAACGTGCTAGCAAAGCTTGGCGAGCTGGGCCTCACCGAGGAAGCGCTTCTGCCCACCGGGCGGGCTCAGCCGCCGCTTACGACATCACCGTCCCACGTAGGGAGGCCGGTTCAAGTCCCGGCTGCTGCACTTAGGATCCGGCTCCCTGCTAAAGCAGCTGGGCAAGCAGCAGAATGTGGCTCACGTACCTGGGCCCCTGCCACCCACATGGGAGTCCCAGATGAGTTCCTGGCTCGCAGCTTCGGCCTAGCACAGCCTTGGCTGTTGCAGTCATTTGGGGAATCAAGCAGCCGACGGAAGATCTGTGTGTGTGTCCCTCAGCCTTTCAAACAAATAAGTCAATCTTTGTAAGACTGTGGGCAAGGGGCCGGCGCTGTGGCATGGTTAAACCATGGCCTGCAGTGCCGGCATCCCATATGGGCTCCAGTTGAATGCCATCTGCTCCACTTCTGATCCAGCTCCCCGCTAATGCACCTGGCAAAGCAGCGGAAAATGGCCCAAGTGCTTGGGCCCCTGCACCCGTGTGAGAGATGAGGCAGAAACTCTGGGCCCTTGGCTTTGGCCTGGCCCAGCCCTGGTCCTTGTGGCCATCTGGGGTGTGAACCAGTGGATGGAAGATCTGTCTCTCCCTCTAGGTATCTCTGCCTTTCAAATAAGCAAACCTCTAAAGATTTTTTTTTTTATTTGAAATACAGAGTTACAGAGAGAGGTAGAGACAGAGAGGTCTTCCATCCACTGGTTCACCCCCCAAGATGGCCGCAACAGCTGGAGCTGCGCCGATCCGAAGCCAGGAGCCAGCAGCTTCCTCTAGGTCTCCCATGCAGGTTCAGGGGCCAAGCACTTGGGCCATCTTCTACTGCTTTCCCAGGCCACAGCAGAGAGCTGGATTGGAAGAGGAGCAGCCGGGACTAGAACCGGCGCCCATATGGGATGCTGGCACTGCAGGCCAGGGCGTTCACCCGCTGCACCACAGCACCGGCCCCACAAATAAGCCCATCTTTACATAAAAACCAGACTGTGGTGAAAGCAGCTCCAGATTCCAGGGCGCCCCTGAGCACTTGTGTGTAATCAACAGCGGTGACTGCGAGAGCAGAAAGGTCAGGTGCGGTGACCTTCAGAGGCCGCCAACGTGGAGGGGCCCGGGGGGCTCGGAGCCACAGCCACCCCAGGGCGGTGGCACAGGTGCAGGAGCACAGGCGTAAAGAGGCACCCCACTGGAGATTACGGAGAGCCGGATTCCCGCCTGCCAAGCCTGAAAGGAGTGAGGACCACACCCCGCACACCCCACGCACCCTGCCAGCTGCACGTGGTGCCCAGGGGACCCCGCGAGCAGACAGGGCCACACTGGAGCTGGGGCAAGCTCCAGCCTGATGCCACTAAGCAAAAACATGGTGAATGCAAGCAAGGAAGAGGCGGGGGGGGGCAGGGGGCAGGTGCTGCAGGGCAGGGGGAGCTGTGGACGGGCCGCCTGTGTCCCCTGTCTGAGCGCCTGGGGTCCCACTTTTACCTCTGATCCCGCTTCCTGCTCACGTGCACCCCGGGATGCAGCAGGTGACAACAGCTCAGGTACCTGGGCCCCTGCCACCCACGTGGGGAACCTGGACGGGGTTTTGGGCTCCTGGCTTTGGCCTGGCCCCGCCCTGGCTGTTGTAGGCATTTGTGGAATGAACCAGCAGAGAAAAGATCTCCCGCTCTCTGTGTGTCATTCTGCCTTGCAAATAAATCAAGTTTTTCTTAAAATGATGTTTCCAGGGAGACCAACGCTGCCAGCACTGGCTGAGGCTGGGCTGGGTCTTGGATGGGGCCGGCGTGCCCAGCGGCCAGCGTGTCATCCGCTGGGTCATGAACCGTGGGTGATGCTCCCAGGGCCCAGCTTCAAGTCCGTGTCCGACTCATGCTAAGCAGAGCCAACCCCAAAGCCTGCCGGGGCAGCCCTTCTCCCACCCCCGGCTCAGGGGTCAGGGGTCAGGGGTCAGGGGCCGAGGGATCCCTAAACTCCACCTGGAGCTAGCGTGCCACAGCCTGGCCACCTCCAGAGGTGAACAGACCCCACCGGACACCACCGGCCAGTGCAGGAAGCTGCTGTTCCCGGGGGAGCCTAGCAGGCCCCGCCCCCGCCATGAGCTCCTCCTCTCCTGCTCTCTGCCGGTGCTGTCTGCAGCCTGGCCCGCCACCAGCCCGAGACAGCAGGAGGGACAGTGACACCTCCACCCCCAGGCCAAAGGAACACACACAAGGCTGCAGGGAAGGGCAGAGCAGCGGCACCCCCGTGGGCAAGCTGCCCAGGCTCTCCGAGCCACAGTGTGTTCATCTATAAAATGGGGATAATACAAGGGCCTGTTTCACAGAGGCATCGCGAGACCTCCACGCATGGGAGTAAAATGTTAGGCTCCGTTCAAACACCCCCATCTCAAGACCACTTAAATGGGCTTGTTGCTGACGGCAGCAGCAGCGCCAATACGCTTGGATCTTGTGCCAGACTCCAGGGGAGTGACCTTCAAAGGAAACCCCGCTCTGCTCCTCAACCCAGCCGCAAGGTGCCTGTTCCCTGTCCTCCGCACACAGCAGCAAACAGGTGTGGTGACAACGCGCCACATGCCCAGGTGGGAGGCACGAGGCCACGCCTCCACCATCAAAGCCTGCCTTGAACCCCATGCGGCACCCTTAGGTCCACGTGCCCCGCCAAGGCAAGAGCAGGTCGCCCCGCCCCCACCCCGTCCCATCAGCAGCCGGGTGGGGTTGGCACTCACCAGCAGCACGTGGACCATGGCATCCGTGGGCTGCGAGATGAAGGCCAGCGACCGGAGCCACGCCTCTGCCTCCTCCGCCTCCACCTCCCCGGCCGCGATGAGCTCCGTCATGAGGTGCACGCAGGGCTCGGTGCCACAGGAGGGCAGGGCGTCCACCAGCGGCTGCCTGAGACCGTCGCAGGTGACCCACGCGCTCTGCGAGCCTGTGGGTCTCCCCTCGCCGCATCTCCCGCCATCCCGGGAGCAAACAAGGCCCAGACAAGAGCGGCAGGGATGTGCCCGCGCTCACACAGCCGAGGGGACCCTCTGGGGCCTCAGATCTCAGCAGCGGGCTGGGGCCGGGGGCGGCGGCAGCCCAGTCCAAACCCAGGCAGCTCAAATCTAACGTGCGAGGTTTCACACCAGCGCCCGGGTCACTGTGAGCCTAAGATTGCCCACTAGCTCCATCCCCGTTCTGCACCCGAGACCAGGGAAGCCCACAGCAAAGACTCGCACTCAGATCTGACACCAGAGCCTGGAGTGCATTTCCCGAGAACCTGGAACCCCATGCACAGCCCGGGGCTCCCGGGGGTCACCCTCAGGCTCTGCCCTCTGGGCTGCAGGGGGTCTCTGCTCTCTAGCTCCGCAGGTCTGGGGGACAGGACCCCATCCCACCCAGCACGCCCCTCCCCAGACTCCCGCGCTCACAGAAGGAGCACCGGGGCGACGGGAATACCAACTCCAGCCGGCGGAGGTGCTCATCCCGGTCAGCGAACAAAGCCTGCCTTCATCCACCCGCCTCCCGCCCCACCCCGGAGCCTGGCCCCGTGGGAACCTCACTTAATCTCCCCGCTTCAGCGCCTTGTTGGCACACAAGCCTCAAGGCCAAGGCCGAGTCACAGGGACAGGGGGAGACAGCGGCATCCACCCCTCGGCGGGGGAACCTGGCGTGGCGCCAAGACCACCCAGACGCTCCCACGCCCCTCCCGCCACGTGGAGAGGGCCCTTACCAGTGGCCTGGACATCTCGAGGATGAGCTGCGCCAGAGATCCACCAGCTCGGGGGCAGCCAGGCCCTGCAGCTCAGACACCAGCGTCAGGAACAGCTCCGAGGCCTGGGATCAGAGAGGGCAGTGTGAGAACCCCCAAGGTCATCCACCTATCCCCAGGCTCCAGGCAACCCAGGGACAAGCGGAAATAATGGATGCCAAGTACACCTGCCCAGCGCTCCCAAAACCCACAGAGAAACAAGAGGCACCATTGAGAGCAGGTGCCCCTCGGGCCTCGGGAGATGCTGGACCGGCCACTGGGCCACCCATCTGCTAGTGTCCCCTTAGCCCAGGGTTCATTGCCACTGCCTCCACCCAAAGCCACAAAAAGAGCACTTGAGATCAAAGCCGAGCCAGCAGCCGCCTCTAGCCGGGGGCCTGTGGGTGTGGCCTGGCAGCCTGGACCCTGGACCTCCTCAGCTGCACCCAGCCTTGACCGAGTGCGCCCCCATGCAGCTCGGTCTCAGGACCCTGTCAGCCAGCACGGCCCATCCACGGGTGTCCCTGCCTCCCGCAGTCCAGGCAACCTTCCAAGGAGTGCCTTCCACGGGCAGGGTCAGCTGTGTCATTTCCAGGACATGTGGCCACCCCCCATGCAGGCTGCAGGCCCCCGTCCCCACTGGCCCTCACCACTCCTGGCATCCAACGCCTGATCACCCCCACCTGGGGCGGCAGCTGTGCAGCCTCAGCTCCAGGCCCGCTGCTCCCTCCCTCCTCTCGGCCTTAGCCAGGGGTCTCAGGGCTCAACGCCGCCAGCCACAACCATACGCCCTCTCTGGGGGGTTTCTAGCCACAAGCGGTAGCCTCAGCAGCAAGCATGGCAGAGGGAACGTAGGCGGCCCCTCCTGGTTTCCCCTCCAGCAAGGAGAGAAGAATCTCAACAAGGGATGAGAGAGGCAGAGCCAGGAGGACTGCTTGGTGGAGGCAACAGGTGCAAGCCTTCTCCCAGACACGTGGGACAGGCACCTGCCACCCCCACCTCCACGAGCAGGGACACAGTGGTCACTGCAAGCCCACGAGCTACTCGGCCGGGAGCTTTGCTGTGCACCGGGCTCCTGACATCACCACAGCATCTCAGCCTCACACGCCCAAGGAGGGACTGCCGTCTTCCTCAATGACATGGAGGGAAAGTGACCTGCAGACCATTTAAGGCAGGGGCCAGGGCCACGCTGAACAGCCCAGGCCAGATCTGAAGTTGGGCTACCCAGCTCCTACATCCACGCTTGTTAAAACTTGTCTTGGCGGGGCTGGTGCTATGGCACAGCGGGTTAAAGCCCCAGCATGCAACACTGGCATCTCATACGGGCGCCAGTTCGAGTCCTGACTGCTCCACTTCCAATCCAGCTCTCTGCTGATGTGCGTGAGAAAGCAGTGGAGGATGGCCCATGTACCTGGGCCCCTGCAGCCCCGTGGGAGACCTGGAAGAAGCTCCTGGCTCAAAGCTCTGGATTGGCTCAGCTCTGGCTGTTCCAGCCACTTGGGGAGTGAACCAGTGGATGGAAGACCTCTCTCTCTATCTCACTCTGTAACTCACTCTTTCGAATAAATAAAATAAATCTATTAAAAAAAACTTGTCTTGCCTTTTTTGTATTTATTTGAAAAGTAGAAAAAGACAGAGCCCATCTGCAGATTCATTCCCCAAGTGCCCGCAACAGCTGAGGTTGGGTCAGGCCAAAGCCAGGAGGTGGGAATGCAACCCAGGTCTCCCATGTGGGTGGGAGGGAACCAAGTGCTCAAGCCACCACGTGCTGTCTCCCAGGGTGCACGCTGGCCGGAAGCCGGAATCAGAATCAGAATCAGAGCCAGCACGCAGGCCCAGGCACAGCGACAGAGGACACAGGTGTCGCAAGTGTATATTAACCACTGCACCAGACGCCTGCCCTAAACCACCAGCTAACCAGTGTCCATCACCCATGGCCAAAAAAAAAAAAAGAAAAGAAAACAAAACAAAACAAAAACGCCCTGGCCAGGGGTGCTTGCCTGTCTCCATGGCAACCACTCCAAGGTCGCCAAGAGGGATCCCTGCAGACTTGGAGAGAAACACGCCTGGTGCCACCTCCACCACACACAGCCAAGAGCACCACCCACCGTAACAAGTAGGCAGGGGCGGTCCTGAGGACCTACTGCCTTTCACTGGAGTGAAACTCACTTGTAACAATGGCCTCGTTAATTAATTAATTAATGACCGGCTTGAAGGATTTCTGGAAATGAAACCATTTCACTACGCATCCATTTCGGCACACCCCCGTCCGTGCTATCCCTAAAACATGTGGCTGTACACAGTCGCAGCTTAGTAAGTGCCTGCCTGTGATTCGGGCTCCCCATTCTGGGAACACTCGGTCACGGTTGTAACCGTACTGCCCCTCCCCCAGACACCCCGGCTGGCAGCCAGGAGGAGCCCAGAGCCAGCTCGCCCTGCGTCTCCCACCCACACTGCCGGACAGACGCCTGCCTCCCCTGCTCTGACTGATGGCCCCGGCCACCCGCCAGGGCCCCCCACACTGTAGCTCTAGGGGTCTCGGCCTGGGATGTGCCCTCCACGGAGCATTCATTCAGCCCTGGTTTTGTTACTGGACTGAAACACAAATTTTGTTTCCTGCCCACAGTCAATGGCAAGAGCAAAGGCATCTCAAGCTCAAGTCCACAAGGCCCGTCCCCCAGGCAACCCCAGAGGAGCTGCTCGATGCCAGGAATCGAAGCCTCAGTAATGCACCTCGCGGCCTGGGACGTCTCCCACCCCCAGCCCACCCCCACCTGGGAATAACTCACTTCCTTTCCAGGGTGGCTGCAAGGTGTGCTCTGGGGCTGCACAGCTGGTCTCCAGGAGGGAGACCCAGGCCCACAGAGCACCTGCCAGGGGAGAAGCAGCAGGGGCCGGCGGGCCCGACGTGTGGCTTCTGTTCATCGAAGAAACTCAGCACAGCCACAGCTAGGGACAGAGCAGGGACTCGGCGGGGACACCCGACTGCCTTGACTGATGCTGGCATCAAGCAGAGGCCAAGGGCGCTGCCACACACCCCGCAACACACCCGACAGCCCCCTGCCCCAACACGCACGCACGCACATGCGCGCACACTCACACAGACAAGACAAAGAGCGATCCGGCCCCAGGCACCACCCACCTACGCCATGAACCCCAGGCTGCCACAGCCCAGCTCCCCCCCTTACCAGAGGCAAGGCTTTCACTGTCTTTCCTAAGCCCTACAGGGATCAGGCAGCAAGAGGAGGGGGTCCCAGGCAGACCCCGCCGAGGCTGGAGAAACCGCTCACCTCGAAGTTCATGGTCTGAGCCAGGCACAGCTTCCTCACCAACTCGGCCACCGAGGCTGCCGTGGCCTGGGCTGGGGTCTCCTCCCACTCATACAGCAGGCTGCGTGGGGTCCCGTGCCCACCGTCTGCGTCATCTGCATCTGGGAGGGGGACAGGGGAGGGGGTGACCGCAGGGGAGAAGGCTTCAGTGACGCAGAAGGCCGCCTGGCTGCACCCAGACCCCACCAACAGCACATCTGAGACAGCAGGAGAGGGGGAGCGGTGCAGGTAGAAAAACATCGACAGCTTCGCAGCTGGCGACAGAAGACGGGAAACAGCCGGAGGACCCATCAGCGGGCACAGTCAGGTCAACGGCGGCCTGCTCGCGCCAGGAGGCCGAGCCTCCAACAGCTCCGGGCCAGCTGGACACGCCCAGCAACAGAAAGACCCCAAGCCTAAAGCAAGCGAGATGCGGACAAGCGTGCAACATAAAAACACATCCGCATCGCAATAAAAAACAGACTGCCTGGGCCAGTGCCGTGGCTCACTAGGCTAACCCTCTGCCTGCGGCGCCGGCACACTGGGTTCTAGTCCCGGTTGCCCCTCTTCCAGGCCAGCTCTCTGCTGTGGCCCGGGAAGGCAGTGGAGGATGGCCCAAGTGCTTGGGCCCTGCACCCCATGGGAGACCAGGAGAAGCACCTGGCTCCTGCCTTCCGATCAGTGCGGTGTGCCGGCCATGGCGGCCATTGGAGGGTGAACCAACGGCAAAAGGAAGACCTTTCTCTCTGTCTCTCTCTCACTGTCCACTCTGCCTGTCAAAAAAAAAAAAAAAAAAAAAAAAAAAAAAAAACCAGACCACCTGAACACACACACACACACACACACACAGCAGCCTCTGCACAGACTCCAAGAAGTGCATGGAAAACGGAATTCAAAGTAAGTTACGGGGCTGGCGTCGTGGCGCGACAGGAAAGCCCACAGCCTGCAACGCGGGCATCCCCTACGGGCACCAGATTGAATCCCCGCTGCTTCGCCTCCGATCCAGCGCCCATCTCAGGGGCAGGGAAAGCAGCGGCAGATGGCTCAAGTCCTTAGGCCCCTGCCACTGCATGGGAGACCCGGATGGAGCTCTGGGATCCTGGCCTCAGCCTGGCCCAGCCCTGGCCATTGCAGCCATTTGGGGAGTGAATCAGCAGATGGAAGATCTGTTTGAATTTCTATGTCACTCCCCCCCCCTTCAAATCAATGAATAATCTTTTTAAAAAAATTTCTGAAAATCAGAGTTACAGAGAAAGAGAGAGAATCTTCCATCCACTGGTTCTCTCCCCCTGATGGCTGCAATGGCCAGGGCTGGGCCAGGCCAAAGCCAAGAGCTTCATCCAGGTCTCCCACATGGGTGACAGGCACCCCAGCACTTGAGCCGTCCTCTGCTGCTTTTCTCAGGCCAGCAGCAGAGAGCTGGATCAGAAGTGGAGCAGCCAGGACTTGATACGGTACCCAGAAGGGATGCCGGCACTGCAGGTGGTGGCTTAACCCTCTACACCACAGCACAGGCCCCAAGAGTAATTCTTAAAACACACACACACACGCAGAGGACTAGTGGTGGCCAGCGCCTGGGGGTGCAGGGAAGGAGTACAGGCCGATGCTAATGGGGACAAGGTTTCTTCTAGGAGCAATGAAAATGTTCTGCAGGTGACCACGTCTGAGTGTTCCAGAAACTACACTGAATCACATAATTTTTAAGAAAGATTTTTTATTTGCTAAGCAGAGTAACAGAGAGAGGAAGAGCCAGAGGGCTCTTCCATCTGCTGGTTCACTTCCCCAATGTCCCCAACAGCCAGGGCTGGGCCAGGCCAAAGCCAGGAGCCCGGAGCTCCACCCAGGTCCCCGACATGAGTGGCAGGCACCCAAGTACTTGAGCCAGGACCTGCTCAGGAGCAATTAGCGGGCAGCGTGACCAGAAGCGGCGGGGTGGGGGGCATTGCTGCACAGTGGGTTGAGCCAACCCCTGCAACTGGCATGCCACGTCGGAGCTGCAGTTCGAGACCTGGCTGCTCCACTTCCCACCCAGCTCCCCGCTAGTGCACCTGGGAAGCAGCAGAGGAGGCACCAAGTGCTTGGACCCCTGTCACCCACGTGGGAGACCTGGATGGAGTTCCAAGGTCTTGGCTTCAATGTGCCCCAGCCCTGGCTGTTGTGGCCATTTGGAGAGAGGACCAGCGAATGGAAGATCTCTCTGTTTATTTGAAAGGCAGAACATCAAACAAAATGAATCTTTCAAAAGAAAACAACTGTCAAACACCCAAGACTGAAACCAGGCACCCTGCTGTGAAACACAGGCATCCGAAGCGGCGGTTTAACCTGCGGGGCCGCGCCACCCACGCCTGCGCCCTATACCGTGCACGGATCAACCACAGGGTGCCCGATTTGGGTCTCAACAATGCAGCTGACAGGAAAATGAAAAGCTCACCCCACCTCCCCCCGGGAAGGCGCAAGGTCCCAACAAGCACGGATGCCTGCCCACAGCCAGGGGAGGGCGGTGAGGGGGCAGGGCCGTGGACCCCGAGGGGATGCTGGGCTCAGCTTCTCCCTTGGGTGGCTCAATCGCTTGGCCCCTGCCACCCTAGCTCCTGGCTTTAGCCTGGCCCAGCCCTGGCTGTTCTAAGCATTTTGGGAGTGAATCAGTAGATGGAAGATTCTGTATGTGTTTGCATGTGTGTGCCTTTCTGTGTTTCTCTGCATTTCAAAATAGCTAATTGGTTTTTTTTTTTTTTTTTGACAGGCAGAGTGGACAGTGATAGAGAGTGAGAGAGTGTGAGAGTGAGAGAGAGAGAGAGAGAGAGAGAGAGAGAGAGAGAAAGAGAGAGAGAAAGGTCTTCCTTTGCCGTTGGTTCACCCTCCAATGGCCACCGCGGCCGGTGCACCGCGCTGATCTGATGGCAGGAGCCAGGTGCTTCTCCTGGTCTCCCATGGGGTGCAGGGCCCAAGCACTTGGGCCATCCTCCACTGCACTCCCTGGCCACAGCAGAAAGCTGGCCAGGAAGAGGGGCAACCGGGACAGAATCCGGCGCCCCGACCAGGACTAGAACCCCGTGTGCCGGCGCCGCAAGGCGGAGGATTAGCCTAGTGAGCCACGGCGCCGGCCGCTGATTGTTTTTTAATTCAAAGGAAAAACCTTTCTTTCTCACAGTCGGGACTCCCTCGCTTCTTTCCATGGAAACCAGGAAGAAAGAGCCAAGTCCCAGGTGCATTAGCAGAAACTTGCCAGAAAACCAAGAGATCTCAGTCTGCTCCCAAAATGGGCAGCCCGAGGGGTCGCGGAAATCCTCCCACCAACGCTGGAAGCCGAGTTCACCCTCACTGAGGGCAGCCCAGGGGGAGGAGACAAGACCAAGCCTCAGCAGCAGACAGGGCCCCGAGAAAGTTCTAGAAGAGGCAGACTCTGGCCCACATTCACAAACAGCGCGAGGGCGTCCAGGCTGGGACCGGGCAGCGACGCCGGGCGGCTGGGAGGCTCCTCTGAGGACCCCACGCCCCTCTCACGCTACAGCCAAGGCAGCAGCCACGGACGGACGAGGTCACAATCACCTGGGGCGGCCGGATCGCGGGGCGCCTGGCTCAGCAGGACCAGTGAGGACAGGGTGCGGGTGTGCACCCCGGCCGCCCTCTCGGAGAGCGGCGCCACGGAGTGCAGCTCCTCGCAGGACGCCTCCTGCAGGACGCCCGCCTGGAAGCTCTGGAGGCAGCTGAGGCTGGAGGCCAGGCCGGGCTGCTGGGGCAAAGCAGAGGGGAGCCTCAGGACAGGGCCCGGCTGGGGTGGGACCCCCCACCCGGGTGGGACCCCCCACCCCCAACCTGCAGCCGCCAGAACCAAGGTGGTGCCTGAGGGCCACAGGACGACTCCCAGACCCCTCCCTCTGATCTCAACAGCAGCCCAGCACAGGGGATGGGAGGCAAGAGGCCAGGAACCCCAGGAGAGTGACAAGCACGGGACACTGGCTGCAGCCGAGCAGGCGCTGGCCTGCCGCCGCCTCCAAGCTGACCCCTGCTGATGGAGTTAGTTACCTTAGTAACGACCGACCGTCTCATCCTTATACTCACTGTACACACATCACTTCCATCTTCAGGGAGTAGGGACCCACGAGGAGGGGAGGGGGGAAGGGAGGGGAGGGGAGGGGAGGGGAGGGGGGCTGGCTCAGCACTCACCCCTCCCGGCACAGCCTGGGAAGCCAGGGAGGCGCGCACCCTGCGCAGGGAACACCGAGCCAGGTCCTTGGTCTTGAGGAGCAGGTGCCCATGGCGCTGGTACGTGGTGGGACACCGGCCCAGGACATCCACCTGGGTGGGCAGGCAGGAGAGGACCCCTCAGCCTCTGCCGCCCAGCCCACCCCCACCTCCCCCCCCCCATGCTCGGCCTCACCTCCTCCAGGGTCTCGGGGCCGTGGGCACCTGGGTGGCTCTGCAGGACACTCAGCAGTGCCCGCTTCACATTCAGTGCCCAGCGTGGCTCGTCTCGATGGGGACACAGGTGGGCCACGCGCCCAGCACGCAGGACAAAGCGCAGCGGGTGGTGGCCCAGGGTAGCACTGCAGGAGGCGGTGGAGGACAGGGGTTGGGTGGGGGCCTCGGCACTCCCGTCCTCCTGCACGTCAGCCCCCAAGGGGAAGCCCCCGGCCCCCTCATGAGGTTGCTCTGGCCGAGCACAGCCTCATCACCAGCAGGGGCGACGGTTCCAAGTATACGAGTCAAGTGCAAGGAACAGCAGGCCAGGCCCCTAGAGGCAGCCCGCCCTGCCTTGCTACTCCCTCACCCCAGACAGGAGCTGAAGGCGCTGGGGTCATGCACCCCATACACGCTGTTTGGGGGTACTGGGTGCTTTGAAACCGTTCTGCTTATTAATATTTCTGAATTTAATAAGCTGTGTGGGCTCTTGCCATGTGTTCTGAGAATTCTGAATACCGGCTCAGATAGACCAGGCAAACGTGCTAAGTTTTAAGGCTTTTATTCAGTGAGGGAGACGCATGGGAGAGTGAAGCCTCCATCCGAGGGAGAAACACAAGTCTAGAAATTAAGCTGGGGTCCGTACCAAGCCGAGAACAGGCCGGGAGCCACGTGCACCAAGTGTTTGGTTATGAGCAGCCGCAAGCGGCTTAGCACAGGACAGACAGAGCACAGAGAGGAGAGAGGGGGTGGCCCAGAGGCCACGCGCCTTGAAGGCACAGGCAGCAAGTGCCTCACAGGACAATAAGGGTGAGGGGGAAAAGGGCAAAAAGGGAAGGATCCACCGTGTTCCAGCCATTTATCCACTTGCTAAGGGGAGTGGCTACATAGCCTGATTGGCAGGTGGGCATACAGGCGGGGCCAGGTAGGGGCAGATCACATGCGCGGTGGAGGGCATGGTCTCCCAGCTCACAGATCTAATCCAATTCATCCACCTGCCTGCCTACATCACCTTGAGCTGAAAACACCAAAAAGCCCACAGCCACAGGGAGGGGGTTCTCCTGACCCCATCACCTGCCCGAGACAGAGTCTAGAAATGGAGCTGGGGGCAGCCAGCCGCCCCCCAGGACCCTGATCACAGACGGGACAGGAGACGTCCTTGTCACACCCTGTCCTCACCACAAACGACAGCTTTGGCTACGAACTATCCCCTCCCCCACCCTTTCCCCAGGCCCATTTGTCTGTTCTAAAAATAGCCTGCCAGTGCTGTGGCACACCAAGTTAATGACCTGGCCTGAAGCACCGGCATCCCATATGGGCGCCAGTTCTAGTCCCGGCTGCTCCACTTCCAATCCAGCTCTCTGCTGTGGCCTGGAGAAGCAGTAGAAGATGGCCCAAGTCCTTGGGCCCTGCACGTGCATGGGAGACTTGGAAGAAGCTCCTGGCTCCTGGCTCCAGCCATTGCGGCCAACTGGGGAACGAACCATTGGATGGAAGACCTCTCCCTACTTCTCCTCTCTTTGTGTAACTTTGACTTTCAAATAAATAAACCTTTAAAAAAAAAAAATAGCCTGCTGGCCCCTGCCTTGCCCACACGGCTCCTTTCCTTCCCTCCTTCCTTCCCTCCTTCCTTCCTTCCTCCCCTCCCTCCCTTCCTCTGTGAAGGGGACACTGCTACGGGGAGCTCACCCCATCTCCGATGTCAGCCCAGGGCAAATGGTGAAGGGAGATCTTCCCTCCCGCCCAGGCCAGCCACGGGACCCAGAGGAGGACACGTGTCAACTCAGGGAAGGTGCTGGCACCAGAACTCGGCCAGTGCCTCCCTGCCGGCCTCACCAGAGGGAAAGCCTGGGTCTCCATCAGCGCAGGATGCAGGGCATGGGAGCTGGGGGAGGGGTAGTCCCCCACCCCCCACGGAGGGAGAAGACAGGTGCTCCCAGCCAGCAGTAAGCCAGGCAGAAGCTCGCCTCCCCGGGGGGTCCCTGTGCCCGCCTCCCCACCCCCCAGCTTCATCTGGGGTCTGGGGGCCTCCAGGATGGCAGCTCCCATCCGGGCAAGAGAAATGCTAATAGTGCCATTCCAGGAATAGCAAATGTCAGTCGGCCTCAAGGGCCTGCCAGCCCCCAGCCCCCAGCCCCCGACTTAGCATTTCTGATGAGGAGCAGGCACAATGGCCCCTTGGAGGGACCCTCCCTGGCCTTTCAGCAGGGAGCCATCTGCCCCTGGACAGCGGCCCCCACCCCAGCACCCCTGCACAAAGCCTGTATTTTTTTTTTCAACAAATGGATTTGCAATAAAAAGGAAGAGGAATCGGAGGTAGGGTTGTCTCCAGGCTGCCCCGGGCTGGGGGCCACCGAGGCACAGACAGGCAGTCCTGGGAAAGGCAGTGCAGAGAGAATTCCAGGCTAGGTCACCAACGGGGGCGGTGGGAGAGGACCGGGGTTCCTCTCTCTGGGAAGAGTGGGGGAGGGGAGGAAGGGACAGGCTTCCGTGGGCTCGACAGCCCCACACCCGCCGTCTTCCCGAGGGTCCTCAAGAATGGTGGCCCCGGTGGCGAGGGCCCCTGCTGCTGCTGGGCGTCACTCAAGGCCCCCGCGCTCTGGCAGCCCCGAGCATCTGGTCTGGGCACTTGGCAAGGCCAAGGCCAAGGCCAGGAGACGAAGCCCCCCCTTTGAGCTTTGGTGCAGGCGGCGTCTGTGTACTGGGAGGGGTCACCGCTGGGTTTTCCCGTCTCACTTGGCATAGCCAGAGCCTGGCAGCCACAGGGAGGGGATGGGGCTCCCGCCCCCACCCAGGGCCAGCGTCTTACCCCAAACTCTGCGAGTCCTGCAGAAGCTGCGCTTCGGACCCCAGGATGGACGTCACCCGGAAGTCCCGGAGCTGAAGCAGAAAGCAGAGTGAGCCAGGGACGGCCCAGCACCCCTCCCCAGCACCCCCACCCACAAGGAGTTCTGGGGAGTGGCCCAGTGTGGGGGACTGAGCAGAGACCCCTTCCCTTGCACAGAAGGTTCTAGTTCCTGGTGGCAGACGCTGAACTTCTCCAGGGGACAAGGACTCAAACAGCCAAGCTCCCATGGTGCCTTGCTGTCGGTCTGCAAAGCTCTCATTCTTCCAACCAAGACCCTGGAAGCCTGCTTCCGGGGTTCCTGGGACTACGCAGTACACACAGAGCACGCCCAAAACCCCATCCAGGTCTCCCACGTGCATGGCAGGGCCCCAAGCCCCGTAGCCATCACCTGCTGCCTTCCAGGACGCACGTTAGCAAGAAGCCCAATCAGAAGCGGAACAGCCAGAACTCAGACCAGGCACTCCTACAGGGGATGCGGGCACCCCAAAATGTGACATAAGCCCTGCACTGAGCGCCCGCCCCACGTTATGTGTATCTCACCACAGCAGGAAAAGAAAATAAGAAGTTCAGCACAAGGGCCAGCGCTGTGGCACAGCAGGTTAAGCCACAGCCTGCAGTGCCGGCCTCCCATATGGGCGCCAGTTTGAGTCCTGGCTGCTCCACCTCTGATCCAGCTCCCTGCTAATGCACGTGGGAAAGCAGAAGATGGCCAAGTATTTGGGGCCCTGCTCCTGTGTGGGAGACCCGGATGGAGCTCCAGGGTCTGCCTTTGACCTGACCCATCCCTGGCTATGGCAGCCACTTGAGGAGTGAACCAGCACACGGGGGACCTCTCTCTATCTCTGTCTCTCTGTGTCTCTGTCTCTAACTTTACCTTTCAAACAAATAAACCTAAAAAAAAAAGTTCAGCATGAAGAACATCTTGGTTAATTCTATTTAAAAGAAAGTCAGGGGCCGGCGCTGTGGCACAGCAGGTTAAAGCCCTGGCCTGAAGCACCAGCATCCCATATGGGCGCCGGTTCTAGTCCTGGCTGCTCCTCTTCCGATCCAGCTCTCTGCTGTGGCCTGGGAAAGCAGAATAAGATGGCCCAAGTCCTTGGGCCCCTGCACTCGAGTGGGAGACCCGGAAGAAGCTCCTGGCTCCTGGCTTCAGAAGGGTGCGGCTCTGGCCGTTGCGGACAACTGGGGAGTGAACCAGCAGATGGAAGACCTCGCTCTCTGTTTCTACCTCTCTAACTCTGTCTTTCAAATAAATAAAATAAAACTTTAAAAAAAAAAAGTCAGGCAAAACTCATCTATGGTGTCAGAGGCAGGCAGTGGTTCCCCCAGGGGAAGGGGTCAGGAGAGATCGGGCTGAGTCATCTCGTTTCTTACTCTGGCAGTAGCCATACAGTGGGTCCAGTTAAAATTCACTGTTCCGAGTCCTTAGGATTTTATTCTTTGCACGTTAAAAATCTGTGATTAGATGACCTCAAGTGGCTGTGAAAACTCCATTTTCACCAAAAATCATTGAAATAAGCTACCACTTGGCATTATCAACTCTTCTTAAATGCTAAAACCAAAGAGAACCAATGAGTTCAACTGTAGCAGTACACAATTTGCTTTGTGAAAACTGGCCCTGCAGGGGGAGAAAACCTGTTAGTGTTTTGATGGATGTGAAAAGATGGCCAAGACTCCAATACAGTGGCAGCTCTGATTGGAGCACAGGAATTTGGGACAGTTTCAGAATTCAGAGGCAGCTCAGTTACCCCGTGAAAGACCCCATCCTGTGGTCTACATGAAAACACAACAAAACAGTTTTGAAAAACTGTTGTCAGGAGGTGCTCCAATCAGTTCAAAAATGCTTCACAAGTATAAGACTAGACCTTGGCGGACACTAACAGGCCATTTGCCAGCAGTGGGAGGGACTGCCCAGGAAACACACGGCAGTCACTGGAAATGGGACAGGAGAATGGGCGGGCATTTCCACGAGCAGGCACGTGGGGAGCTTTGGGAAAACCTTGATGAAAAGAAACCCGTGACCACCAGCTGAATCTAGCTCAAGATTTGCCAGACCAACACCACAGCACCTGAGCGGGCACCTTTAACTGGAGCCTGTGGACCAGGCACTTCCAGTGGCCAGGAGGCCAGGGCAGGCCTGTAGGCCCATCCAGGCCTCGTTCTCCATCCCATGCTTTTCCTTGGCCTGAAGCACGGACTTAGTTTGCCTTTGCACCTGCAGGCTCACCCTCCATCCTCCCCATGACACACCTTGTCCCCACCTTATGTCTCTTCTCACTCTAATGAAACCCCTCTCAGGGCCAGCACTGCGGTGTAGCAGGTAAAGCCACCACCTTCAGTGCCAGCATCCCATATGGTCGCCAGTTTGAGTCCTGGCTGCTCCACTTCCAATCCCACTCTCTGCTATGGCCTGGGAAAGCAACAGAAGATGGCTCAAGTCCTTGGGCACCTGCACCTGCATGGGAGACCTGGAAGAAGTTCCTGGCTCCTGGCTTCAGATCGGTGCAGCTCCGGCCGTTGTGGCCAATTGGGGAGTGAACCAGCAGATGCAGGACTGACTCTCTCTCTCTGTCTCTCCTTCTGTGTAACTCTTTTAAATAAAATCTTAAAAAAAAAAAAAAAAAACTCCCCCACATATTCACACATTCACACACACACACACACACACACACACACAGCTTCCTCAGCCCCAGCCCCACACCACTGGGTCACTGTAGGAGATGGCACCATATTCTACCACCACTGTGACGCCATTTTTCCTATTCCTACCCCTAGCCATCGCTTGTTGAGTATGAGATTCCTCAGAACACCCTGCGTAGCAGACAGATTGGCACCATGGGGACTGTGGCTTCCCTTCGGCCCTCCCCGCAGCCAAGATCAGTGCCAACGTCACCTCCCCATTGCCCGGAGACGCTCACCCGTAGAAGCATCTGGCATGGGCCAAGCACATCAATCTCCGCCAGGCCTTGGAGACCAAGTCCACTGCCCTCCACGGGGGCCCCCTGCAGGCCAGTGCTGGTGTTGGTGGCAAAGCCATAGACGTATCTGGTGCCCACGGGGAGGTGGGGTCCAGCAGACCCTGGAGAGCACACAGAAGCAGCAGCTCACGGTGGCAACCTGGCTCCCTCTGGGACCCCAATCCCACATTGACTTCTGGGTGCCCTTGCGCCCCCTTCCACCTCCCCACCCAGGCCCCTGGGGGAAGGCTGGGCAGTGCACAGCCCGAGGGTGAAGGAGTAAACACACAACAGTAAGTACTCAACATGACCACGCGACGGGCCATCACGGAGCGCTTTGTACTGGCCACACCTTCTCAGCACCACGGACTCCATGGGCTGGCACCCTGCTGTGGGTGTCCACGGTGTGCCATGGAGAGGTTCGGCAGCACCCCTGGCCTCTGCTGTAATGCAGCCCAGTGTGAGCACCAGAGAAGTCTGCCGACAGTGCCAAGTGGGGGGTGGGGCGGGGCAAAATCGCCCCCCAGCAGCCAACCACTGATGTACGTTTACGTTCATTCACTGAATCGCACGACCAGTTCTGAAGCAAGTATCTTTATTTTCTCCATTTTGCCAAAGCAGCAGCTAAGGCTCAGAGAGGGTAGGGGACGTATCTGTGGACACACAGCAGTCTGACTCCTCCCCGAGAGTCGGACAGACATCGGGTGGGGGTGGGGGAGCTGTTACCGCGAACTCTGTAGGAACCACGGCTGTGAATCTGGCTGGGGCAGGCCCGGGGGTGCATGGGGGGGGGGGGGCGGACAGCAGGTGCTCTGGAGAAGAGCTGACCTCAGAGCACAGAGCTCTAACTCTGGAACCTTCTATCCGGGCCACAGGACCAGTGGAGAAGCCTGGGGTCTGGGCTCTCCCCACCGCCCCCTCACACTGTGCTCTTTAGACTGAGTCTATTTTGAGTCCAATTTCCCGAGACACAGCCACACCCCCAGCCCCCAGGGTGCTTCCTTCTCTCCAGAGTCCAGCCCCTCCAGGATCCTTCCTCTGTTCCACCCAAGAGGCCAAGGGCAGCACCTGGCCAGAGCCTGGTAACCGCAGGGGGCCCGCGCCTCGGGGACTGGCATGGCGGGGCTCACTCTCTCTCTTCCTCCCCTCCTGCGCATGGCCCAGGCCCTCAGGGGCCACCCCAATCACCCCTGGCAGTGAGCCCACTCCACCCCAGTGCACCCACCCACCCCCAGCACAGCTGGGTCGTGGAGACTCACCAGCACACCCTGTCATGCAGGAGGCCGCCTGTCCCCGCGACGAATCTTCAGTTTCTGAAATCACAAACCCGATTGAACCAGGGTGACAGGGACAGGCCCACCCTGGGGACCACTAGCCTGCTGGTACAAGAGGACAAGGAAGGGCCCAGGAGACCAGGGGAGAAGAGACAGTGGCAGCTGTCCCAGGGCCGGAACGCATCTCCCTGCCTCTCCCACGTCCACCCTTTGTCCCATCACCACTCCCAAGTCCAGCGCATCAGTGAGATCTGCCAAGACTTCCTTCCCTCCCTCCTCTGAGCCAGGGTGGCCGGGCACCTGCGGCAGTTCCTGTTACCTCATGGCCCTTCTGCTTCTGGAGATACGCAGCGCCCCTGCCTGGACCCAGCTCACGGCACCTGGGGACACGGAGGCTGACCCAGCACCTCCCAGTATTCCTACCTGACACACCTGCCAGTCGCCAAGGCAGGAAACGTGAGAGGGGCGGGGCCAAGGTCCAGGAAAGCTCCACCCACCTCCCAGAAAAGCCCTGAGTACCCCCGCCTTTACTGGAAGGCACCTTTCCTTTCACTGAGCAGCCCGCGAGAGGTCACCCTCAGCTGGGACACGGGGCCGCTCCCCTCCGAGCGTGTGCCTTTGCCATCTCAAAATGCTTGCGCCCACCACTCGCTCTTCTCTGATCCGCCCGAGACCTCTCTAGTGGCAAAGTCAAGAACCCAGTACTGGCCAGCTCCACTGTCTCTGTCTCCATGACAACTGACCGCTCTGGGCAAAGCCACACCCTCTCCTGCCTGAACGTGTCTCTCGGACTCATCTCCCACCCAGCAGCCAGAGCCGTGGTTACACACATCTACGTGGGGGCCGGCGGTAGCTGGTTAAGCCCCCGCCTGGGACAATGGCATCTTACGTAAGGGTCAGCTCGAGTCCCGGCTGCTCTGCTTCCCACCCGGCTCCCCACAATGCACCTGGGGAGTCAACCAGTGGACCGAAGACCTCTCCCTTCCATCTCTCCCTGCCTCTGTGCCTTTCAAGTAAACAAATCTTTATAGCAAACAAACCAAAAACAAAAACAAAAAAAATCCGAGAACTCCAGATGCTGACGACAGGGAAACGCTTAGCGACCCCTACTATAAACCCTGCAGCTCCGCAGCTGAGCCCGTCAGGCTCCCTAACTCCCCCCCAGCCCCGCCCAGCCTTTAAAAACCACACCTGCTAATCAGCAACACAAAGGAAGACACCTGATTCTGCCCCGCCCCACCCCCACTAGCCTCTAGAACCACGTGAGAGGACCCTGCTGTAGGTTGAATTTGGAGTCCTGCCTGTGGTTGCCTTGGATTTCGCAAGCCCGCGGCCGCCTGCGGAGCTGCCGTCCCTCACCCCGGCTTGCAGTGACAACGGGACCCTCGCCCGATTATCCCAAGGCCGACCAGGGTGTTACAGGCACCCTGTACAGTCTAAAGAGGAAAATTGATTATCCAAATCTAAATGTGCTGAGTAGAAAAAATACAAACCGGATTTCACAGAAGGCAGAACTATCTGACATTAATACTTATTGTACTGATTACATTTTCTAATCATTTTTTTTCCACACGGGGTTAAGTAAAACGTGCTGTGGAAATTATTTTCACCTTGAACATTTTTCAGTCCGTCTACCAGGAGCGTGAACCCTGTGGCGTGTTTGTGCTTCACTCGACCCACAGCAAGACCAGGTTCATTTCCAAGTTCCTGTCCCCGTGTGCCCCAGCGTCACAGGCTCTCAGCGTCTTCCCACACCACCTCTGGACCTGGGACACCAGCTAACTCCATGCTCTGGCTCAGCCAGCCCAGAAACCAACTCTCCACCCCCAGAGTCTGAAATCCGGTCTCCACTGTGCCCCTCCGCCGCCCACCCCCAAACCCCACCCTGCCTCAGGTCCCAGGAGACTTGAATAAGACATGAGGGCTCCAGCGAAGAGCCTTTTCCCCCAGGACAAGAAAAACTGAGGATGGCAGGGTTTGGGGACAGCAGGTTTGGGTACCGCCTCCCTCCCTGCTGGAGGGATCTGGGCTTCCCCCGCCCCCCACGCCACACAGAACCAGGACAAAACCCAAGAGACGGCACAGGTTCTACTTACTCCCCGAAGTCCGTCCTGCCATCGTCCCAAGCAGGACCAGAGCCAGAAGCCCCACGGGCGCCGGCATCACCCCGGCCCGGCCGGCCCGAGGCACCCCCGCACCAGCCTCACACCCCAGGGGAGCTCTGTCCAGCCCGGAACGGAGCTCTGAGACCCCACGAGGAGCGCTCAGCCTCCATCCCCTCGCCCAGCCCGGGACGTCGGGAGGGGAGGAGGGGGCTCCAGGCCAAGTCCCAGCCAATCAGAAGCCGCTGTTGAGCTATTAGCGCCCCACCCAGGAGGCAGGGGTGAGGGAGGGGGCGGCTGGCTCACAAGGGGGCAAATCCCTGTTCAGCTTCGGGAAGGGGCGAGACGGCCGGCCTGCCCAGGCCTCAGAAACAGGCCATCTCAGGGCAGAGGACAGCAAGGCTTGGACTCAGAACAAAAACCGGGCCACTCTAGAGGCCGCAAGCGGCTCAGAGGCACGGGGACACTCACGTCCCTGAGCCGCCACCAGCATGCTCTAGGTCTGTGGCTTGACGTTGGCTCTGTGGGTCCCAGTGCTGGGAAGACTGTAGCGGCTTCGGGAAACCACTCAGGTCGGCTGGGTGCCTGGGTTCCAGTCCCAGCTCTGCTTCCCATCCGGCTGGGAGGCAGCAGCTGGTGGCTCACCTACTTGGGTCCCTGTCACCCAGGTGTGAGACGTGGTTTGCGTTCCTGCCTCTTGGCTCTGGCCTGGTGCCTATCTCTCCGCCTACCCTCCCAACCGAACCCCGCCTCGTGTCTCTCCGTCTCTCTCTCCCCCTCTCCCTCTCTCCCTCCCTCCCTCCCAAGCCATAGCAGAGAGCTGGCTCGGCAGTGGAGCAGCCGGGACTCGAACCAGCGCCCATACGGGGTGCCAGCACTGCAAGCGGTGGCTCCACCTGCTATGCCACAGCGCCAGCTCTGTCTCTAACTCTGCCTTTCAAGTTCATTAAAGGCAAAAAACAAAACAAAACAAAACAAAACAAAACAAAAAAACTCTTCAGCTCCCAGCTCCTGGAGGCTAGGAATGCACAGTTACAGCTCTAAGACCAGCCAGGGGGAGCCCAGCTCCCAAGTGGGAGAGGAGACACGGAGACACACACGCACATGAGAAAGGAGAACCAGTGCTGACCAACGAGTGCTCCTTGTCCACCTAGGAGGCAGAGAGACCCTGGGAAAAGAACCCGTCCCAGGCCCTGCTCAAGGCACACCCGTGGATTAACTCATTCAGTCCCACACAGCCCTGCGAGGGGGCAGGCATCAGCCCACCACTCAGAAGACGGAGCAGTCACTCACACAGTCTCATAGCTCGCGAGCATCTCAGCCCAGCCTGCCTCCGGGCCCCTGCTGTCCTCAGCCTGCTCACGGCTGGCACTTCCTTTCCCCACTGTCCCTCAAGGAGGCTCCATCTGCCACAGGCGTGCATTCCCCACCCATGCAGTCAAATTGAGCAAAACCTTACTTTTTAAAAATACTTATTGGAAAAGCAGAGTGGTAGAGAGGGAGAGACAGATCTTCCATCTGCTAGTTCACTCTCCAGACAGCCTCAACAGCCGGGGCTGGGCCAGGCCAAAGCCAGGAGCCAGGAACTCCATCCAGGTCTCCCACATGGGCAGCAGGGGCCCAAGCTCTTGGGTTATCTTCTGCTTCTTCCCAGGGCACATTAGCAGGGAGCTGGATTGGAAGAGGAGGAGCCGGGACTTAAACCAGCACTCATATGGCGGCTTAACTTACCGTGCCACACCTGGCCCTGTGGTTCTAGGGCAATTCTGGAAGCACAGGGAAAAAAAAAATCCCAGGAAGTTGGAGCTCCCCAATACCCCTGCCGCATACACGCACGGCCCCCCACCCAGTGCACCTGTGCTCCCAGTGATGCACCTACGCTGGCATGTAGGTCTACACAAGGCTCGCTCTCGTGGTGGGCCCAGCGTGGAATGACATGGGTCCATCACGACTGAGCCACGTGGAATGACACGGGCTCTGCCGATTCATCCCTGCCCCCGCCCCCGCCCCTGCCGACTGTCCCTCTAGCTTTTTGCCTTCTTCAGAAGGTCATGCCGTCAAAATGATGGTGCCCGGGCCTCTCAGAGTGGAGCCGCTTTCTTCTTCAACGGAAACACGGTATCCCCAGGATGGTCACTTGGCCCCACGATGTCCCACGTATCAGAGGACCTGGGTTCAAGTTCTGGCTCCACTCCCGGTGCCAGCTTCCTGCCAATGCAGACCCTAGAAGGCAGCGGACAGCTCACACATCAGACGCCTGGATTGAGTTCCCGGCTCCTGGTTCTGGTCTTGGTTTAATCCCAGCTGTTGTGAGCACTTGGATAGTGAACCGGCACAGGGAAGTTTCCTGTCTCCCTCTTAAAGTTAAAAAAAAAAAAAAAAAATGGGGCAGGTACTATTTTTGCAGAGCCCTGGAGGATTGAGGGCCACCGCTACTCCATGGTAGAGAAGAGCTGACCAGGAGGGGGCGCCGTGAGCTTTTCCTGCCTGGCTGGAGGCTTCATGGACTGGGGCCTGGTGATGCACTGTTGCGTATTTCATCTTTGAAACACGAATTTAACTTGGAGAACCCTGCTCCCCGTTGCTCATTTCCAAGGTTGGCCAAGGCTGGGGTGGGGGAGGGGGGCGCAAGGATGGTCACTTTGTTGCTGCCTTGTTCAGCTACCTGTGTGACCTTAGGAATGCACCTGACCTCTCTGGACTCTGCCACACATGGACACAATGCAGAGGCCGGCAGTTACTCCCCGGTGTCACAGTCGGCTGGAGCACAGAGAGGCCGGAAGGGAACCAAGCACACACAGGATTGGTCGCACCATAAGAATCCTATCTGCTGGGGGCCGACGCTGTGGTGTAGTAAGCTAGGCTGGGACTCTGCCTGTGGCACCAGCATCCCCTGTGACTGCAAGTTCAAGTCCCGGCTGTGCCTCTTCTGATCCAGCTCCCTGCTGTGGCCTAGGAAAGCTGTAGAAGATGGCCCAAGTCTTTAGGCCCCTGCACCTTGGAGACCCAGATAGAATTCCAGGCTCCTGGCTTGGGCCCGGCCCAGCACCGGCTGTTGGGGACATTTGGGGAGTGAACCAGCAGATGAAGACTGATGTCTCTTTGCCTTTCATCACATCAATCTTTTAAAGAGTGGGGGCCAGAGTCTGGGGGGCGGGGCCGTGGTCGCATTCTAGCCAGGGAGCCCCAGGAAGGACCTGGAAGTGGAACCCCAGCGGAGCCTCTCAGAACGCCAGGACCCTTTCCCGACAGCCTCCTTGTGAATCAGAGACAGACGCATCCTGCCCGCCTCCCACTCAGCGAGGCCCGGCTGCTGCCCTGGCACGGGGCGTGGGCACCCCGGAACGCCTGACGTTGCCCTCCCGGCCCACAGACTCACTCATTCCCTGTGGCTGCTGCCTGCCCGGCCTCACTCCGCCATCAGAGCAGCTCCTGCACCCGCTGTGGTCAGGAACAGCCGAGCGGGGCCAGGGCCAGCTGAGTGGCAGGTGTCAGCGTGGGCCCAAAGCAAGGCTCCAGCCTGTGACCCCCCCCACCACTGCCCCTGGTCAGCAGTAAGGGGTTCTCCCTCTCCCCTCACCCCCAACCTAAGGAGGGCTTCCTGGGAGGCATTAAATAAGAACCCTGCCCCAGCCTCAGTAGACAGGAGGCACCGGGCTAGGGACGCAGGTGGGAAGAGAGCAAGCAGAGCCCCCACCGCCCCCAGGGAGCACCCAGTTCCTGGCAGGACGCAGCTCACCCGAAGACCGGCCCTGCCAAAGCTTCGCAATCCCCCAAGGTCAGCGTGAACTCGCGTGGGCGTTTAAGCAGCTGTGTGCCTGATCCCGGGCCTGAAGGCAGGAGCCGGTCCACTTCGCTTACCTGGCGCGCGAGCGCCCTGCGTTCTGCTGTCTGACAAATTCAGTAAGGGCAGCTTCCCAGCTTCCACAGTTCCTAGTGGATCTGCCAGGGAACTAATTGTAGAGAAAAGCAGCTGTCAAATCTTTGCCTGGCAAAGGGGACATAGCTGTGCTGTTTTCTGGAACGGCCAATCACAGAATCAGGAACTTTTCCAGAGAAACAAAGAAGAAGGGCAGGTGTGGGCCTGAGGCCCCCATCAGAGCATCTGGGCTCCGTACACGCCTGGGGCTCCAGCTTCCTGCTAAGGTGCACCCTGGGAGGCGCGGCGGGGTCCCTGCCGCCCTACTGGGAGACCCGAATTGAGTTCCTGGCTCCGGGTCAACCAGCAGATGGGAACTGTCTCCCAAATAAATTTAAAACAACAACAACAACAACAAATAACCAAACAGGAGACTATCAACAGATGAGTGAGCAAACACAAGGAATAACTAAGATACGCTTTCCAAAATTTTTTTCTGCACCAGGAAATTTTTTCTTGCCCTAAAAAGGAACAAAGCATCTGCCACAACACAGACTAAACTTGGGGACAGCAGGCTGAGCGGGGGAAGCCAGGCACGAGAGCTGGGTGACTCTTGACACAAAACGTCCGGAATGGGCGAGTCCACGGGGACAGGGAGTAGGTGCGGGGCCATGGGGAATGGGCAGGGGGCGGGGAGGAGCGGACACGCAGATCCAACGGAAAGCGGTGTCTGGGAGGTGATGGAAATGAAAGGCACGCTTTAGTCAGGTGAATTGCAAGGTGTGTGAATTCCGTCTCCATAAAGTTATTACCCAAACCGCGGCAAAGTCCTCACCATAAATCCTCTGGCGGCGTCTGTGGACAGGAAGCCTCGGAGATGGGGGGCGGAGGGCGTCGCCTGTGCTTGGTGCCTGGGAGCCCAGTACAGCTGCCGCCTCCCTCCCTGGGCCTCTGCTGCCAGCCCCCACCTCCTCCGGAACACCCGTCCCGTATCCATACCCCAAGGTCATACAGGACCCCCTGTGAGGGCTGAAGACCCTCCCAAGCATTCATTCAGGACCCAGGAGGGGCCGTGTGGTCCCAAGTCAGTGGACACAAGACGGTGATGGTGGCCTTCTCGGCTCAGGCCGGGAGGGAGGCAGCCCCATGGCCCACTGGGGAAAGGAATGGGGTGGGAGCTTTCAACCTACCTGCAGAGGCGGCCACAGGCATCACCCTCACCCCGAGCCAGGTGTGCTAATGGGGACACCCACACGTGGCAGCCGGCGGTGGGAAGGGGACCTGGGTGGCTGGTTCTTGCAAAACTGAGCCTCACCTGCTCATCTGGTTCTGGTCCTGTCAGAGCTGAAAACTCCCTGGCCCTAAGTGACACCTGTCAGCGCTGAATATTCCCGGTCCTAGGTGACCCTGCCCATAGATGCCAAACATGTGTCTAAGGGGTTTCATTTACACCTGAGATGGCCCCTGACAAGCTGAGCCAGGCCCTGCCATGTTCCAGCATGTTCTAGCACCTTCTGGAATGTTCCAGCATGTTCTATGGTCTCTCTTTGGACTTGTCTCTTTTCCAATCCAAATGTTGAGCTGGAGGACTCAGCCTGCCTCTCTCGGCACAGCAGAGGAGCCCAGCCTGGGAGGTGGCTGACTCACCCCCACCAGGGGACAGGCGAGAGTGACTCAGTTCCTGTTCCTTTCCAGCATCAACACCGTGTACCCCTCACGGACTTCACCCTGAAGTAGACAGGCTAAAACAGATTAGCTTTGTGAGCTGGAAGACCACGCCTTCGCCACGCCCCTGTGTGACCTCACGCCTTACCTGATCCCTTCGCCATGCCCCTGTGTGACCTCATGCCCCTACCTGGCCACACCTGAGTGCCCACCAGCCAATCAGGTTAATTAACCACTCCCCTTTGGAAGTGGGTTAAAAGTCTGGGGCACGGTGTCTCTCCCGCTTATTTTCCCTGGCTTCTTGCCAGGAGGGGGCTTGTGGGCCCTCCACGTGCTGGTTTCTGGTGCTCAGTGTGACCCAGATTAACCCCTCTCTCTCTTAGATAAAGCTCTCACTCTCCTATGCATCTTTCTCACTAAATAAAAGCCTAAAATGTACCACGCTGCCTCGTTTATGCCGGTATTTAGAATTCTTCTAAATATGAGGCAAGAACCCTCACGGGCTTATTAATATTGGGGATTTATTAATAAGCATATGGTGATATCGTATGGCACCCCAAATTTCAAGAACATATGTGGTACCCCAGGTGGGACCTCTGGGGAACTCTAAGGGGCCACATTTTCGTATATATTTTAGGGAGTCATTTCCGGTATCAACCCCAGCCTCGTGCTCACTCCAAAGACAGGGACCCTGAAGTCTTGCTCTCTGATTCTACCCTTTGCTTTTAGATCAGTACTTAAACCTCGGTTGTAGTCGTATTACCCCTGCCAAATGCTTACTACCTCATTCAAACATCCATGCTGATCTATACCGCATTGCTGCGCATCCATTTCATTTTGCTGATGGTGTACATGATACAAGCTCGAATTTTTTTCCTGCAGTGAAATTCACATCACAAAATTAAACAATCTACTTTTCAAGATGATTTATTTATTTGAAAGGCAGAGAACAGATAGAGAGGAAGAGAGCGAGCGAGATCTCCCATCCACTGGTTCACTCCCCCAAATGCCTGCTTCATCAGGACCATTTCCCAACATTCAGAATGTTCCTGGGCCCCCTCCCAGGCCTCCTGCATGCCAACCTGCAGGCGAGGGGCCTGGGAATCTGGACGCAAAGGCGCCTGGGTGAGTCTTCCCCCTGCAATCCCCGCTCCGCGACGTCCCTCCTCCAGGCTTTCCCTTGTGTCTGGAAGAGTTCCTGCCAGGCAGGACGGGCGGAGACCGCATTCCGGGAAGCCGGCGGTGCGCAAGATCGCCTGATCATTGCACGTGCATTAGCGCCTACTGAATGCAGAGTGTGCCGCAGCTTCTCTCCCATCAGCAACAGAGCGGCCAGCAACCTGGGGCCGCAAGGGCAGGTCTTGGCTGCCTTAGCGCCTCCAGAAAGATACATTTTAAGGGGATCTGAGAACAGTGCTGGCATAAAGAGGATAACCCAGGCTAGATGCATTGTTGCTAGATTCCGCTCTTTCCCACTTCATTTACAAAACAGTGCAAGTAAAGCACTTCCGAGGGCCCCTGGAGGGGCTGGGAGCTCAGGCCGTGGGAGCTGTGCCCGGGGGATGCTGGCTGCACGCCTGGGGCTCCGGAGAGACTCAGCCCCTTGGGCTGGGCGTGGCCTGAGCCAGGAGGCTTTTACGTGCTCCCAAAGGGGGCTCCACCATGCGGAGAGCCCAAGGACCACCCCGGCCCCATCGGAGGACTGGAGAAGTCTCTGACTGCAGTACCTGCCTGACTCACAAGGCCAGTGCCACACGTGGTCTGTGTGTGCTGTAGTCCAGGGACAGAAAGGATCCATCCATAGCCCCTGACATCATCGGGTGACTCATTTATTTTCCCATGAGGCGGGGTTGGCCTTCAAGTCCAAGGAAGCCGCCAGGAGAGTGCAGCTTAAGCCAGCTCTGTCGTCTCCTTCTCCCTAGCAGCCCCAGCACACACACACTCAGCCTCACACACAAACTCCGACGCTCTCACACTCACACACATACTCTCATACCTGCGGGACAGCCAGGGAGACTCCCAGAGCCCCGGGCACACCCACACCCCATGGACACCCAGACTCCCAACATCCACAGACACACAGGTGACCCGCGCCCCTGACTCCCAGCGAGCAGGCAGGCTGCATGGAAGACAAGACATCCAGCGAAACCAGAGCCGGCCAGCCTGCACCCACACCTCCACAGACGGGCTCGGGGTGCAGAGCCCACAGTGAGCTCCATGGTGCAGATCAGACATCGGCCGCCTGCAGGGAACAGAAGGCCTGCCAGGCTCTGGTCCACCGTGGGAGGGGCTCAAGTTCACGGGCAAGTGCAGAACCCGCCAGCCTGCCCACTAGTAGGGGGTTGAGTGTTTTCCTTTCCTGCCACTTTAAGACGCAAATATGAGATGCAAACGACAGCTCGGAATCCACTCCTTAGCCTCTGCATTCTCACCGCAGCCCGCAGCCCGCAGCCCTCTTCCCAGAGCAAAGCAGCAGACAGGGTCCTGGGGCCCCAAGAGATCGCTGGATGCCCCTACAGGGCTGGCAAAGCAGAGGCCACACAGGGAGGCAGGGGTCCTCCCACCCCCGGGGGAGCTGTGAGCCCGCAGGTCAATGGCGGGCAGCTGTGGACTTCCCAGGGGCCGTCACTCTTCAGTGGCTCCACCCAGGAGAAACAAAAGGGCAGCTGTGCCGCCTAGCTGGGGGTCACTGCCCAGCTCTGCTTCCTGCCAGTGCAGACCCTGGTGCCTCAAAGGGTCCCCACCCACGTGGGAGATCCTAGCTCCTGGCTCCACCTCCAACCAGGGGCCATGGGGGCACCTGCGGAGTGAACCAGCAGGTAGGAGCTTCTGTCTCTCAAATCAAGGGAGAGAAAAAAGGCTCAATGACATGACACAGAACAGCAACAAGCATTGTGGCACAGCCCCTCTCGGAGGGTCCCCGCCCCCCCGCAGGCCCAGAAACATCGGATGGTGCTGGGATCAGCCCCCTCCCCCGCAGGCCCACGGCTCCAGGTCCGGCTCCAGGTCCGGCTCCATCGCCGACGGGCTGCTTAGGAGCAGGCAAAGTCCTCTGGGCCAGGGTGTTTGCCATCAGGAAGCCCTCGCGGGAGGGTCCCCAAGAGCCTTCTCCTAGGCACACAGGCAAGGGACCGGAGAGCGGAGGGCCGCCCGCTGCAGGAGACATCAACGGGAGCCTCATTCGGTCAGCCTCAAGGCAGAGACAACCCAGGAGGAGGGGGTGAAGAGCTGCGGTCTGTGCACACGGTGGAGTATTAGTCAGCCCAGAAAAAGGAACAGCACCAGCACCCACCGCGGTGCTGAGTGACGCAGACCAAAGATCACGCGTTGCAGGACCCCAGGCCTGAGAAATGCCCGGTGCGGGCGAACGCAGAGGCGGAGGGAACAGCGCTGCCCGCCCAGGAGCCTGGGGTTTTATTTTGGGGCTGAGGACGAGGTGCTGGAATCAGAAGCGATGGGCACATAACACTGTGAATGTCTAAAACCCAGGGGATTTGACGCTGTCAAGTTGGTGAATTTCAGATTAGAAAAGGAGAGGAGGAGGGGGAGGGAGGCAGGGAGGGGGGAGAAAGGCCGGGGTGGTGCTGAGCCGCCTACTGCCCCCGCCCCGTACGCCTCACACAGCACCAATCAACGACAGCACAGAATCCACACTGACCAGAGGCTACCTTGCTTTCTTTAAAAAGATTTATTTAGTTTGAAAGGCACAATGAGAGAGGAGAGAGAGAGAGAGAGAGAGAGAAATCTTCCAGCCCACTCCTGGGGTCACTCCCCAAGTGGCTACAAAGGCCTGGGCTGGGCCAGGCTGGAGTCAGGAGCCTGGAGCTCCATCCGGGTCTCCCGCGTGGGTGTAGGGCCCAGGCACGTGGGCCACCCTCTGCCGTGTCCTCAGGCGCGTTAGCAGGGAGCCGGGTGGGAAATGGAGCTGGTGCCTCAGCCGACGGTGTCACCCACTGTGCCACACGGCCGCGCCCAGTGGCTCGTGCAGGGAACTCACGTTGCTCCGGGACCCTCCCCCTTGCACACACCATCGTGTAACCGACAGCTCCACCACCTGTGCCCACCCAGGACCCCCGGAGTTTTACAGGTGGTAAGCACAGACTTGACCCCAGGCAGCGTGCAGGCCACAGACCGGGGACTCCAACGAGGGAGCAAGTAAGAGACCCCCAGGTGAAGACTGCGCCCCCGACTGGGTCCACGCGGGTTCCTCCGCACGGTACCCGATGCACCGCTGTGGGGTGGGGGCAGCAGCTTCCCAGGGAGGCAGGCGGGAAGCAGCAGTTGGACAGGAAGGCCGGCGGCACACATGGCAGCCACGCCTGCCTGTGATCTGCACTGTCTTCTTATGAGACCCAGATCCTCGTTTCTTGAAAATTTACAGGCTAGAAAACAAACAAAACACCTCTACCACTCCTTGTCTGCTTTGGACGGTTCCAGCTGAATCCGCCTCCAGCTGGCTCCCGGGCTCCAGGTAGACACCACAGTCCTCAAGCCAGGAGATCACTTCCTGAAGGGCCCACAATGCGCATCGGCCTCCAGGCTCCCTCCTAACCACAGCCCACAGGCAGGGCAGGATGTCACCAAACAGGGCGGGGGCCCAGGCGGACGTCCATCAACAGGATACAACGGGAGGTGCCTGAAATGTCCCAAGGAGAAACGGAATTCAAGGTAGGTTTATTCTGGTGCGGAAAGAAATGGAAATCCGTGCACAGTTTTTTCACAACGCGAGGCTCCCAAGAACTCTGTGAAGACCCCGTGCGTAGGATGCACGGCCACTTCCGGTTTGAAACTTGAAAATCCTTCCCGGCGGCCACAGCAGGTTGGGATAAAGCCTTTCCATTCGCTGAATGCGATCCAGTGTCTGCAACAAACTCACTCCAGTCCCCAGCGAACAGCGGCGGCGGAACAGAAGAGACTTTATATAATGGACAGGAAAACGTGCACCAGCCCGTCCATCCTGTGACCGATGACACGGACGCGTCGGGAAGACCACGCGACACGGACGCGTTCACCCTGTAGACTGCACGTGCGACTCAGTAACCACAGCTGGGGATCACTCGGGCACGAAGCGAGCAGCGGCGACCCTGGGAGCCACACCAAGGCGAGGCGAGGCGCCAGCGACAGTCAGGTAGGCAGGGGAGAGGGTGGCGGCAACGGATTCCTGGCCTGGGACAAGGCCCTCTCCCCACCAGCATCCGGATCAATTAACAAAGCACGTTTTGTTCCCAGGGAATGCAGGCGGGGCTCTCTCCTGCGCATTTGATTAAAACTTGAGAGCCAACTTGAGAGCCGTGGCTCTGAGGCCGCCTGGGGTTGGGCTCCACCTCGCCAGCGAGCACTCCACTCTCATCTTGGCGTCGCAGGACCCGCCCCACGGCGGACACGCCCCTCGGCGGGCCAGGGGGGCTTTATCATGATGATCTCCTACCCTAACCCAGCGAACAGAGGGTCTTCATAGCCGTGGCTGGCCACGCCGTCGGAATGGATAAACAGAGAACCCAACGCTTTATTTGTTAAAAGCAGGTAACACCGAAGTGAAGTACTGCGTGGTATCTGTAGTTCGCTGCAAAAATAATTACTGGCACTTTTCAAAACATCAAACTTTTCAAAGCGTAAACTGGGTCAAGGGTTACCACGATCGTTTTCAACCAATACACAGATTTCTGCTCAAGGTCAGGCCTATTATTTCCATGAGTTCCTGTGCTCATTCAGTATTACAGTGGGGGTCTCCGGAAAGGCACGCCTGGGGTGGGTTCCGAGGCTCACCACCAACTGTCTGAGGGGGTTCCGGCTCAGCCTCGCGGCACCCAGACAAGCGACGGGCTCCCTCGCCTCTCCACCCATGACCCGCGCTCCCCCCAAGTGAAGGCAGCAGGTGAAATCTCTCCAGCTGTTACGTTAAAAAAAAAAAAAAAAAAAAGAGTGCGCATGGGCAAACGAAACGCACCATTCATCGAAGGAAAAGAGACTGCAGCTATGAGGACCCGCCTACTTGGCAGCAAGGGGGGGTTGGGCGGGGTGTGGGGGAGGGGGCGACCGCCCCTCCTTGCACTTCGGAAAAGGACAAGGAAATTAAAGTGAGTTTTTGTGCTAATGAAGTCTGCAGTTACAGAACCTGAGAGCCGAGCCCCCAGCACGTCTATAAGGCAAGATCTTTGTCGTGGGGTGGGGGTGCATGGGAGGCACAAAGGCTGGTTCAGTGAGTTCAGGACAGAACAGTCTCAAAAAATAAGGCAACCTGTGGCTTCTCTGCTTGAGACCACCCCCCAGAAGGGCCCCCCAAGGCAGGAAGAGGCGGCGGCCAGAAGACACAGTCACAGGGGAAGCCGGTGTCTCTGCAGGTCCCGTGCGCGACTCCAAGCAGCAATTTCTGGGAGTTGGAGGTGTGTGACTTTTGCGATATTTCCCCCCCACCCCAAAAAGCAGACACGCAGGTGGCCCCCCCGGCGGGGGGGGGGGACAGACCACCAGAGGAGCGCCTGTGCTGGGGCGGGTTGGGCGAGTCGGGCCTGGGGGCAGCCACGGGGGGCGGAGTCCTACAAGCGCTTGTAGGTGCCCAGCAGTGCCTTGCAGTTGGGGCAGTAGTGGTCCACGTCCTGCAGGGCATCCACGCAGAAGGGGATGAAGCAGCAGCCCGCGATGCACCTGGGGGACAGAAACAGCCCTGGGGAGCACTCGCTCGCTGCGGGGGGCCAGGTGGTGCCGTGTGCCCCCGTGGGCCACGCTTTCCCAAAGGGTGCTTGCCAGGCAGGTTCCCTGCACCCAGCGAAGGGTGTGTGCGTAAGGAGAGGGCGGCCCAGGGCGCAGAGGGCAGGAGCGGGCCTGGAGCCTCCAGAGCGGGGAGGGCCAGGATGGGTCTTGCCCCAGTGGGGGTGCGACCCGGCTCGCCCCTCCAGTCCGCACCTGTGGCGCAGGAGTGAGAAGACACCCTCATGTGGTCTGCGGTCATTTGCTACAGCAGCTGGAGTAGGTGAAGGCGCCCCCTGCACACTGTCTCAGGTTCACATTCAGGTCTGGGTCACTGGGTGACAAACTGCGGCTGCTGAATTTTTTTTAAAGATTTATGTGGCGTTGTGGCGAAGCGGGTAAAGCCAACGCCTGCAAGGCTGGCATCCCATGTGGACGCTGGTTCGAGTCCCGGCTGCTCCATTTCTGATCCTGCTCCCTGCTAATGCACTTGGGAAAGCAGCAGAAGATGGCCCAAGTGTTGGGCTCCTGCCACCTACGTGGGAGACAGAAGTGCCGCTCCTGGCTCCTGGCTCTGGCCTGGCCCAGCCCTGGCTGTTGCGGCCATAAGGGGAGTGAGCCAGCAGATGGAAGATTTCTCTCTCCCCATCTCTCTGTAACTCTGCCTTTCAAATAAATAAAGAGAAAAAAAAAATGTTTCTCCTCTAAGGAATAAGGAAGGTACACCTTTACCTGCTTGGGAGTTAAAATGGAAAAAAAAAAAAAATCCAATTGCACTTCCGCAAATCTCTCTCCCAGAAAGGGAACTGTTATCTCTTTAAATCTAACGCAGCCCGCAGACATTTCTATGTAATCTTTCTGCAGGGCAAGGCAACGGGAGAGATGCCCGAGGCCCCAGAGGCAGGAGACCACCATGAAGTATCCCAATGTGCGGAGCCTGGGCGGCAGGCAAGCACTCTGACGGAGGTCACGAAATTCTAGAAGGAAAAGTCCCCCGGGGTAGGAGCCTGCACAGCCACAGGCAGGGAGGTGCCACTTCCAGACACTCCTACGCCCACCCGCCCGGGAGCTGGGGCTGTCAGCCAGGGACACAGGGAGGGGCACACACCCCCCTGCCCACCCCGTGAGGCACCCGCAGCGGCACGCCCAGAGCTCAGGGCCAGGACACTCACCCCAGCAGGCACAGGCTCCCGCATGAGAGCCAGGTGAGCGCCCCGGCGTTGTAGGACAGCTGCGTCACGATCATCTTATTGCAGGATGGACAGCACATCTGCACCGGGCGGTCGAAAAAGGAGACGGGCTGCTGCACGTACACGGTCTGCACGGCGACTGCGGGGGTGGGGGGAGACGGTGGCCAGAGCGGTCAGGGAGGGGCAGGGAGGGCCGAGCGCTCAAGTCCACGGTCACGTGGATTCCCGGCTCTGCCCCCAGAATCAAACCTCCTTTTTAATGAAAAATGTTCTTAATTGGGGCCCAGCGGGCTAAGTCACCAGCTGTGACGCTGGCGTCCCACGTGGGCGCTCCACTTCCCGTCAGCTCCCTGCTAATGCGCCTGGGGAAGCATCGGAGGACGTGGGAGACCCGGATGGAATCCCAGGCTCCTGGCTTTGGCCTGGCCCAGCTCCAGCGGTTGTGGCCATTTGGGGAGTGAACCCGGGAATGGAAGACCTCCCTTTCTCTGTAACTCCGCCTTTCAAATAAATGAAATAAAAGTTAAGAAGAAAGACCCGCCCTGCCGACGAGCAGCACTGCCGTGTGGATCATGCATGTCTCCCAGTTCAAGGCCGAGTTCCCCACTGATCACGTGACCGAAAGACCGAAGCTACCCGCTCACCCCCTCCACCTCAAACGGTCAAAGAAACACCAACTGCTCATTTTCGTTTTTTAATTTTTTGACAGGCAGAGTGGACAGTGAGAGAGAGAGACAGAGAGAAAGGTCTTCCTTTGCTGTTGGTTCACCCTCCAATGGCCGCTGCGGCCGGCGCACCGCGCTGATCCGATGGCAGGAGCCAGGTGCTTCTCCTGGTCTTCCATGGGGTGCAGGGCCCAAGCACTTGGGCCATCCTCCACTGCACTCCCTGGCCACAGCAGAGAGCTGGCCTGGAAGAGGGGCAACCGGGACAGAATCCGGCGCCCCGACCGGGACTAGAACCCGGTGTGCCGGCGCCGCAAGGCGGAGGATGAGCCTAGTGAGCTACGGCTGCGGCGCCGGCCTTAATGGCTCATTTTCATCAGTGAGCACTCTCCTCACCCGTAACTGCATGTCCTTTTTTTAAAGAACTTAATTTATCACTTCCCTATTTTCATTGTATTTGAAAGGCAGAGTGGGGGGAGATCTTCCATTTGCTGGTTCAGTCCCCAGATACAAGCTGGGCCAAATGAAACCAAGAGCCTGGAACTCAGCCGGGCCTCCCACGTGGGAGGCAGGGACTCAGCTACTTCAGCTACCACCTGCTGCCTCCCAGCGGGCGCCTGAGCAGGAAGCCGCATCAGAGGTGGAGGAGCCAGGACTCGAACCCAGGCGCTCCGAGGTCGGAGGCTGGTGTCCCCGGTGGCACCTTAACCACTGATCCAGTCCCTGTTTGGTTGTGTCATCTTCACAGCCGACACAGGTACAGGAGGGAGGGAGCAGCCAGGCGCGGGAGGCTGTGTGACCCCAGGCCGGTCTGGTGGGCTCTGGTGGGCTCTCCCTCTGACATTTCCTCCCGAGCTGCAGGGACCAGGAAGAGGTGGGGCAGGGGCAGGGGCAGGGGGCGGCCTGCACTGAGGCTCCGCCCCCCAGCTCCACTTCACACTCTCGGCTGAGCCTCCATAGCAGCGTCTGGGGGTGTGGGGGAGACCCCAGCCTCCCCAGTGTGGGACCTGAGCCCCTGCACGCAGCCTGGGCGCCTGGTGCAGCCGTGAAGACGCCGCCTGGGGCACCTGCATCCCAGATGGGGCAGCTTCACAATCCCGGCTCCCTGCTCAAGTGCACCCTGGGAGGCAGCAGGTGAGGGAGGGCTCAAGGAGTCTCCCCGCCACGCACGTGGGAGACCCAGACTTCCCAGCTGCTGTGGGCACTGCAGAGGGAACCAGCAGATGCAAGGCTCTGTCTCTGCACTTTCAGAGCAGGCACCAGATACCCGTATGTGACATTTCAGGGCAAGGCGGTCAAGGCTGGCAGGCTCACACACAGCAGGGTCGCTCGGGTCACCCTCCTGATCCCACAGCCGGCGTGCAGGGCTGTGGAGCAGGAAGGGGGATGGGTGGGGGGAGCGGACGTACTTGCATTGGCGTTGGGGACGGGCACCGGCTGGGTGTAGTACGTAGGGGGGTTCATGCCCTTCCCATCCGGGCCTGTCATGAGCCCCGTGGCGGGCCCCGGCACGGGCGCGGGGGGCGTGGGGTAGTAACTGTTGACGGCCACCGTCTCTTCATAGGAGGGCGGTGCGGTGGGCGCCGGCGAAGGCCCCACAGCTCCCTGGTAAGGTCCTGGAACCGACATTCTGCCTAAAACAGAAACAGAAGACACCGGGTAAGAAATGCAGCCGATCTCACCTTCGATCGTCCCCAGCAGTCTCCCACGTGCACACGCGGCAGGAAAACACGAGGAAGCCACGCGGGTCTGGAGAGGAAGGCACCGCCCTCCGAGGCCCAAGAACCTCCGGCTTCCCGAGGGAAGTCCTAAAGGCAGAGGAAAAAGGGACGATGCCCGGAAGTCCCCAGAGCCCAGGACACCTCGTGAGGACACGGGGTGGGGACACACAGGGACACACGGGAGCACACAGGGGCAGTCACAGTCCTCCTCTTTGCATCTCGAGCCACGAACCACAGCCGGCACGACACACACCTTCTAGCACCAGCGGTTTTTTTTTTTTTAACCACTGTCATTTTTGCTAATCATTTTAGGTGTCACAAAAGACAAAAGCAATCAAACACCCCCTTCCTGTACAAAGCATCACCAATAGAGCCCTGAGCAAAAGGAGTCAGACGGGAAAGCACGCACGGACGATGCCGGCTTCGAGTGCGGCCGCCCGACCTGCTATGCCACACCGCCGGCCTTATTAATTTTTTTTTTTTTTTTTTTTTTTTTTTTGACAGGCAGAGTGGATAGTGAGAGAGAGAGACAGAGAGAAAGGTCTTCCTTTGCCGTTGGTTCACCCTCCAGTGGCCGCCGCGGCCGGCGCGCTGCGGCCGGCGCACCGCGCTGATCCGATGGCAGGAGCCAGGAGCCAGGTGCTTTTCCTGGTCTCCCATGGGGTGCAGGGCCCAAGCACCTGGGCCATCCTCCACTGCACTCCCTGGCCACAGCAGAGAGCTGGCCTGGAAGAGGGGCAACCGGGACAGAATCCGGCGCCCCGACCGGGACTAGAACCCGGTGTGCCGGCGCCGCTAGGCGGAGGATTAGCCTAGTGAGCCGCGGCGCCGGCCAATTTTTTTTTTTTTTGCACCAAACTAAACTTCTTTAATGTACTGAGAGGCAAACCAGGCAGAGAGCACACATCTGCTGGTTCACTCCACAAGTGCCTGCAACTCAGGAACTCAGCCACTATGTCACCCCCTGCTGCTTCCTGGGGCAGGAACCCGGGCACACTGAGACGGACGCGGGCCTCCAAGGGGGGCATCTTATCCGCTACCCCAAACACCGGCCCTTAAGCCTAGCTTTTAATTGGATTCTCCATGAACTTTCTGAAGTACCCATTGCAAGGTGTCTGGCACGTAACAAATCTTCCCAGGCAGACGAATCAATTAATTCACAAGCTTTTATTGGGGTTCCGCTCCTGGGTATTTGTTGAAATCCCGACAAATTCTACTCCTGGAGCCACCGATGAGACAACTTTTCCCTTACATACTAATCTCCCTCACCCAAAAAACCCTACACCAGTGCTTCAATCTAACCTCGTCATCATCTTCAACTCCACTCTCTGTAACTGTCCTCCCAGAGGTCTCCGTGGTGCCCCAAAACCACTCTCTCCCGATACCGGTGCTGCAAAACGCCCGTGCTAAAAGGGACATTATCCTTCCCTTTCTAGCGGCCCTCGGTGTTCTAACGGGAGCGGGGACAGGAGTAGCCAGGCTGGCGTATGGTACTACCCAGATACAGCAACTGGCCAACACCTTGGATATGGAGCTACAAAATGTTGCAGCCTCCGTTATAAAACTGCGAGACCGGATTGACTCCCGGGCTGATGCGGCCCTTCAAAACAGAAGGGCACTAGACCTCTTACTAGCAGAGAAAGGGGGGAACACGCGTATTTCTGGGGGAAGAGTGATGCTTTTTTACTAACCAATCTGGAGTGGTCAGAGACGTGGCACAACAATGTAAGGAACACATTGCCAAATAACAACAGGAGTAACGGGGACAACCAGGACGGGATCCATTTTCCTCTGTTCTCCCTTGGGCACTCCCAACCCTGGACCCATAATCACTGCAGGGATAACTGTAATGATCGCTCCTGGTGCTCTCAGGCTCGTGAAAGATGGAACCCAGGAAGCTTCCAGGGCAGTGGTCTACCAGATGCTTCTCCATCCACACATGCCTCCTGAGGAGCCAAGACACCCCCAGCGGGCCCCTGTGGACGACGTCCCCAGACAGCAGGAAGTAGCCAGAGAGACTCATCGTCGCCCCCTTTCCTATCATCAAAAGGTCGGGATGGTGGCTTTGGGATCTGCAAGGAAGGAAGGCCTATACTTCCGGGAATGGAGAGTCCCTACCCGTACTTCCGGGAACGAAAAGTCCTTGTCAAGGTCCCTGCGGGTTCCTAAAGGTCAACCAGTGAGGATCAGACCCGCCTCAACCTTTAACCCCCACGCCCTGTATCTATAAAAAGAGCCCTCCCAACCTCTGACGCATGACTCCCCCAATCCGCACGACTCCCCCAATCCCCGCTCTGTTGGGACCGGTGAACCTCGCCCGGGAGTGGAATCCCAATACAAGCTTGTGAATTAATTGATTCATCTGCCTGGGAAGATTGTTACGCGCGGGACACCTTCCATCCACACACAGCACGGCCAGGGATGGGCAAACACGAGCCCACGGCGGCGAAGCCCAGGCAGGCGTGACCCTGGGAGCAGGAGGACGGCTGGCTGGCGGGGCGGCCCCGAGCCCCGGGGCTGGCTGCACAGGTGCGTGTGCGCATGTTCGCCACGTGTGTTAGACACACCAGTCCCTCTTCGCGGAGGGAGTCCCAGCGCGGCCGGGCGCGGATTTTGTGACAGCAGAAAAGCTTCCCTCCCCCCGGCAGGGCGAGCGAGCTGCTGCCGCGGCCCTGGGCTGCGGGGGCGGACACAGTGCCTCCTTTGTGCGCGGTTTCTCCGAGCGGGCAGGGCCCCGGCTGCGCCAGACCAGCCTTTCAAACCTGTCTCTGGAGAGCTGGCAGCGGGCCCCAGGGCGGGGGCTCGGTGGCCCCAGATCCAGAACTGGGCGGAAACAAAGGAACCTGCTGGGGGCGGGGAGACCCCTCGAGGAAGCCCTGGGCAGCACTGTGGAGTCCAGCCCCCCCAGCCCCAGGGAGCTGTGGAGGAAAATACAGGGCTGCCCGGGGCCCGGGGCCTGCCATGCCACCCCTCCTGGCGTGCAACCTGGTCACTGGGGCCAGGACACGGGCCCAGGGCCCGCTCAGGAACACGGCCCTGCTGGTCCAAAGCCACAGGAGCAGGGCAGGGCCTGGGGCTTCTGCTTCGCCCCTTTCAGAGGGGTTTCCAAACGCAGGCAGAGGCCCTCCAAAGGCGGGCTTTTACCCACGGCTGGACAGGGGCCTTCTCAGTGCCTTGGACACAGGGCGCCTCTGGGTGGGGCCCTGGCGGGTATACTGGTTAATAAAGGAGGACGCATTTCTGCGCACGACCAGGTGTGCCACCTGCGCCCGCTCTCTTGTCTGTGTCACTTGGAATGTGGGGTGCTTTCCAGCGAAAATGCCCCTCCATCCGCACTTCAGGCACCTGCTCAGGGCGTGGGGCCGCCACACTGCTGGCTGCAGCAGGCCCTGGGGATGGTGAGGCAGGCGCCCCAGTGAAGCCTACTGGACAGCACCCATCGGCCACTCTGTTCCCATGACGGCGGCCTTGGCCCGGGGAGAAAAAGCACTTCAACACAACCGGTTTATGTCTCACATAATCTCTGCCCAACAAGGGGAATGAATAGGACTCCGCTGGGTCGGGGACACAGGGCCGCCCACCCTACTCCGCCCCAATTTCCACTCCTGGACGGCCAGGTGAGAACAAAGGCGTGTGGAGGGGTGGCCTTTTCCAGATGGCCAACACCCGCACTCGCTCTCCCTGCTCCCGCTCGCGTGGGCGTTCGGCACGGCATTCAAGCCCCGGCTCCACTTTGGAGTCCAGCTTCCTCCCACGTGCACCCTGGGAGGCAGCGGCCCTGGCTCAAGGGCTTGGTTCCTGGGCGGGGGGCGGCTTCAGCCTGGCCCAGCCCCTGCTGTTGGGGGCATCTGGGAGTGAACCAGTAGGTGAGCAACTCCTGTCTGTCTCTTTGCCTTTCAAATGAAATAAACAGGTGGGCCCGGTTCTCTCTCCCTGCCTCTCTCCCTCGCCCCGCCCCCAGCTGCACCCTGGCTTCACGCGGCACTCAGAGGCGCCTCCATGGGTTCTTACTTTGCCGTAACGGGCTCTGGGGTCCCCCCTTTTGCAGGAGGCATCAGTGCAGGAATTACCATCACCCAACACACAAATGAGAAAATGGAGCCCAGAGAGGCTGAGCCACTCGTCCACAGTCACCCAGATGCCAGCGGCTTCGATCCCACACCCACTGGGCTCTACAGCTCCTCAGGGCTCGCCCACAGGAGTCCCTGACACAACCCGCATGGCTCACCCCGAAGTCTAACGAGGACGGAACACCGACCACAGCAGCCACATCTGCGCTCGTGCCCGCCGCGCCTCCTCGCCTCCAGCACACGAGTGCTGCACACCTCCACCCAAGACGCCAGGACAACAATGCCAACCACGGGTTCCAGCCCACTGCGTCTCCAGGCACGTTGCAATTCAAAACCGCCTGCTGCCCGGGAAGCTGGGGCCTGGATCTGAACCAACCGAGAGGAAGGGGCATTCACGAAGCCCCTCCTCCCACAGCAGGGACCCAGCTCTGCATCTAAGGTGTAAGGTGACCTTCTCTGGCCACCGGCCAGCTGCTTCCACACTGGGAGAAGGCCTGGGAGGGCCCGGCCAGCAACCCTCCCTCAGCTTCTCAGTAGCCTGCACTCGGGCTGTGCCTACACACGGGGCTGTGCCTACACACGGGCTGTGCCTGCACACGGGGCTGTGCCTGCACTCAGGCTGTGCCTGCACTCAGGCTGTGCCTGCACACGGGGCTGTGCCTGTGCAGGGCTCCGCCCATGTCTGCAGAGCCAATCCTGGCCATCAGGCACCCAGAACCCCAAATCCAAAGCAGAGGCTCTGGCTGCAGGAAGCCACCGGCTTCACCCCTGGCCTCCGGGCTCCACTTTGCCGCAAGGAACCTCGGCAGCACCAAGCTCCAGGAGAGACGCTCGGCACGAAGA